TGTATGTGTGTTCTACATCGATTTTATTTTATTTTATCTTACTTTATTTTATTTCAGTTTATTTTATTTTTTATTTTTTAGTATGATTATTTTCTTCTCTTTATTTTCTTTCCTTTTGGTTAACTTCTCACGGATATGTTATCAAACCGTCTCTTGACGTGTCGCCTTAAAGCAGAAAATGCCCTCGCTCATGTATGATTGACGATTTTTCATAAGCTTTTAATTTTTTTTGTTCCTACTGTAGAGAATATCTTTAATAATTGATTCATGTTGAAGTATAATTTTAGCCAATAACTTCCCTGTCGTTGTCTATTATCCACGGATATCTTTCCTAAATAAACAAGGAAACAGGGCAAAAACACGCAGAAAACCCGCACACCCTACTGTAAATTCACCTCGTGTAAACCGTACAGCTTGCGCAGTAACGCACGTCCTGAGAATCTCTGCACGGCAATGCATGCAATATGCACCTAGTCGATTGCGCTCGCTCTTCCCAAAATTTGCGTCTCGGCGTTACCGAGGGTGGTTGGGCAGTCGGATTTTTGCTCGTTTTTCTGCCAGTCACGCTCAACAAAAAAAAAAATTAGAGAAAAATTGTAGAAAAAAATGTACAAATGTACAAAAAAAAAAGATAAACGAATATCCCCCTCCCCTTGATCTCCACTCTATCTCGTATTTCCAACTGTCATACCAGTTTTGGTCGTTCGCTCGAGAAAAAAAAAAAAAAAAAAAAAGCCATCACTTAATACTCGTTTAGCGATCGTTTGATTTAAACCTGTTGATTTAGAGCCTGTCAGATTGTCAATGATTTCTTTACCGGTCATTGATAAAAAAGTATTAGTATTTAATCTAGATGACGTTAAACAGTTGAGGAGCTACGGCATATTGGGAGTATTGATTGGTACTTTACCCGTAGCCCCGCAGCAAAACATATTCTTAAACCTTCCATTAGAACTATCGATTTATGAAGTCATATGGTTGGTGGAAAATGGGTTGGGGCGACTTGTTGATAACTTGGGAGTGAATTCGTTATCGAGTAATGAAAACGGTGTTCATGAGAACTACTGCATCACTGAAAATGACTCCCGAATTAGCGAGACTATATTGAATCAAAATCAAATTTCTTTACAAGTTTTTTTGCAGCATACAAATCACGAGGTTTTACAGAATTATAAAGTATATAGGCATATCAAGAACAAAGGGTTTCATTTGTTACCAGGTTTGAGGTTTGGTGGGTTGTTCGTAGCATATCCTGGAGACCCTTTGAGATATCACAGTCATTTGATAATAAATCGTTCTTCTAATATCAATTGCTTGGATCTAGTCACTGGTGGGAGATTGGCCACTGGGGTTAAAAAATCTTGGGTAATAGCCGATACCGTGGGAGAAGAAGAACAGGATGATGTCATGTGTTTCAGTATTGAATGGGCTGGTTTTGGTTGATTTCTCTGGCAAGATGTAAATTGTTTTTCAAAACTTTGCTTCTTTTCATTTCGTTACTAGAATTCAATTGATTTTCGATACCTGATGCAATGATTTCATCAAGTACTGGGTCAATCAAGGTATCGTCAGGGAAACTGGCTCTAATGAAGTCATTGGTATCTTGTCCTGATCCAGGATCTTTTAAATCAAGTTCATCTATGCTTTGAATATCTTCTAATTGTCCATATTGTTCAACATCACTGACAATTTGTAAATTGACTCCATCGGCAATTCTTCTATAATTCAAATCACCAAGAATAGACTTTAATCTATAATCAACATGTAATTTCCCAGTTCCTGAATTACCGGAGTTCGTCATGATGAAATGAGCACTACCATTCTGTCCCACTGCCGCTTCAAATATTTTTATATCCTTTTCATCAACTTGAACCTCTTTCACATTAACAATTTTAACATCTAATATAGTACGATCTGATTCTTCGACTGTTGTAGTTCCTAAAGTTAACGGATAACTTAAAGAAGCATTGAATTTTAAGATAGTATCCAAATTATCAACGTTGGTTATCAATAAAGACTTCACCGAATGTCCAACATGAACAATATTTTGTATGCTACCAGAAGAAGCATAATTTTGCACATTCGCTACTTCTCCCTTAGTATGATATGAAAATAAAGTATTTAACTCTTCTCCGGTAATTAAACTAAAATTCAATTGACTAGTCAATTCAGCACTCAATATCCCATTCACTATTTGTTGATATGTTCCAGAATATGGTACATTAACACCAATGGAGTTTCCTCTGTCTCTCTGTCCAATATGAATTATTTCTCCAGTTGATTTTTCAACTTGCAGATTCTCGTAGCTTAAAATATTAGCACTAGTATACCAATTACTACCGATTCCTGAATCACCTCCATTGAATTCATCGATACCATTGCTTATTGATATTTGAAGTGTATTGTTGGAACTCGATGATTCCCATAAATATGGCAATAACCCACTAATATCTAAATCGTTACTTTTTAAATCAAAGGCATTATTAGAAACTGGATTCCATAAAGTAGGAGCGATACCACCGGTGAAAATAACGGGGTGAGGTGTTTGACTCAATATCTTTTGTCCGTTAAAGTATACATTGATAAACCTTATTGGACCATGGGTTAACCATGAGCCTCCAAACAAATCTTTATATTTATCGAGTAAATTTGTGTACCAAAATTCTTCATTTCCATTACCTGAAGCGAATATCGATAATCTTAATCTTGTAGTATTTACTGGGAATTTAGGTAATGTTATTTCAAAAGTATCATCCGGTAAACTGAGAACTGGAATTGCTCTACTTGACGATTTTGGAACTAACGGTATAACCTTGCTAGGAGTATCACTAGTTGACAATATTCCCAGGTTTAAAACATCTTCAACACCAGAATCTTCATCTCCAGTTAGAGCAGGAATATCAGAATAGTAAAAATCAGCGTATAATTGAGTATCGAATTCCCCCTTTAACGAATCAGTAACAATATTTGACAATGAGAATAATACACTTACGTCTCCATCAAATAACAGTGCATATGGAGAAATATCTTTCTTGAATGTCGAAAACCTCAAGCGACCACTTGGTTCGATTGTGGATGTTCTCCATACTTCAGCTCCATTAATGAATATGTGTGCTAATCTGTCATATTGAACGTAATCAACCGAAGTGTTCAAGGTCAAAACAACCTTATTGAATTTCAAACCTTTAGGAACCTCAAAAGAAGCCGAAGCAGGACTATTCCATGAATTGCCAAATGTATGGTTCACCAATAACGTGGAATAAACTGCTTCTCCATAACTTGGACTTGGAATGTATGGATACCCAACCTCAATTCCTTCATTTGATGCATCCAGCCGATTAATATCAAAACCTAGTTCCTGCTCAATCTTATTCAAAACATTGGCATTCAGATCGATGTATTTCTTAAATGAAAATGGGGGTTTGGCACTCTCAGTATCCCTACTAACAAAATTATAGGAAAAAACATTAGAGTAATAAGCAGCAATTGATAAAATACTCAAGATTGCAAATGAGACCGAAAAGGCTTTGAAAAATTTGACTGAAATAGACGAACTCTCATCGAATTCCCTCTCTTCTTCTTCCCGGTAAGGTTTTTCTCCCATCTTGATAATTTGCAGTTGCTTGCCAAAAACTAATTCCCTCCAAACTTTTACATCTCTTTTAAACTCTTTCTTCAAAACTGCTGTCAACCAGCAATACGAGTCTTGCATTACATTCGCCATACTCAACGATTGTTTGTAATTCTTTCAAATTATAATAGCTTAATCGTGATATTGTTTAACTCTAAAGTTTACTCTCAGTGCACCCTTATCGGGAAGAAAAAAAGGAAACTTGATTTCTCCCTTTAATTCTTTCCCATAACCAAAACTTGATTTGTTCCTCTACAGCCCGTAGTGCCATTTGAATGTACGTGGTGGCCCGCTGAGTGTTACTTGTTCAGGGGTGAATTGTCTCTAAGTGGACCAAAGGGTCAATTGTTGGGAGGTAGCTGGACATATTCACGTGCAAAGCTGCAAAATTTTAGAAACGGTCCGAATGGTTAAAGCCAAAACGGGAGCTATGAACTGAAACATCAAGAGAGGCTTACTTTACGAATAAGGAAATGGCTTCCTTTTGGCGTTTGGCGTTCTCGTTACCGTATGTGAAACGTTGGCCTGTCAAAGGTGCTAAAAATACATTATACTATTCATAGAAGTTTCAATTTGGGTCCAATCCCATTATTAATCTAAAGCTACTTATAATTAATACTGTCATAATAATCAAAGGAAAAACACGAGTTGATATTCAAGGAGACGAGTAAATATGCGTTCGTTTTTGTATGTCAAATACCGAATATTTTGATAACTGGCCATTTCAAGTAATTTTAAAGTGTACAACATGATTTTTTGGCGGTGCCTTCCACCAAAGGGGACTCTTTCAAGACTGGTAGAAGTCTGTTATCACAAATCCATATATTTCTAGGGACATCCCGTATAGTAAGTAAATTAACACCAATAGCTTGGACACGAGAAGTAAAACGTCTCTAGTTCGTCTTCTTCTTCTGGATGGCCTTGAGATGGCTTTATCCGCTCCAATCGTTTGTTCTTCGACCGAAAGGTCTCTGTCCTTGATTAGAGTGTTGGTATATGGGGATGGGACTTCTCTCTCGTTGCCTTTCATTTCTAGCTCGTCAGATATCCTAGGAGAACCATATATGAGACGATTGAGCACCGTAAGCTCTCGTCCTAGGGTCATTGTCAATGTTAATATGGAAAACAAAGTCAAATAAAAAGAATTTAAAGCAGTATTTAAGTCTATTTTTTTTTAAAAACAGAAAAAGGCGGAATAAGTCCTTGCCCGGTGAGACCCGTAAACCTGGTCTAAATCACATACAAAACCTTAATAAAAACTATTTTAAAAGCCTATTTAATGTATTTTTGGAACTATGTAAGTGGAGTTCAACTAAACAAGTATATCGGCAAATCTATTTTCATTCATTTGTTGTTCAGCTATGTAAGTCAAGGTTCTATCGAAATATTTTTCGATATGCTTGAATAATCTAGCTTCTTGATCGTCATCATTTCTAACGTTATTATCGTCTTTCAAGTTTTCAACGTTAGTTTTGATCAAGTCAATTAAGCCATTAATGTATCTGGAATCAATTAAATAATTACCATAAACATTAAAGATCAAACACCTGTTTAATATTTCGAGGAATAATTTCAATGATAAATAAGGATCAATACAAGAATCTGCAATTCTTAATGATTTTTGTAAACATTCAAGAACTCTTTTGGCATCTCTATACAAAATTGGAGGGCTTGAGGGTATTTGTTTTGATTTGTTGTCAGATTCTTGGTCAGCCTTGTCTTTATCTTCACTTTCTTCTTGCTCCTCTTCTGCATCATCTTTAACTGTAGGTGATACACCATCGATGAATAAATCACACCACCACCATAAATGAGCACAATAATAAACAGATCTACATTGGTCTTGCTTTTTCAATAATTTAGATCCATATAAGGTAACTTTTGTGATTAAAGTTTCATAACTTTCTTTGCTGAAATATCTCAGGTTGTTCAACCGATTAGCAATCATTAATATTGATTGATACGGTAATGAACCACCCATGGTGTCTCGGGGATTATGGTATTGCTTAGGAGTAGGATTTAAAATTAAATTTTCTTCGTAAATGACAAAACATTGACTGAAAAATTCATAGGCTAGCGATTCTTGTTGAAGTTGATCTGCAACTGAGGCTGCATTTAAATAAATTTTTAAAACCAATTCAGAATTGAATTGTTGGTGATGTTGATATAATTCATCAATTATTATCGATAAGTTTTTGAAGTTGTTTGTTATAAATAAATCATCTTGTCCTTTCTTCTTTTTCAAGTTAATGTAACCGGCTATTCTCAATTTCATTAGAATTTTTGAAATGAGAGTTGGATAAGTATAAATAATATTTTCCGGATTCTTATTCAAAAACTTCTTTCTAACGTACATCAAATTAGACAAGCATTTAAAAACATCTGGGTGTTCGATCAAATGAATGGTTTTACAAATCTTCTCTTGGATAGTCAAAAAATCTTCGGTAATGAATTTTTCGCCATCTTCAATTCGAATAGTTTTGGTGATACCCAAGTTCTTGGAAGTATTCAAGTTTGTATCGGTATCTTTTATTAAAACCAAAAGATACTTAAAAATTCCATCAATTTCCTCGATAGTGGTTAAATATTCCGGTTCGGAATCTCCGTATATACTGGAATTACTCAAAACTTTATTCACAATTTCTAAAGAGATTTGCTTCTGGTACTGCTTATGAGTTAGCTTTTGGTAAAATTCGTGGAATAATGTAAGTTTCAATAAATTTTTAATTGATGAAAAGTGCTGAATTGGAGCGATTAGTAACAGTAACCATAAGGTCTCATCAACTCCCTCGGATGGGCCGTGATGACCATTTTCATCTTGTGACGATTTTTGAGAAGCTTGATTAATTTTACTCAAATTTTCAGTGACAAATTTATATATAACGTCTAAATTTTCATAATTTTCTGGATCATAAGTTAAAGACAATTTGATAAAAGATTGCAACATTGAAGAATGTTCCTCAGCGGACATTTCAGGATCAGATGAATATAACAAGATATAAAAATCCCAAAATTTATGAAATAAATCTTTAACTGAAGTAGCATCTCTTTTGCGATCAACTGATTCTTCCAACTTTAAATTATCAGTTGTTGCAACTAAGTCGTTTTCAAACTTATGATAAGTAATAAAACGTTCAATTAAAGTTGACACTAATTCTGATTTTCTTAATAGTGGATGCAAATTGAGAAAGACATCATTTAATAAAGGTTGCAACGTTTGAAAATGGAAGTTATCTGGGAATATTTGAATCAAAACATCGATTAAATAACTTTGAGCCAAATGGTCTCTACATTGAATAATCTGTTCGGTTATAATTGGAAAAATGCGATCTTTGTAATACTGTTCACTTGAGTACTTTTCACCGCCATCATAATCATCGATTATTTGAGATAATCTCACTAAATTAGAGCCAACCAAAATCTTCAATTCTTTTCTTTCTCTGTATCTTAATTCACGTTCTGATGAATGACCTTGGTGTTGTAGTCTAACCCATAATTTATTCATTTCAATAAAATTTGAAATCAAGAACTCAACAGTTTCATTGAAGTCAACTTCATTCGATAACGGTAAAAGGTCCTTGATCCTTTGTGATAAATAGTATCTTAAAAACAATCCCCTGATTGGATGTTGAACACCACGGCACATTTCAATCATATCTTTCATGATTTCTTTTGTTGGTGCATCATTCGTTGACATATAAGTTGTTCCAATTACAATCATCATATACAAACGAGGGATGATATTCCCACTATACTGAACCAATTCATAAAGATCAGCTAAAAAAGGTGTTGTATTATTAGCGCCATTATTATTCGCTGATCTCTTCTTCTGTTTAGATTTATGGGACACTAATATTTGAGCCGACAAGTACTCCAATGAATCAAACACTGATATATACAACTCATAATATTGTTTCGGTGATAACTTGTTGGTTCTTAACTCATTTAGAAAATTGGAACAATGTTTCAAAGCTTGAAGGAGATTACCTTCTCCCAAACATTGTTTCATAAGCGAAGATTGATGATTGATGGTACTTAAACATCCTCGAAGTAGCGAACTCAGCTCTGATTGATTCCCAACCATTTCTCTTTACTTATAAGTATTCACAATTGACCAGGCTAAAGAGTATTGAATTCGTTGAACTTTTCCCGCTCACTCCCTTATCGAATCTCGAGATCAGCTTCCAATAAACTTTTTCTCTAATTTTTTTTGTGTGTTGTACGGGTTTTTTCTTGTTGCAAAAAAGAATAACTACAATTTGTTAAACTGAATAACGTTATCATTAGTTATACATGAAATTATTGTCATTAAAAGAAGGGAAAAGTATTAGAGTTTTAACTAGTCATTAAAAAAAAGGAAAAACGATGAAAGAATTTATAAAAAAACACTATATATAACATTTACACAAGATGAACAATTTATGATAAAGGGTATAAGATAGAAGGAAATAATAAATAAGAAAGATCTTAAAAAGCTCCAGAGTCATGCATAACCATACCAGCAATTGCGGCTGAGGTTAAAGTGGAAATACCACCACATATCAAGGCAGACATGATGTTTTGAGCAATATCTTTCGATCTTTTATTGTTCAGAAGAGTATTAAGAACCCCGATGGTGATACCCATACTACCAAGATTAGCAAAACCACAAACCGAGTAAGTAGCGATTAAGATACCTCTTTTTGACATTTCTTTGTAAGGGGATTCGTTCATAAGTAAATTATAAGCGACATATTCATTTTGGATAACTTTATAGGCAATTAACTTTGAAACCAATAAAATTTCATTTCTTGGAACACCTAGGAGGAAAGAAACTGGGTAAAGAATATAAGAAAGGATTAATTCTAAAGTAAGTTCACCAATGTTCCAAAATTTACCAAACCAAGTTAAAAGACCATTAATTAAAGCAACCAAACCAATAATGCACATACATTGAATCATCATAGTACCTGCAGTTCTTAAACCAAGATTAGCACCATTTGAGAAGGCTTGTAAGACATTTGTAGGTTTATCCTTATCTTCAACTTCGGGTTTTGGAATTTCTGCTGATCCACTAGTTAAACATTCTTCAGTTTCAGGGTATCTCAATTTTGAAATTGCAATAGCAGCAGGAATAGACATAACACATGAACTAACCAAAGCTTGAGCATTTAACCCCAAACCAATATAACCAACCAAAACTGCACCGGAAATAGTAGCAAACCCAGAAGTCATAATTTGATGAAGTTCAGCTTTGGTTAAATAAGGAATTAAATCTTTAATTAAAATGGCACTTTCACCAATACCAAGGAAAGGAGAAGCACTAGCAGTGATGGCTTCAGCTCCTGAAATTCTAAGACTCCAAAAGAAGATTGCAGAGAATTTTTTGATGAACCAAACTAAAACACCGTAATAACTTAAAATATGAATAAATGCAACGAAAAATGCAACTGAAGGTAAAACAGTAAAGAAAAACATCGATAAATGTGCAACTGAAGAATTAGTAAGGAAAGCAACACCATCTTTTGAAAAACCTAATAATTCTCTAGCTAAAGTAGAAATGAAATTGAAAACGTCATAACCACATTTAGTTCTCAATACAAATAATGCTATAATGAATTGCATCAACATACCTCCAATTACACTATTCCATTGGATTTTAGATCTATGTTTGGAAGTAGCCCATAATCCAAAAATGGCAACAACAAGACCAAAGAATGAAATAGCACGATCTTCTCTTTTAGAATAAGCAACTTCACTGGGGACAAAAGTACCCAATAATATAACTGCAATACAGATTATAGCACCAACAATTAAACGATGTCCTCTTCTAACTAACACCTTGGTATAAATGAAATTAGTAGCTGAAGTCCATACAAAACTTATTTGGTGGAAAATCCAGTATAAAATACGACAATGAAACGAAATTAATCTAACCATAAGCATGCCCCATAAAACAGTTGGAATTAACCATTGGTGTCTATGTTTATCTTGAATAATAATGGATAACCACCAAGCAGTGAAAAAACAGCCAACAAATATATGGATAGCTAATCTATGATACGGAAATTTCAATTTCAATCTCTGTATCCATGATAATTTAGTCGAGCTATCACTTTCTGAAACTTCTTCAGAAACATATTTTTCTAAACCGGCACAACCATCTTTTTCACTTTTTGGGTCCTTATGTCCCAATTCTGGTTTACTTTGAGATGAAGAATCTCCATTAGCTTCAAGATCTTGCTCGATCACACTCTTATTGGAGTATATAGAAGTTACTGGGTGAGACATTGTCGTTTCGCTGAAGTACTCCAAAGGTTGCTTCTGATGATCCAGACAAGGATTAAAAAGGGACGATGACCGATTAGCTGATTATCTGTTCGACATGGAGGAAAGAGAGAAAAGAAGAAAGAGAAGGAGGAGAAAGGGAGAAAAGAGAAGAAGGAAAAAGAAAAAACAATATCTACAAGAATAACCCCAAGGTGAATTTGATTTTATTATATATCAATGTAGTCCCATTCCAATTCGCCTTGTAAGGAGATGACTTCCCGCAAAGTAACAAAGCTAATAAATTTTTTTATTGTGTGCGAGATGAGATAACGGTTTTCTGCCTTAAAAAATTGGAAACTCCTACACTAATTTCTTGAAAAAGAAAAGTATACCGAAAGCCCATACGGCATCACACGAGAACAAAAGGGCACTTATCTACTGGACCTTAAAGTCCCTTTAAGATTTAGGTAATCACAATAGTTGGTTTCTGTTGTGCGTGGAATGTAGTGAAGCACAAGTAAGAAGGGATACAACCTTACGATTATTTATTTACGATGTTGGTATTATTAGGTAACTGTGTATTTAAAAATGCAGAAATAATAGGCTATTGTTATTCGTTTTGTTTCTCCAGTTTGTACTTATCTTTTGTTTCTATTATGTGCCTGGAATCAATGTCGTTACTTAGACCCATCATTGCTCTCAGTAGTGCTTCGGTGGTGCCTATTAAGGGCCTGATCAAAATAACCGGAGATGATTTGAAAACTGACACTAGTGAATCTTGAATTGTTTCTGCGTCTTCTATTTCCCTACGTAAATGGCTTAATGATTTCTTTGTGCTCTTTAGATTCTTCCCAATCAGTTTATATGCCGATTTGATCCCTTCTTGGGTATTTTCTGGCTGATTGGAGTATAGACTGATGAGCTTAGCTTGGTCTTCTTCGCTGAGTTCGATTGCTTCAGTGTAATCTTCTTCGTCTTCGTCCACTTCGTAATCTTCTTCCTCATCAAAATCATCTTCTTTGAAATTCTCTCCGGTATACTCATCGGTGAGATCGTCGAATTCTTCGTATTCAGCAGAAGAATCTGGGTTATTTTTGTTTCTGAGAATACCCTTGTTTTGAGGTCGACCTCTTTTATTCAACATTAGTGCTGATGACAGGTTCAATATCTGTTCATCTATATCGTGAGTTTCATCTAATTCAATGTAAGAATAAAGTTTTTTGCTTCCATATTGATCATCTTGAACTCCCACTCTTTTGTTTAGTAACAGTGATGATGCCATTAAGTTAGGCTGTTCGTGGCCTTTTTCTCGATTCCTGTTGAATGCTTGGCCCTCAAACTCATCATCGTTTGATCTTCTTCTGAATTCGTGATTCTTTCGCTTTCTGTGCCTTTTCTTTTGTACATTCGAAGGTAGTCTTGCAGAAGCTCCTTCGCCGCCCAAAAACTCCTCCGACTGTTCCAAAATTATTTGAGTTCCTGATGCTAATTTGACCCCTAACTTCAAAAGTTCATATCCAGTAGTTTTAGCAAATGAAGTTGTTCCTTTTTGTAGGCTTCTCATCAATCTACCATCCTTCTTATATTCTTGGATAGGAATTGCAACTAAACTTTTCACCCCTCCTCCAATATTCACAATCGATCTAATTGGCGATAATCCAGATAAAATACCAGCCAATTGAGTCTGTTGAATACTTGGAGTCCAAACATCTTTTAAGGCGTTCCCTAATTTCGGGATACCTAAGACTCCATGTATAGTGGCTTCGGGCAATTTGATAGTTGACCCATCAAGTATAAAAATATTCATGAACTCAGCATGATTGCCTGATCTTATACCAGAATAATCGAATTTCTTGGGTTTGTAGTCTAGCTTGAGCTTAATTGGACTCATTTGAAATTTTTTGATGTATATTATATCATCAATTGGTAGCAGAAACCTATTATCTTTGAATTGCGTGAATCTAGATATGAAATCAAGTGTATCCTGATCTATGTGAAGCCTCAAGGGAAGAACAGATACATTCATCATAGCTTCTGTTCCACATAGCTTTATATCTGGTCTAACATTGATCAATGAAAACTTTAACATACTTGTCCCCACTTCTCGTTCACCCAAACTATTCATATATGTGATAAACTTATTCCAAGTGGAAGTAGGAACATTATCAATGATATCAAGGTTATCAAGCTTGAAATCTACACTATTAACAACCTCATATTGTGCATCACTGTCTTTAAGTTGTTCAATTCTAGGGTCACGAGTTGACACAACCGTTACATTAACCTCGATATTTTTCAAGTCGATCATTACTTTATGATATTTGGACCGGCGTAATCTTAGATTTTTGTAACTTTTTCCAATGTCAATGTTGTGAACAAATTGAGTATCCTCTTGTATGTTGTTTTCACTTTTGCTGATTTCTTCATCGTTTTGAACTTCACTGTTGATAGCTGTTGCCAAATCAGATGGATCAGATCCTTTTGGTAATGACAAATGAACTGATGCAAATAAGGTCTCACCTATATCTTGATAGTCATTATCGAAGCCATCCTCATTTTCAATAACGCTTTCTTTATCCAATTTGTTATGGTTCTCCTCTTCTTCACTAACGTCAGCGAATTGGACAACTGATTTTTTACTTTCACTACCTGATTTCTTTTGCTTCTGAGACTTCAATGACTCTAATTCCTTTTCCTTTAATTCACGACGTTCTCTTGAAAGTCTTTTCTTTCTCTCGAGTTCTCGTCTGGCACGATCTTCAACTCTTTTAACTGCACCTTTGATGGCTTTCCTTGTTTGTTTCCAGTCGTATCCATCGTAGAGAAGAATCTTCGTTTTGGATAAGTTGACATTCAACTTCACAGGATAAACCTTTATTTCGTTATTATCAACATTATTCGAAAAGTGATCTTCATCAAAGGAAAAGCCAGACTCATCGGCCGTGTTGCCTTTATTTTCAGAACGTGAGCTACTATCGGATGAAATGCTTAATTTACTAATGTTTTTGTCAAGGTCATTGTAGTATTCATCGATCACATTCAACTGGGATTCTTTTCTGGATTCTGATAATGTGTCATTGTCTAATTTGAGTGAGTTAGATAAAGATGACTCATGTGATTTATATTTGAACTCATCTTCAATGTCATTCAACAAATTACATGGTTCCAGAACGTTAATTCTAAACTTCTCATCATCATTGAGCACAACCGGTGTTCTCAAATCATTCACAATTTGTATTAATACATGAGCTGAATCAGCACATAGGTCTAATTGATGGTCATCCGAATTAACTTTTAAATCTAATAGCGACAAATTACCTGGAATTTTAAATTTTTCATTTCTTTTCTTGATACTTTCAATATCAGTGTTAATAGTAATCCCAACATGTGTACAATTGATAAAACCAATGGAATGAAAGCCACTAGAATTTAACCATGCAACTGGAGAAATATAGGCAATGTTACTCGACAAATTTGTGGGTGGTGCAGCCTTCATATTTCTCATATCATCAACTAGTAATAGGTTGCAGTCTCTAAGTGAACTTTTCACGTATAGCTGGACTGTACCAACTGTCAAATCAAAATTTCCTTTCCCAACAACGACTAATAGTTTACTAGGCAATCTTCCCGGGTTGAGTCCCAAGACACAATCTAAGGTTGTGAAGTGAACTTCTAAGCGGTCTGAAGTATTCGCAGCCATTGGTGCGCTTTTTTGGACTTTTTCCACTATTGCATCTGGAGAGTGATCTTGGTTCAACTCCTTTTCAAATAATTGAAGCCAATGCGTATAGTATTCTATAGCAAAGTTCTTTAAAATGATATCAATCGCTTTCATTTTTTCACTCCGATTGACTTGAATGAGTATCAATGGAAGCTTTATCGATGACGCTGGCGTTTTTTGGTACTCATAGATAAAATGGTCTTTCTTGGAACCATTTTCGAAAGATCTGTAAGCTTCTAAAGATAAAATGAAGCCATGTATATCATTATTGAGCTTATGGAAAACAATCTGATTCGATTTGAAAATCAAATCACCAAATTTAGGAAACACTTGAGTGATTTTAAATTCAATAGATTTGATAAGTATTCTCGGAGTAGGAGAAGCAGATCTGTTGGGGTTTAATAACATTGAGTTATTTGCGAAGTTACCAACCGGTCTTCTTGATCTTCTTTGTTTGAAGTAAATTGAATTCTGTAGCAAGGCAGAAGATCCAGATGGATGTGAGTCTGCATCTAGATTCTGTTTATCTGTTAGAACTGATTTTTCGAGGGCATTTATCTGATGTGAAAGGTACCTTAAGTCATCAATTAATCCCGAAATTCCTTTAATTAATCTTTTAAGTTCAAAGAAAGTGATGGAACCTTTTATTTTATCAATAATGAAACTAGAAGAAGCACTCATTCCAAACTCTCTGGGTATTGTTGAGCTATTCCTATATGAAAAGGACTTGAAATCTTGGGCCAGGGTAATTAATTGGACATTCGAAAGGGTCAAGAGTGAAGATTCATTGGAATTATCAATTATGCTAATCAAAATTTTTTGAATGCTCATATTATTATTCAAAAGGTTTAATGAGACTGGGAATATTATACCTTTTAAACTTAGAGATTCAGATAATTTGAGGGAAATGGATGTAGATGAACTTTGGAGGATGAACTGAAGAGCCTCAAGGTTCTTGAGTTGTTCTGAATTTTTATTCTTTCTCATTCCGGTTGTTTCTCTTAAAGTATTCATCGCTGTTTTCATAGCATTATAAGAACTGTATGTGGTTGACAATCCTATTATAAAATTGATCAAAAGTAATAGGCTTGGTGAGTCAAGGTCTATTAAAGCTTGTTTTGAAAATAGTGTGGTTATTTCAGTTCTAGTAAAGTCTTGCTCTACTTTCTTAAAGAGCTCGAATCTCACGTCTGCCTTTGAAGTATTTGCTGGAGGTTGAGGACTAGAATTGGTTTCATCGGGAGTTGGGGAGTTTTTGGGTGTTGCCTTTGTCGATTCAAATTTAAAGACATCTTTTGCCACAGAATCTGTTATTTTAATTATTTTAAATTCTTCGATCCCTCCGTAGATCAAAATGTCATTCTTTTGTTTGATGTTAATATTATGCATGTTGAAAAGGAGATTGTTTTTTTGAGAAGCAAACTCACCTGTAGGTCTCAAAGCCGAAGTCACACTAAGGATGAAATTGTTGATATGAAGTCTATTAAAGAAAAGATCAGCTGATTCGTTTTCTTCACCGATGAGGTCTTCGTCATCATAAGTTAACTCATCATCATCAGCATACTGAGGAAATCTTAAGCTTGATTTAGACTTACGGTTTGTAATATTTTGTTTTCTAAGTTGGTGTATTTTAACTTTCAATGCTCTAGAGACACTGGTGAAAACTGAAGAAATTGTAGGTGTGAGTGGAACATTTGAGATTTTAACATTATTTATATCTACTGATAGGTTTGAAATGGGAGAAAGTCCTTCGAATTCAACGTATATGCTATCAATGTGAAAAAGAACTGGAAAATCTTCCGGTTTTTTTTCAATATGAGGAGTGGATGGTTCTTTTGCGGCTCCTTTTTCTTTAGTTTTGTCAAAACTTTGAGAGGTGGCACTCATGTAAATTGAGCTGGCTTCTTCATGAGTGAAAACCATACTATCCATTAACGACTCTTCTCCATAGCCTTCGTCGTCTTCTTCGTCGTCTTCATCTTCATCTTCTTCGTCTTCTTCATCTTCCTTCTTTTTCTCATCTTTGGAGTCTTCTTTTTCTGTTGGATCAAACTCTCCTGGATTGACTTCCGGCTTGAGTACTATGACCCTCAAAGGACCCACACTCAAAGACCTGACTCCGTTTACCGTTTTGAATAATGCTTCATCAACCTGTATGAGCAAGTCGGTAAGTTCTGTTACTATTTTTATATTGAGATTCAACACCTTGATTTGAAGCCTCAGCAATGCAATTTCAACCGCTCTATTCATTACACCAGTTAATGCAGATGGTTTTGATTTCGTGGAAGATGTAGAATCCGACCTCGAAGACTTGGGCTTCATTTTCTTGATTTCATCTTCGGAGTACTCTTCGTCCTCATCTTCATCTTCGCTTTCACTATTTATCGTATGGCTTTTCTCATCCAATTCTTCTTTATCAAGCATCATCGTATTGGCCAACTCTGCTGTACTTTGGGCCAACAGAAACAGAGGCTGGTCATTCGAATCATCATTCATACTATCGAAGTTGGGAGCGACAACAAGATCAATATCAGTCATATCTATATTCACGCCTCCCATAACTCCTCCATTTAATTCCAAATTACCGACTTTACCATGCCTTAGCGTGTAACCAGGAATCTTACCAACTTTATCGGCATCAATGGGGATATCTTTTAAATGTATGTTATTTAGAGATACCTGTTCAAGGTTAGGCAAGTCTATCTCTGAGAACAATGATAACTGTTGCAATACATAGAGCAATAGTCTTTTCTGGATATTCTGGGGCATCCATTGTGGACTCATTTTGTATAACTGTGGACACCGTCCTTTTTCTCAATGTTTTTCCTCTCTTCAAGAGACTCTTCTTAACAATACTTTGGTTCTATATACAATATAGATGAATTGAGATCAGATTGAACTAGTCGATAAGACACGTTTGCCGTTGTGACTTAAAAATGCCTGATAACTAGGTGCATCATTTTTTTTAGATATCTACCCTTTTTTTTTTTTGATTCTGATTAGATAAACAAAAGGTCTACAGCGATAAATAAGTGCGAACAGTTTAGTTATCAACTAGTTGTTTCACTAGTTCATGTACATACTTAGGGATTGATTCCAAAGGGAGTCGGAATCCAGAAGTCATGTTCCTCGAATAGGAAATGCTGTTTTTGTTTCGTTGGGGTGGGCTGGAGTTTTTTGGATGGCCCTGAGTTGTCATGAGCCTTCCTTTTTGAAGCATTCAAAATCTCATCTAGAGAGGGAGGAACGGTGAAGACGGTTGGGTTGTTAGGCGAGGATTTCGAACTTATGAAGGTAAGAATCTCCTCTACTTCATTGTTTCGTGGTTGATCTAGTAGTGCTTTTTCTACTATTGGTAAGTATTTCGATTGTATGGAACTGTCTAAGTTTCCAATAGCACGGGTTCTGTTTTCAAGTAGTGCTGAAGATCCTTCGGCTAGATCAGATATTAAAAAGGTGATCCAGTCTTCAGATTGAGCTAATTCTCTCTCGTCCCGAAGAGCAAAGCACGATTCTGTATTTGAGTTGCTTGTTTGTAGGTTTGAGAAAAGATCGCCTAGTAAGGAATCTTTAAAGCTGGGTCCTAATTCATCTAGAAGCGGTTTATATAATTTGAAAAGTAAAGGGTTGAATTTCAATTTTTTACTATCATTTAACTTGTCACGGTTATAAATTAGGAAATTTTCAGTCATGAGAATATTTATCAAAGTTTTAGTATTTGACTGAGAATAGCCAAGTAAGTAATTTATCGTCTTCCAGTATTTTGAACCAGAATTGCTTGTTTTATCGTGAATTTGATCTAAGTTCTGCTTGCGGATCCTTTTGTATGCTTTCAAAATCGATATCACCCGATCTCTATTTTGATCTAAGTCTTCCTCGGGTTCAATATCACCATCGCCGTTTTTCAGATCTGCTCCATTCTTAGCTTCAATCTCACTCCAATAATTCTCAAATAACCAATCCAACGCTTTATCTGTTGCAAGTCTTAAAACTTCAAGACTCGGTATTTGTTCGTGTGTCCCCATATGCCGAAGCTCAACAAAAAAGGAAGGAAGCTCTATGTTTCTTGCTAAAGAATGCAAGGAGATGGCAAAGTTACCCTGTTGGAGTGGGTCTAATAGCCCATTGACAAACCTTATCAATGCCATCGAGTATGATAATTGAAGTAAACTTGCATCGTGCTGCTTGGGAAACTTAGATTTATCAATTGGGTCGGATATCCGTATCGATATTAGCAGTGAGGTTATTTCAACTCCGTGTGGTAGTCTTCCCCTTGATGCAAAAGCCTTGACCCTCTGTATGGCTCTGTATCTTTGATCATTTGAAGTGGTGTGATTGTAAAACCAATTTTTCAATTTGATTAAGCTTTTGAGGTCTCTATAAGAAACAGTCTTCTGTTGATTTAGGCTCTGGTTCCGAACGCCATCGCCTTCGGGTCTATCCATATTCCCAAGGGGTTTCGAAAGATACTAAGTCTTCATCTTCGATTTTTTTTTTTTTTTTTAGGTTGCAGAAGTTGAGATGCGCACACTTTACGTTGCAATCTTTGCAGTAATGGGAAGAAGTCGTTAATGTTTACACGAGTCTATATAGAATAACAAACTAAACAAGAGGTAAATGGATGTGTTAAGAACTGAAAGGGTACAATATGAAGTGGCAAAACGTATAGGAAAGTAGTAGCGTATCTATCATCGTTAGAAGGAAAAAATCATTGATTAAACGTCTAGCAGGAGTAGTAATTGACTTTGTTCATGAGAAAGAACTCTCTTGTGGGAACGTTGAATGGGTTGAGACTGTGATAGTTCTGTAGGGTCGTTAAATTCATGTTCATCATCATTGTTGTCATTGGCTTTGGGTCCATTTGGGGCTCCATGTAGGGTGGAATAGCTTTCACCAGAATCAAGATATTCTAAGCTGTGAGCCAGTAATCTGGTATTAAGAGACTTAGTATTGGTATCATCATGGTAATTTGGGCGATTATAAGGAAATTTCAGGTTTAAAATGAATTCCTCTTCTGATAAATAAGAATCTTCTTTATTTGAAGTATTACCAAAAGCACCATCCCAGCTGATAAGCACCACCCCGCATAAAACGGCAAAGAGTCCGATAATGACCCAAGCAAGTTGTTTCAATGACATGATCTTATCAGCTAATAAAGAATTGTAAGCAACGTCATTGATAAGATTGATGAGATTGTATACAAGAAAACATAAAGGATATAAGATAGAAGTCAGGATTTGGGCAAGTCCCATATTGAATGCAGTCAACTGGAAACCAATAATCGACAACATGGTCAAGAGAAGGAAGAGTGGGGTGAAATTAGTAGACAATTGTTTTAAATCATGACTATTATTCATAATGATTTCAACTATGGTATCAATAAGAGATTTAGCAAAAAGGAAAGTATGGGCAGTTAAGGTTCCACTAATAAAACCAAAATTCACCCCCTTGATGAACTGATATTTATTGATTAGTTGAATGTTCGACTTAAATTGACGACGAGTCAATTTAAATTTTAAATGGTTTATCCTTTGAGTCAAGATCCAATTTATCAAAAGCAAAAATAATATTGTAATGAAGGTTCCAATAAACCAAATTAAAAAGGCCGGTCTGGATAATTTATTCAAGATAATAACAAATTTTTCATTTGCATCTTTACCAGGAATTTCAACTGGAGTAGTACTACCATTATAAGCAATTATAAAAGCACCAATTGAAATTATTGCCGTTCCATAACCCAATTTTTGAGTGAAATTTTCTCCTGGTAATAGCATACAACTAAGAATAGAATTGAAAATAAGACCGATGCTTTGTAATGGAGAGAGAATAATAAGAGGTAAAGTTGTGATTTGGATTAAAGATCCGAGAATATTAGCAATAATAAATAGGAAAAATCCACATAACCACATGTTTCTCTTATGATGATGAAGATTTTGATGTTGTTGATAAGTAGGAGTTCCATCCGGTTGTTCATCGGAATTCCCAGTCATTTCACCGGGTAAAACATGATGATAGTTGATAAGATGAGATTTACGTTGAAGAGTAATCCCAAGCGACTGAATAGCAGATGAAACTATTGCAACACAACATCCTAGTATGATGGATGATGCCGAAGACAATCCGGTAGAGTTAATTTGCATTATTCCAATACCTTGCACCAATAATTACCATGAGTTTGTATTTACTTTATATATCTAGTTATCAAGTCTAGAATCAGCCTGGTATTCAATGACTAAACACTGGTTGAACCCACAACAAAACTGGCCAAAAAAAAATAAAAAACAGTTCCTTCTGTTCCTGTAAATACTCCCGTGCTATTTCTGGAAACGTCAACTGATTATTTCCAATTCTTTTCAAGCCAAACTTGTCTAAAGAAGCTGGTTCAAATTGACAGGAGGAAAAGGCTGAGAGGTTGTGTTTTTTATACCATATTTGGCTGTGTACAGGAAATCCTCTCGTGCTGTTTACTATTTTAGTATAACTTTTCGAGTATGGTTTTCCCAATTACAATAACAAGTCTTTTATTGGAGACCGGATGGATATGAGAGACACTGTGCTTAGCATCATCGACTGCTTGGAGGATGAGTCCACGGCACGGATACGTGTTGGGTTGGACGATCTTGATGAGCTCTTACAGCAATTAGTCCCGTATATCAGGGCCTGGAGACAGAATCCTAATGGAATAAAACATCCAAAATTGGTTCAATTCGAGAGTCTTCAAGATCTGTTTGAGTCGAACATAACAAATGCATTACTTCTGGTTTATAACTACTTGCTTCGTCATTTGGATGACGCGTCAACGCCACTTAGGGTTTATTTCCCCATGATTTTAACTGCCAATCGATTACTCCAAGGTATTTTACTTATCCATCCAAATTCAAGAAATATATTAAGCAGGGCAAAGAACATGAAGTTGATACTATCGTTTTTGCAATTGCCCCATGATTCAAGTGGCCAAGAGGATATCTTTAACGAAGAAGATGGCAATCACACTGACGAAGATGATGATCATAATAATAAAAATAAAGAACGTAACCACAATAGAAAGATAAGTGGCAGCAGTAGTCATAGCAATGGAAACACCAACTCCATCAGTATTGAGGTGTCCATCTCTTTCATATCGTTACTAATACACATCTTGCTTAAAAATTTACAGAATTTTAGGGTTTTCGAAGATAATGATGGTTGTGCCATTGTTATTCGAAAACTAGAACTCACCACCTCCATCAGCGATACCCAGCCAACAAGCTCGCCTTCTCTGCCCAATAAGATCTTCAATCAACAAGATCTCAACTTTAAAATCATCGAATTCTTAGTCTTCTATCTCATTGATGAAACTGAAATCTTCCCCCATCAAAATAATACCCACAACAAATTGAAAATCAGGTCCCTCAAGGAAAAAGCAGAGTTCTTTAGACCTGAATTCCTCGGTATAGACGATCTCATCGAACATTTAAACCATTTGAAGAACTTGTAATATATCTATTCAATATATAGAGAGAGGCATCCTGTACATAATCTCGTAGTAAGTAAAAAAAAAAAAAAAAAAAAAAAAATAAATAAACAAATACAATTAGAACCAAAGCAAACAGCATCAACTACTTGCCGAATACCCCTTGTTATTGGAGCAATTGGATGGTGAAAATCTGGTTGGAATACGCGGGTGACTTTTTAAATGTATACATACATGGAATACCTACAAAAATGTTTTTTCAAATCGACAAACTGGAACGAAGATAACATTTATTCCAACATAACGGCGACTTCTCAAGCCCTTTTAGAATTCCCCATCCCCAATGGTTGCAAATTGGATATATCTTCGAAAGCCACCGAGCATCTGGCGTCTTCGTTCACGTTGTCGAACCATCGTATCATCAATGGGTCGCTTGCTTATCTTTACTCGTCGTATCCATTGAAAAATACAACTGGGACTAAGGATATCTCGTTGCAAGATGCCATAGCCGGTTTCAGGATCATTGAACCCAGTCCGATTACTTCTTACCAACTGAATATAATCAAGAACAATAAGACTCTTTTATATGGAAGAATGTACTTCCCGGGATCGGCGCTAGAAGCAATGATCATCAAGAGATTTTCCGATACAAACCAATTATTGATAAAGTGCATTAATAACCCAATCTTGGAGAAGAATGGGACCTTGATTGTATATTTACAGAAAAACACTTCGAGATATCTGAGAGAGTTTATTTATTCTACCAATGAAGCTTTAATGGGATTCCGTTGTTTATATAACTTTGGCATTAATAAAGAGAAGAGTTTTTCATCGAATTCTCCCTTGATTCCAAAATTTGATAACTCGGTCATTTCTATTGGTACTGAAATATGGTATGCTGCATTATCAATGAGTCCTGGTTTATCTACTGCTTTACGTTATTCAACTCGTTCAACTTCAACCGGTAAACCTTTAACGATGACTTTATCTTGTAATCCAATATTAGGTCACATTTCTTCCACTTACAATGTTAAAACTTCGGTATCGTCAACGTTTAGTTCTAAATATGATTTTAACTTCTTTTCGTACGCCAGTAATTTATCCCTTGGGTTTGAACTTTATAACTACTCCAAAATGAAAACTCCTCAATTATTCACTAATCATATACAAAATCATCATCAGTTCAGCGAATCAGATAAAAACGTTCCAATTCTTCCTTTCAAAGATCAAAGAAATCCTCAAAATGTTATAATAAATCCTATACAAGATTTGAATGATTATTATTCAATAAATCCAAACTTACTATCAAGATCGGATCTGCGCAAAAATCAGCACCTCAACCAGTTTTCAAATGAGTCTGTCATGACAGCTTTCCAAAACCTCGTCAATGATAGTGATTTTTCAAGCGTATTAAAAGCTTCTACAAGTCTAAATGATAAAATGGTAAAATTTCTTTGGGAAGGTCGGTGTAAAGACTTTTTGGTCAGCACAGGGGTGAAAATTAACCTCAACCCTCTAACAAACCACCCTGAAGTCCACCGGTTGGGTATAAACTTCTCCTACGCTTGTTAACTCTTCATGAATGAATAATGACATTATATACTACTTTGTAATCCTCCATCCGGGTAATCCTTTTTTTTTTTAGAGTGCGCAAAAATTGTACAAAAGTAACTTTGAAAAAGTTTTGAAAAATTCACAGTATCAGAGTATAATCATTACTAGAGTCTTGAGAGTCAGTGTAAACTTCTGAAATGAATAATCAAGAGCTCTTTAAGTTGTTGAAAAACTCCAAGGTTGCACAAGTGGCATCCCCTTTGAGTCCCAAGTTGAGAAGAAGCACTTCTGTTCCAACCCATCAAATCATTCATACTCCCCAATCTAGTGCTCATAGATCTAACTATGGTTTGAAAACCAGTTTACCTCGTCAAGTTGGACGTTCTCATGTTGTTTTCAATGATTTAGATAACTTCAAAGGTATGCCCGATGTCGAAAAGTATTCCGGTCAATACTATAATCTTTTGAAATTTAAAGAAAGCGGGATGGTTTTGAAAAGACGTCCAAACGAACCAAATCCTTTATTTCCTTCTGAAGTTACTAAATCTAAATCATTCGGCTCTTTAGAGGAAGACGGAAATATATTATCTGCTTTCAAGTTGAAAAATGATGCCTCTTCAAGAGATGTTCTTAAAATTATTCGTAAAAATCCAGAATTACATAGTAAATTTCAAAATTGGTTGCTTGAAAATAACCCTGAAGCAATTTTAATCAATAATCCTGCAAATATCGAAAGATTATTGAAAGAATTCATTGGATCTGATCGTGGTGTATCCAAAAACAAAGTTAAAGTGTCTGATTTCACTAGAAAATTAGGTAAGACTGCCCGTTCGTCTATTGCATCAAAAGTTCAAGGTACTGCTGGTTTTTCATATTCTCAAAAGGGTAGACTATCAAATACTCCAAATGGTGTCAAATATAATATCATTGCTCCAGGTAGATTGGTTGATGATAGGGAAGCCGCCATTGGTGGATTTGTCTCCCAACTTAGTGATCGTAGTGTCACTTTACAATCAAATTACAGTAAATCTTATCCAGGTAAACACTCAAGACAATTTGTCATGCCATTCAAGTTAAGAGAAGCAGAATTAAACCATGAAGGTAAAGTTAGAATAAGTTCCGAAGGTGTTATAGCTGGTTCTTGGATGAATAGAATGGATATCCCATTAAATTCTAAGAACTCTTTCACTCCTGCTAATCCAAACTTCGATAATGCTGACGCTAGAAATAGTGATAATTCTTCTTTAGAAAACTTATTGGGTATTCTTAGCTCCGACACAAAAAATTAATCATGTAAATACATATCTATAAATATATTTTGGTACATATATAAATAAATTTTAAATTATACACTGTGAACTATTGTACATTTATTTCAAGCAACTGACTTTATTCTTCTTCGGTCCTTTTGTCTTCTGGGGTCTTTTCTTCGGGCCCTTTGGCTTCTTTAGTGTCTTCGTTCTCTTCGGTGTCTTTGGCTACTTCGATATTCTCTCCCTTCAGGGAATCATTTGAATTATTGGCTGGAACAGTTTCAGCGACGCTTTCTTTATCATCTGGTTTATCAGACACGCTCATTGTCGACTCCTCTGTTTTGACAGTCAATCCTTCATTATTATTTTCGGAACCATTAGAAACATTTTCATGACTTGTTATCTCGTCGGTATCCTTAATACCCTTATTTGGTTGATTATCACTGCCTTCGGGATTTTCCTGTTCAGATTTTAACTTCTTGGGGCGAGGATTTGTTGGAGCTTTTGTTTTTCTCTTTTTGACTCCCTGTTGAGTAGATGCTGTATTAGTTACGGGTGCTGGGACAACACCAGGCATTTTCTTTTCTTCTTGAACGATATTGACTCTCAAACTTTCAGCGAGTTCTTCATCTACTTTTCCATCAACTTGATACCATAAATTAAAGCTATTAAAGCGTGTTCCAACTTTCAAAATGTGCTCCATTTTTTCACGGACTTCATGCACTGGCTTAACACTATTGGTAATTAAGGGGACTAATCTAGTTGGTATCTCTTTAATCTTGAATGTCATTGCAGTGTATTTATACTCCGGTTCATTAGGAGGCTCGAGTTTCTTCTCTGCTGCCTTTCTTGGAACAGGACCCCTTCTTTTCTTACGGCCTCCTCTTCTTGGAGGAGGGGCTTTTCTTTTGGGTTTTGCAGCCAGATCCAACTCAGGGTTACCGACTTCTTCCGCTGGTTCTTCTTTTATCTCTTCTTTAGCCTCTTCTTTTGCCTCTTCTTTGGCGTCTTCTGTCTCTTCATTTTTTGCTTCTTCTTTTATGAAAATTTCGTCGGCTTTGTCGTTACTAGCTTCTTTTGTCTTCAATTCACCATTTTCAATGGTTTCATTATTTTCCAGTTTAGTCTCGGAATTCTTTTCGGTGTTTTCAACGCCAGTTTCAGGGTTTTTCAGACTTTCAGGGTTTTTCTGCTCCTCTTCTTTCTTTTTCTCTTCTTCTTCAAGTCTTTTCGCTGCTTCTTCTTCTTCAATCTTCTTCCGCTTCTCTGCTTCTTCCGCTTCATGACGTTCTCTGATAGCTCTTTCATATTCACCCAATTTCTTTTCGTAGTCTTCTACTTCATCGCTGTTATGAATCCAAAGAAAACTCATCAAAATATCCTTGGTATCCGAAACGTCTTCATTATCAGTACGAACTGTGGTTGCACCATGGTCATTTGTAGTGTCAACAACTTCACAAATTGAATACTGAGGTAATAAGTATCTTATATTAGGGTTTTCCACAAATTCGAAAAGTAATGTAGCGTCATATAAGTACTTTTCTTGAAATGCTGTAAGCTTCTGTTCTTTTGGGATCTTGGATTTCGGTTGTTTAGGTGCCTTAGGCTCTTTAGGCTTTTTAGGATCTTTGATCTTCTTTTCCTTAGGAAGTTTTGGAGTTTTTGGTTCTTTAGGTTTCTTTTCTTTTGGAGGTTTGGGTTCCTTTGTCTTCTTTTCCTTGGGAGGCTTTTTCTCTTTGGGAGGCTTTGGGATCTTAGGAACTTTGTTTTGTTTCGTTTTTTTTTGCTTGGGTAATATGCCATTTGGAAATAAATTTGCGTGCTCGGGTTGAGGACCCATGGCTCTCGCTCTTTCGATGTATCCTTTGAATAACACTATTTGCTCTTGGGATGCTTTTCCTGAAGCAACAGTCTTCATTAAATCATTCAAAGATTCTTCTCTTCTAGCAATAGCGTTCAAGTTGGATATCATGATTGTGTTTTCAACTGAGCGCATGTCAGACGATGGTGCACGCAGTTGAGGGCGTTGAGCTGGAGTGCTTATCGGTCTGGTAGTATCACTCGAAGCCAGCGAAGTAGCTACTGTGTGTGTTTCAGATGGTCTCAGTTCTGCTGAGGGCTGTTGTGGGGGTCCGGTTTTAATTATATTGTTGGAATTCGATATTTCATCATTTGTTGACCTTTTAGGCTCAGCTTTAGTCTGATCAGTAGCTGTTGCATCTGAGGCTAAGGTTTCTTTTCCTGTAGAAGACAGTGAGGAGCTTTCACTTCTCCCTTTAACTTCGTTTCCTGAATCAATGTTTGTAGGTTTGGGGTCCTTTTGTTCATTTGTATCTGATTTTGTTGAAATCGGTTGTTTTTCTTCAATATCTTTGGAAACAACGTCACCGTCTTTGTCTCTTGAATCTTCCGTCGTTTTATTGTTTAAGCCCTGTTCAGATGATGCAGCTTTGTCAGAGTCTGTAGTTGGAATTGTAACCGTTTTCCCGGGTTCATTTGGTTCACTGTTATAAGTTTCGGTTTTTGGTTCAGAAACTTCTTTAGGTTGAATGGGATTCGATTCCACTATTTTATTTTCTTGATTTATTACACTCTTATTTTCTTTCTGTTCATCAGCAGGTCCAAGACTGTCAATATTCCCTTCCATATTCTTATCTTTGCTTTCAGTATCATTCACTTGTGCTTTCGGTCCGCCAGGTAAAGTTTTATCTGAAGAAGAATCTCCCAAACTATTTGATTTACCAATATTTGCTCTGTCGGTGTCCGGTCTCTGAGGGTCACTTTCCCTGATTTCAGAATTATTCAATTCTTCCACCTTTTTTTCATCTGGTAGGTTAGTATCTTCCTTTTTCCTTACTGGCTTATCTGGACGGTCATCTTTGACTATAAACAATCTTATTTGGAAAAAATGAGGACCTAAACTGAAAGAACCATCGCATAGTTTAACCATTACATCTCTAGCACTGACTTCACTCCCTAATACTGGAACTCTTTCATTTTGATCTTTAGTCAGTTGATGTGCTCTACCACGACCCACATTGGATGCAGTATGATGCCCTCTTGGATCTTCTTTTTCTTTCTCCTTCTCTTGTTCAGCTAACTTCTTAGCATATGAACTTTGTTTCACCCAAAATAGTTTAAACATCGGAGGATTATGAAGATAGTTGTATCGCGATCTTAGTAGTGAATTATATAAAACAGCGCTATCTTTAATAGTCAAGGGATTGTTGAAAGCATCTTCATAATGACCATCTGGAGGGGCATTGTACGATAACGGCAAACCATTTAGCGTTTCAAAAGGACGAACAATTGTTCGAGATAGCTGTTCTTGTTCTCGTTCAATTTCCTCTCTTTTCGCCGATGCAATACGACGTCTCATACGAGGCGGCATGGTTGTTGATCAATATCTCTATTCTTATATATATGATTTTTTAAAATAAGTTTTAATTATCTTTTCATCAATGATTTTTGAAAAGTATTTCTTCAGTATTGTATTTATTTTTTTTTCCTCATACTTTCGGTTGTACTGCATATTATCAAATAAAGAGTTTGCAACCTACAAGAGAATAGATGGATTCTCTTATTCCATACATCTTTGGTGTTTCGCTTTTGAAAGATAAATCTAGCTAGGGTCAGAGTGACTACTTAAGAATAAATGAGTAAATGCAATAGAGAAAAATCATAAACCATCTTCCAACGCGTCCAAGCCTTGGTTGAATGATTTAATCATAGAATCCAATTCACTGATCAACTTGTCTTTAGGTACAGTGTCCATGAAAAATTCTGGGTTTATAGCTGGGATTAGTGGGAATTTCGTTTTGGAGACAACAGTAGCTGAGGATGGAGAAGTTCCACCTAGAGAAGTGGTTCTTGGAAGGAAAAGATTAGATCCCGTTGTATTGGTGGTTATAGGAGCCGTGTTTGGAGCGGAATTTGAAGCTGACTTCTTCTGCCCTTGGACTTGTTGTGTTTGTATATTAGTGGTGAAGTGTCTTTGTCCAATTGAAGATGTAGACTCGGTACGTTCCCTGTTTTGATGAGCATGTTCTTCAGCTGGATTTTCTCTTTCGGCAACAGGAGTCATAGTCATAGGGAAGTTTGTTAATTGAGAAATACTTACACCAAACTGGTTTACTGCACTGTCTGTATTTTCATTGTTGACGTCCTGTTCGTATTCATTATTTGTAAGGGCAGACAAACTATTGAATGTCGTGGAAGGAGTAGGCATTTGAATGTGTAAACTTGGTTTGCCCTTTCTAGGCTTGGGGTGGTTGGTTGGTGCTGCTGTTGAGGAAGTAGATGGGGGATTTGTTGTGGATCCTGAACTTGGGGCATCGTTAGTTGATTTGGAGCTATATGCTGTTAGATTTGATGATTCTGGAAGCTTCATGTTAATGGGCTGTAATAAGGGGTTATTGTTTGAATGTAAAGCCCGCATAGATTTCGAAGGAGACCCTGTATTAGCTCCACTTGCTTCATGAAGTAAAGCTGATGAAGGAGGAGGAGCAGGAGAAGGAGTTTTTGAATGAATGTGATTACTAGTATAAGGTGGCGTGTGGGGCATAGCTTGTTGTTGCTGTTGAGGGTCAGGAACAAGAGGAGAGTCTTGGGAATGTAACGATTCTTGATTACTCAAATTTGAAATGGAGCTACTAGCAGTATTCGAAATGGTTAATTTCCTAGGACGATTCATAGTGGAATTGGCGGAAGATCTAGACTCCAAGGCTGCTGAAGCTGATTGGGAGTGGTGTAAAGCTGGAGGTCGACTCAATTGATGGTTAGAAGGGTTAGAAGTGGTGCCATTTGCTTGATTTAAGTTTTTACTAGCAAAGTTAGCTAAATTGTCCATATCAGGGATTTCAATGGTAGGGGATTCAACGCGGTTATCATTCAAATTTGCAAAGCTAGTAGGTAATTCGAAATCCTTACTGCTTATTGTACTAGGAAGGGGATTAATTTCTGGAGAATTTTCTTCGAATAAAGATTGTAGTGATTTAGGAATCTCTGAAGAAGCTTTTATTGTCTGGTGATAAGTATTTGTATTTTGGGTATTCTGATTTGGATAAGTAGCATTATTTGATTGATCGTTATATCGATTCAAGTTTATTGTACTGTTCTTCGAGCTATTATATCTATTTGAGTACCCTTCCTGTCTAAGGGTATCGGTATTTGGATCTTGGGGTGATTTAAAACCATCTTCACCATCATAAGAATCAGTAACTTTATTCATACTTATATCATTATCGATGATATATTCACGACTACTTAAGGAGTCGAAATCCCATTTAACTTGAAGATTAGTATTATCATTACCAGGACTATCTTGAGTTTGCTGTAAATCATCATTTAAATTTAGGAAAACTGATTCTCTCGAAGAATTCTTATCTCTCCAAAGTAAATATTTTGAGATTATTTCTTTTAAAATTGAAGTCGGATAATTACGGTAAAATTTCATTAATTTACATTTTTGTAAATCATCTGCTGAAGGTCTCTCAACGGGACTTTCATCCAAGCATAATGCTATACATTCTTTCAATGCAGCAGAATATTCACGACCTTCTAAACGAGGAGGAGTCAGTTTTGAAATCATTTGCATTGCCCACATTGCATCTTTATCACAATACGGAGGGTTACCGGTGGCAATTTCATAAATGGTTATACCAAGGGACCATATATCAGCTTTTGAATCATACTGATCACCTTCACGAATAACTTCAGGTGCCATCCAATAAGGAGTCCCAGCCATGGTTGTTCTTTTGACTGAACTACTAGTAACTTTAGCAGCAACCCCAAAATCACAGAGTTGTACATTACCTTCATTTGTAATTAAAATATTGGCCGATTTCAAATCACGATGAATAACTCCCAATTTGTGAACTGCTTGCAAAGCAGTGAGACATTCTCTTACTATAACCGCAATATAGCGTTCTTCGAAGATACCTGCCTTCAACAAAGTACGGACTGACCCACCAGCACAGTAATCCATTATGATCCAGAGCTTCGTATCATTAAGAATAGATCCATAGTAATGTGTCACATTGGGAACCGTCTTCAAATCAGTTAAAAATTGAATCTCCTGTTGAACATCGGCCACTTCATCTTCTTGTGTATCTAGATTAAGAACCTTGATGGCCACTACTTGCTTCGTTTGCTTATGGAAGCCTTTATAAACAACCCCAAACTTCCCTCGTCCAATGACTTCGGTTCGTTTATAATGTGATATCGAACTCATTCTGATCTCTTCCTTCTAGTTGGAACACACTCAACTTTACTAAATAATAATATAAATAAGTGAGAGTTGCTTAACAACGTGTAGGCTGAATATTTCTAGACACTATCCGGGTATAGAGGGCCTATAAAGAATGTTTTTTAGCTGATACCACGTATTGATATAACCCTAAAACGCCATCTATCTGATCGATTCTTTTCTGTAAAAACTGTAACAACCGTACACCTTACAAAAAAAAAAAACACGCTTTTCTTATTAATCAGTGCTAAGAACTAATGTATGAAGGAGCCGTGGAAATATATGTTGGGAGTAGTTTCATATGGTGCTGACTGAGCTTCCCAGATTCAAATTAGACCAATATTAGTTGATTATTTATCTGGTATTAGCTGGTAAGTTGATCTAGTAGTTAACTGGTGGTGTATGGATGCAAATCAGGAGTCAAAAGAAAGAGTCATAAAGGAAAAAAATCAAATTTGAAAAATTGAAAAATTGAAAAATTGATATATTGAATTTATAAGCTCCAGTAGAAGACCAGAAAGAAGTTAGTGTTGTTGCTGAAATGCCTAGAGAAGCCACTATCAAGAGAATCACCAACGAAACCAAGATCCAGATTGCCATATCGCTCGATGGTGGGGCAGTTGAATTGGAAGAATCACTTTTTGAAGAGAAGAATGCTGCCAAATTGAATGGTGGTGAATCACTGGGACATGCTACACAATCCACATCATCCCAGCTCATTGAGGTCCACACTGGGGTGGGATTTCTCGATCACATGTTGCATGCTTTAGCCAAACATTCCGGCTGGTCCTTAATTATTGAATGTATTGGAGATCTTCACATAGATGATCATCACACTGCGGAAGATGTTGCTATCAGTTTGGGTATGGCTTTCCATAAGGCTTTGGGCCAGGTGAGAGGAGTTAAAAGATTTGGTACTGGGTTTGCTCCTTTGGATGAAGCTTTGAGTAGAGCAGTTGTTGATTTATCAAATAGACCTTATGCGGTTATTGAATTAGGTTTGAAAAGAGAAAAAATCGGTGACTTATCTTGTGAAATGATTCCTCATGTTTTAGAAAGTTTTGCTCAAGCTGCTGCTATTACTTTACACGTTGATTGTTTAAGAGGATTTAATGATCATCATAGAGCTGAGTCTGCCTTTAAGGCATTGGCCGTGGCTCTTAAAGAGGCAATTTCGTCAAATGGTACTAACGAAGTTCCAAGTACCAAAGGTGTTTTATTCTAGCTCTGTATATTTATTCATATTATTTATTGATTAATATATTTATTTGTAAAAATGGTATCGCAGTAGAGAGTAGGGAAAAAAAAAGAACCAAGTTGAAAAAAATTCAAGTCATCTCCAACTTCTCCACGGTTACAGAATGGTTAAAAACATAGTGAGTATTAGAAGCTTGTGTCAAAGTACGATCAGTAATGCAACCTTTCGTTCTCAAGTGAAAATACCGAAAGAGAAGCTCAATAAGTCAAGGACTTTCGATAAAAGTTTCCCGGATCAGACTAACAAAAAGAAGATTTGGGAAGAAAGAGGGATTAGTAAAGATGAATTTTTCATGAGAAAGTATGGTAATATAAGTGAAGATCAAAGAAAGAAGCTCAAAGAAAAAGTTGAACGTCAAAGAAGATTGAGAGCTCTTCGTGTGGAGCATGAATCATCAAAGCTAGATAAGAAACCAAAAAGAGAAGTTTCACCTTTAGTTAATTGGAAACTGATCAAAAATCCAATGAGTGATTACTTGTACGGTACTCATCCAGTATTAAGTGCATTAATGTCAAATAAAAGAGGGGGGTTCAACCGATTAATTGCATTAGAATCGATCAAAGATAGTAAAGATGACAAACATTTAAAGATCAAACAATTATGTAAGAATTTTGGTATTAAAATAACTTATGAACCTTTGAGGCAGAATTTGGATAGGATCAGTGATAGAGGAGTACATAATGGAGTTATATTAGAAACAAGAAAACTCTCACCACCTCTTGTGGAATCATTGTTGAAGGTTGATAAGGAAGGAGAATATCAATTAAAATTTTACGAGGAATCTTACGGAAATAGTACAACTGAAAGTTTTCAAATAGCAAGAAAGGAAGGACAATTCCCCTTAGCATTATACTTGGATGGGATAACTGATCCTCAGAATGCAGGTGCCATCATGAGACTGGCTTATTATTTAGGGGTTGATTTTGTTATAGTACCTGAACATGATAGTGCTAGATTAGGACCAGCCGCTAGTAAAGCCAGTGGAGGAGCTCTTGAATTAATGTCAATATATAAAAATGACAATGCCATTCCCTTCTTGGAAGACGCCAAAGGAAACGGATGGGGGGTATTAGTGGCAGATGCAAAACCCACTGCTGATCAATTAAAGGACTTGAACGAGAACTATTCCAAGCACTTGGTTAACAAGTATGTTGAAACGAGCGATTTGTCGGATCTTTTGGAGCAAATGCCTATTTTATTGGTGATGGGTAGTGAAGGTGCCGGCGTAAGAACCAATATTAAGCTTCGGGCCGATTTTTTGGTTGGCTTAGAGAAAAGTCGCCATGTTAACGACGATGATATTGATAGCATAGTCGACTCGTTGAATGTAAGTGTCGCAACTGCATTACTCATTGAAAAGTGTCTTTCAAAATAAAAACCTCCTTACTTATGTGTAAATAGCTAATTTCAATAAATTCAACTTAATTGTTGGTTGTATCTTCAACTTTTTGCAATACCTTCTGGCAAAACCTAACTGTTTCGCGAAGTGAAGACGTGATGTTTCACTTTGATGTTTACATTTCACAACTTTGTATTACTAAGCTCCTTTTCAAGAACTAGCTGATTTTAATTGGGGGTATAAAAAGCATTCAAATCTGTCAGCTTTTTTTGTTGAGTAAATATCCAACTTTCAAGAGATCAGCTCATATTTACTGTTGGCTCCTTGTAATACCTTTTACACTTGTGTTGAATTTTCACCTTTTCTATTCCCCTTGTAAAAGTAGCTTATACGTCTCATACTGGATATTCTTCTAGTCTGTTCTTCACTAAGCGAATCTGATCGTCTGACGATTTTGCAAAACTTCGCATTTTGGTTCCAGGTTTAGTTTTCCAAAAAAAGATAACGAAATCTCTTATCTTTAACAATAAGATCACGACTACCTTTAAACCCACTAGTTTCTACCCAAAAACTTTAGTTGAATACTTCAATAAGGTCATGGTCGATTACCATCTTGTTGTGTTGGTTCATGGGCTCTGGGGAAACCCATCTCATCTTTTGTACATTGAAAAACAACTCGAAAATCATTTTAATGAGCAAGCTCTGCAACATGAGCAAGTAATTATTTATAAGACAGGCTCACATTCTGGATTTTTAACTTATGATGGAATCGATGTTAATGGGAAGAGAATTGCTGATGAAATTTTGAGAGAAACTGTGAGTTTATCGAATAATACCGCTTCAAAAGATCGAGTAACTAAATTTCTGATTATTGGTTATTCTCTTGGTGGGTTGATATCAAGATTTGCTTTGGGTATTTTATATTTTCAAAAGTATTTTGATAACATTGAGCCCATAAACTTTATAAGTTTCTGCTCTCCTCATGTTGGGGTATTAGCACCTGGAGAAAATATATCAGTTAAGTTATTCAACAAGATAGTACCTCATTTCCTAGCCCATTCTGGTTACCAGTTATTTCTTAAAGATTCCAAAATCGTCTCACCTTCGAGTAAATTACCTAATGTTAATGATTTACCTTTATTGGTGTGGATGGCTGAAACCAATTCGGTTTTTTTCAAAGCTTTGCAGAAGTTCAAGTATAGATCCTTATATGCTAACATAGTTAATGATAAGAGAACATGTTGGTTTACCTCTGCTATTGAGGAAGCTGATCCTTTCAATTCAATGTCCAATGAGAACCCATCAGCATATAAATTAGATTACATTAAGAACTATGAACCCACGGTTATTGACTTCAGTAAACCTATTTGTTATGAGAAGGCTGCTCCACCTACTTCGGATAATTTCGATCAAGGTTCTAAATTTCAAAAATTTCTTATCAGAAAATTCAATTGGTTAAAAGTTTTGGGTAATTTGTTATTATTTACACCTTTATGGAGTATTTTCTTCATTGGCTCTTCCTTATTTCAAAGATTTAAACTCAATAGAAGAGTTAATGATTTTTTCAAAGATGGCTCAAATAGTTTGATTTACTTGTATGACTTTATAAATGAAGATTCCAATAATACTAATAACTCTTTTGATGATCTTGAAATGCCCAAAAATCTGCTTAATAGTCATGATAATAATGACTATTTGGAAGCACTAGGAAAAGAAATTAATAATACAATAAAAGATCAAACCGACACTTTTGTTGAATCAGTTTACGACGCCATGAATAGCGAGTATACCGATGGTTATAGTATTCATAATAGAGACACATCAAAAGAAATATTAAAACCCAATAGTGATGAGTTCAAATTAGAATTAACACCCCAACAAAATTTCATCATTGAAAAATTGAATACTCTCATTTGGAATAAATTCCCCATTTTGATCAGAAATACCAAAGCTGCTCATGCTGCTGCTATCGTAAGATATCAAGATGACAAGTTTGAAGAAGGTAAAACTGTGGTAAATCATCTCGTAAACGAGGTTTTCCAATTATCTTGATTTCTACTTACGTTAGTTATCCATTTTTTTAAAAACAAAAAGAGTTTATAATTAACATATATTATTATATAAGAATAAAATTAAAATTCAATCTAGAAAAATAACTTTTTTTTTGTTTTGATTGTTTGTACATATATTCTTATATTAATTGGACATAATTCGCAGGGAATATACCGGTAGTACCGTTATTTCTACCAGTCCACCAATCATCGGAGGTTTCTGATTTTTTCAAAATATCAATTACATCACCTTTATTGAATGGTAAATCTCCAGTTTGTTCACCTTTAAAAGTATATAATGCTATTGCTTGATTACCATTAGCACCAGAGCTTGAACCTCCAAATGATGGTTTAGAAGATGAAGGTCTTGACGGACTACCTGCCCCATTTGAGCTTATTCTAGTATTGGAAAATCTAGAATTTAAATTATCAACATCACTATTTGTTCGTCTTCTCGAATTGGTTGAAGCGGAATTATCATAAATATCATCTTCCCAAGCTGATCTACGAGAATTGGTAGCCTTTCTTGTTGAGCTACCACCACTTGCACCACCATGTTTTCTATTATATCTGCTGTAATCACCTCTTGAATAAGAATCATCATCAGAATAATCATCATCAGAGTAGCCATATTCATCACTATATCTTCTACTACCCATTGAATGGATACCTGCTGCACCACCTCTTCTTCTTTCACCTCTTCTTGATGAATATTCAGAGGTTGTATCTGAGAATTCTGATGGAGAAGGGATATCATCGTAATAATCATCATTATAAAATTCATCGTCATCATAAGGTAATCTATTATTGAAAACCCTACTTTCCAAAACTCTCATTAAGGAATCACAAGCAGGTGGAATATCAACTCTGCCGGCCAAAATAGTTCTTGCTTTACAATTAGGACCGTAAAACTTACGATTTGCATCTCTTCTTTCCACAATTGCTGAACCTTCTAATGAAACACCTGCAAATAAACCTTTGGTTTTAGAATAGGCAAAAACGGCTGAAGCACTCTTCAATGAAGCAGTACCTGCAGCTTCGGCATTTCTACCCAATGGACCTGCAGCAACAGATATATTGGTACCCAAGGTAATTGAACCCAATTGAGCAAAAGAATCAACCGCTGCTTTTGAATTCAAAATGAAAACAAAATCAGTGATTTCTGCACCAATTTGACCCCCTACACCTGCTCCTGCAGTGACAATGGCAGATGGTGCAGACCAGCTTCCATCAGGCAACCTTGCTACTATAACACCAGAACCTGCTCTCCCAGAGAAAAGAAATCCGGCTTTTAAAACGGTGATGACTGCAAGTCCTTTGGCATTCTTCAAAATGTTTGGAGGAATGATCTGATCCGGGCCGGCAACCTGGTTCGGCTTTATAAACGACGAAAGAACTTTGGCAGCTTTCCTAAATTGAAGTTGGTTGTTAGTATCTTATCAAAAACTTCGTTTTCTCTTTTTTTTTTTTTTTTTTTTTTTTTTTTTCACTTCGAAAACGGTGGGGTACTCCCGAACTCACGAGTTCTAACTCAATACATACTTTGATTCACTCTTCAAACTTCTTGGAATTGGATTATTGAGACCCATATCTGGAAACTAGTCGAGTTCTATAGTTGAATGAAAAAAAAGGGTAAAATCCTAGAGATCTGTAGTGGAACTTCAAATCGCAAATTAATGGCAAATTAAGGTTCGGGAACGGGACTTATTAATGAATTATACGAGAATTGATAAGCAATTGAGCAGCCTCAATCGTATACGCTGAATTGGGTATATGGGAATTGGATATACCGAAATCAAGAAGGAGCTGAGTAATCAATAAGGGAAAGGAATAAAGAAAGGAATGGTATTAAACTCAGAGTACCGTGCCTCCCAAATTTCCCTGACTTCCTTTTTTTTTCTTACTACTTTTTTTTCTTCTCTTCCGGACAGCTGAGGAACGGGTCTTTCTTATTCGTATAACCAGCCCCGAAGACCTTATGATCTTGGACACTTGTTATTGTAAAACGACCAATAACGATTCTAGAAAACTGGCACGATATAAGGTTGGAAGAATAGAGAGTGGTCATACAATTCTTGGTTGCATATATACGATTGGGGGGAACTTAATCATACCAAGCAAAGACTATGAGCTCTTTGCTTTTATTCACACTGCTTAAAAGCATGCTATTCATTAGTCTTCTCGATTAGTGTTATCGACGGCCCAACGTGTGGTTAGGACTTGAAGGGTTTTTATGAAAAAAATTGGAAAAAAGAAAGGGGCGAGCTGGGAATTGAACCCAGGGCCTCTCGCATGCTCAGTGATGTTCCGTTCAGTGTACTGAACAGTCGCCCAAAGCGAGAATCATACCACTAGACCACACGCCCGATTTCATGTCAGTTTTAAAACCTGGTTTTCTATACTAGCGTTTATTACATATGTATTTTAACGCTAGGTTTTATGGCAAATTTTTTATTATTAGATATTTTGAACTCTACTTTTATTTACCTATTTCTCTTGAAGCCATTAGAGCCTTATTCAACTTTTAAGTACGCTGTCTAAGGATATGTTTCATTTCTCCTCGTTTTTAGTTTTCTCGTTTTTTTACTTGACTACGGAGAAGTATACATATTCAAGGTTCATGGAAGGAAGACATTAATCGAAATCGAAAAAAGAGCAGATCAGAAGTTTTAGTTAATAAAAATAACTTGAATGGAGTAGATAAGTTCCAAGGATTTGGTCGAAGGTAATAGAATATCCATATATATCAGCTTCTTATACCGTCAACCGCCGCCTATTAGTATATTGTTCTTTTCTTAGGATTTGAATCTTTGTTTTTAGCAATTATTATTAATTTTTATAATTTGTATAGTTTTTATAGTTTTTATAGTTTTCATAATTTTTATCATTTTTTATCAATTTTGTTCAATTTTCGGTTTTTTGCAACAATTTCTTTGAACTTAACTTATCCATTACATGAAAATTGTTTCAAATATACATTTCTAGGATATTTCAACAACCATCAACAGCATTCTATATCCTATTTATCCAATTTAAAGCTTACAAGAGTGTAGTTACTCTATAAATGATAGCGGTGTACGGATCATGTTTTTAGTCACACGATCGCAACCTCCAGATTTCGAGGTTATCTGTGCCTCATGAAACGATATATAACAATAAATACTTTATCAGCCTCTTTTCTCGAAATATTTACTTGACTTTAGACAAAAAAGTCAGTTGTTAATCAATTGAAATAACTAAAAGAAAGTGGAAATGGGTTTCGAGTCTCTTGGAGGTGTAATTGCCAAAAAATTGGTTCATAAGGCTGAACAAAAATATAAAGAACATCAAAATCATTCTGGTTCAGCGTCCACAGGAAATGTGAATGAAAATGCTTCAATTAAGGACGATAATAAGAATTTACCCCCTTTACATATTCAAATCTATTCACACAATATTAGACAAGATGCAAAAAACTTAATGGAAGGAGAACAACCCTGGGTAGTGAGAAGAGCAGGTGTTGAAGCAGCCATTAAATTTGTTGCATCCCAAAACGTTCCTACTTTGTTTGGCTTCCAAGAAGTAAAACAAAATCAATTGAATGATATCTTACAATCTTTAGGACCAGATTGGTCTTATTTTGGTGTTGGTAGAGATGACGGTAAAACTAGGGGTGAATATGCTCCTATTTTATACCAGAGATCAGAATGGGAATTGTTATCGGGTAAAACAATTTGGTTAGGTACCACACCTGATCGTCCAAGTAAAGGTTGGGACGCAGCTTATGAAAGAATTGTCACCGATGTTATAGTGAAACATAAGAAGCTGGGAAAAATTGTCAATTACTTAAATACCCATTATGACCATAGAGGTAAAAAGGCAAGAGAAAACTCGTCTAAACAAATTGTTGATATTATGAACAAGTCTCAAGGAACAAGTTTACTAAGTGGTGACTTTAACAGTGAAAAACATGAAGAAGCCTATCAAACATTATGCAAATCATTATACGATACTTCTTGCAATGCTAAGGAAAAGAAAGGTTTTGAACATACCGACACTGGTTTCAAAAAAGGACGGGAACAAAAAAGTATTGATTTTATTTGGGCCCCAGAAGGTGTTCCGATAATTAAGCACGAAGTATTACCTTCGGAATATAATGGTTACTTAATGAGTGATCATCGTCCAGTGACTGCAATTTTCGAAGTTTGAAGACTAAATTATTTTTACAATTTCTTTTCTTTTTAATTTCATTAACTTATTTTAAGAGAAATCGAACTTTATATAAATACATGTAGTTATAAAAAATAGATTATAGAATCGTATTTTGAATTTATTCATCATCTTCTAAATCTTCACCTGATAATATGAATGGTTCAGGCATTGGTGCTTCGGTGATATTTAATTGTCTAACGGTTTTGATAACTTCAACTTTTTCATCTGGTTTAGTATCTTCTAAAACAATAATACCACCACTGCCTCTAAATCTTCTTACTGGGACAAATCTATCATTGATAAAAGACACATAATTTGATTGTGCGGGTAAGATTCTCGATAAGTTATTTATTTTATAAGGGGTTTTACTGTAACGAACTTGATTCGATTGATCAAGGTTTTTATCTTCATCTTTAACTTCTTTCTCTTTATTATTATCGTCCTGTTTGGTAGGTTGTTCGGAAGCTTCCTTTTCAACTTCCATTTTATCACTACCATCTTCTTCTTGTTTCTTGGCTTGTGATTTCTTAGCTCTTGCTTTGGCCTTAGCAGTTGTAGATAAAACAGCAGTAGCAATTTTATCTGGTTGCTTTTCTTTGGATTCTTCAACTTTAGGTGGATATTGGAATAATTCAGGTTTGGTATGAACATTAATTTCAAATTGTGGCGCTTTCAAATCTTCTTTAACACCAATGAGGACAGTAGGAGTAAATGATAATGATAAGAAATGTGCCAATGGGAACCAGTACCATGATTGAGCAAATAAAGTTAAACCAACTATAGCTTTAACATTCAAAGTGTTAGTTTGTGCATTTTCAACATTAATAGTGACATTACGACCACCTGCATCGATAATACCTTGAGCCAAAGTAGCACCAAATTTAGCTAATGCATCTTCATGTTTATTTTTAACGGTGTCGGCGTATAATTTGTTGAATGATTTAACTTTAGGATTAAGTTTTTCAGTTTGTTGTATTAAAATCATAGCACTGGCTTGTAAAGCACCTTGTCTTACAAAGTCAACAGGATCCTTAGTTAAAGGTTCTAAAACTTCAATGGCGGCAGGTAAGGCTCTACCAGCGCATGCAATACCTAAAGCCATGGCGGTACCGTAACGAACATGAGGGTTATGTGATTCTGCTAATAATTCAACAATTTGAGGGGCTGCAGTATAGTCACGGATTAAAACAAGACCCAAACCCATCACGGATGCTCTTCTAACATCATCAGAAGGATCAGATACAGCAAAGTGTAGTAATTTTTTAATGGCGCCATTATTACCAGTACCAGCATAAGCCAAAGCAACAGTGAAAACACCACCGTATCTTAAGATGGAATTTTCTTGAGTTAATAATTGATCAATGACAGATTCCGAAGACTCTTCTCTTCCATAACATAATAATGCGATACCAATTGCTAAACCACGAATAATGGTTTCATGTTGAGTTTCTTGAGCATAAGTTAACATATCATTAATAGCGCTTTCATTACCAGAACCCAACATCACCAAACCCATAGCTAAACCAGCAGCTTGACCAGAAATTGCTGAATCAGAATATAAAACAACTTTCAAAGCTTCATAAAGACTTTCTGAATTAGAAGCCATACCAGCAACACCCGCACCAAGACAAGCACCATGTAACATAACATCAGTATCAGTAGAACCAGCAGAATTACCATGTTCATCAATGAATTGTTTCAAATAATCAATAATTTCTCTCCCGTGACCAGTGAAGATTAAACCAAGAGCGAAAAGAGAACCACCATTAGTGTGAGGAGCACCAGAAGAGCCTGGTAAATAAGGTTTTAAGATATTACGACCTTGAGATAAATTACCTTTATGAATAACCCCTAAAGCTGCAGTGGCAGAAAATTTGGACCAATTGGTTGCTTTACCTAACCATTCCAAGTTTTTACGGAAGAAAGAATCATCAGTAGTACCAACATGCATGAATGCATTTGAAAAAGTAACAGCAGAATGGAAGATTGAGCTTCTGCCTTCTAACAAGTTTTTCGATTTATTTAAAATGGAGATATCGGTATTATTATTCTTGTATAAGAAAGTGATATCTAAATCACAAGTTGGAACACCACTTAAGATGTATAATAATCTCGATTGAACTGGATCCTGTGGTTTAAAAGATTCGTCGTCTTTCAATTCATTAATAACTTTATCTAATAATTCTTGATTAGCAGTACTAACCAAGTCAAAAGCTCCTTGATAGGCAATTAATTTTTTATCTTTTTCAATTAATTGTTTGAATAATTGAATAGCAATTTTAGAATCATTTAATTGAACGATAATTTTGAAAATAGTGAAAAAATCTTGATTTTTTTGTAAAGATAATAATAAATCAATTAAGGAATTTAAAACTTGAGTTCTGAAGGCGGTATTTTCAATAACTGTATTTGAACAAATCAAGACGTAATTTATTAAATTTAAAGCATTTTCTTCATCGGTTGAGATTTGATTTTTCAAAATTGATTCAACTATATCTAATCTGAAACTTTCTAAAGATATACCTAATGCCAATTTAAATTCATTTGCTTTAATACATTTATCCAACATTCTTTCAAAGATACCAGTTAATCTTGGATCAATTTCTACTGATTCACCATTAAATTTTTTAGTAGATAATGAATTATAAAGATTAATACATTGAGAAACAATAGTTTCTATATATTGAGATTGTTCTTCAATATTGAATTCATTACCAGCGAAAAGGGAATATTTGACTGAAGCTTCAAAATCTCCCAAGTTGTAGTAAACTTTTGATATGACTAATGCTGCCAATGATCTTTTTTCAAATGATTCATCTTCATATAAATCTTCCAAGTCAGTGATGTTATTGGCAATTTCAACCCATAATTGATCAACGACTTCATTAAGGGATGTTAAAGCATATTGCTTCAAGCTAGAATCTTGTTCACTTAGTAAAGCCAAGTATGGAGCTGCTGAAACCAATGCCATGTTTTTGTTAACTCTGTTCTTCTTTTCAAGACGTTATTGCACTTAGAATACAGCCGATATAAAATCAATTGAACTATTGTTTGAATGGTAATTTGGATGTAGTTGATAACTATCATTTGATTTCCATTGCCACCAAAACTTCGAGTTTACTCAGTCTTTTTCTCTCTTTTTTTTTTTTTTTGATCAAGACACTATACACCCGTACACACCATATCCAGACATCCAGATATATACAAAGAATTATATAAAGATTTTTATTAAAACTATTTAATTATCAAGGAGATTAATATAATAAACGGGTTGCGATTTTGTAAGGGGTTTGTTCTAATTGTTCGTATAAGGATTTGATATCAGCAAGATCGACTTGAGAGATATCGGCCATTAAGTAGGCAACATCACCTCTTGAATCGGTGAATTGTTTTTCAATATTATGATTTGATAAGATATTGTTAACAGTTTTCAAGACCCCAGGAACATTTTGATGGATATATAAGACTCTAACAGAGTTTTCTTGATCTAAATCTAAATCTCTTAAAGAGACTTCTGGGAAATTAACTGCACCAATTGAACTACCTTCATTAATATATTTAGTTAAAGAAGAAGCAACTTCAACACCAATTGAAGACTGAGCTTCTTCAGTGGAACCACCAATATGAGGAGTTAAGATGACATTTCTTAAGGAAGTTAATTCTTCAGCCCAAGAGTTTAAATCATTATTGAATAAATTTTCACCATTTTTAGCTGGTTCATTTGGATAAACATCTAAAGCAGCACCGGCAATTTTACCTGATTTCATTGCTTGAACTAAAGCAGCAATATCAACAACAGTACCTCTTGAAGCATTGATAACATAAGCACCATCTTTCATTGCAGCAAATTGAGGAGCACTTAATAAATTAGCAGTTTCACTAGTGGCAGGAACATGTAAAGTAACAAAATCAGATTTTGATAATAATTCATCTAAAGTATCAACTTGTTTTGAATTACCTAAGGCCATAATCATCACAACATCATAATAGATGACATTCATACCCATGGCTTCAGCCAAAACCGATAATTGAGAACCAATATGACCATAACCAACAATACCTAAAGTTTTACCTCTAATTTCCCAACATTTTGAACTAACTTTATTCCAAGTACCGGTGTGTAATTCAATAGAACGATCACCTAATTGTCTGGCTAAAGTGATAATTTCAGCAATGACTAATTCAGCAACTGATCTTGAATTTGAAAATGGAGAGTTGAAAACTGAAATTCCTGATTTAGCAGCATATTCTAAATCAACTTGATTAGTACCAATACAAAAACATCCAATAACAACTAAATTTTTAGCGTGTTGTAATATTTTTTCAGTTAACTTAGTTTTTGATCTAATACCAATTGCATGAACATCTTTAATTTTTTCAATTAATTCATCTTCTGGTAATGAGGATTTATAAAATTCAACTTGATATCCTTGATTTTTGAAAATATTAATTGCAGTTAAATTAACATTTTCTAATAATAAAATCTTAATATCTCCAGTTGAAAATGGTTTTAAAGCTTTACTAGTTTTTTGTTGATTACCTCCTGGGAAATATTGTGATAAATATGATTGAGTTGGAGAAGTTGAAACTGCGTTAGGAGAACCAGAAATATTCATGGCTTTTTGGAAAGTATTGGAAATTTGTTCAGCTGACATGGTTAAATTGATGTTATCTTAATTCTGTAAAAGAATTTGCAAAAGAACAGCAAGAAGAAGACTATTTAACTTGGAAAATTAACTTGAAAAATTAATCCGGTCAAAAGCTTCTGACTCAAGCAGTAGTTAAGTGAAAATTCGCACCGTAATAAATTTATTGAAGTATTAGCAGTTAAATCTTAATGGGAGGATCACGTGCCCGTTGCTAATATTCCGACCAAAGCATGGGGAGATTAGCAGCAGTTAAGGAAAAATTTTCACTTGGGTGAGTCATTCTAATGAACTCCTAAGGGCTCTTAGTGGCTGCTGTTGGCTCCCATGGGTACCCATGGTGAAGAAGGCTGTTTAACGGATGATCTCCAAGAGATCTGGGGTAATCTACACTGATAGTGGAGCCATTCGTACCTCATCAAGAGTATCGACGGGGGAAACGGGCTGACTCGGTTTTGGAGAGTGACTCGTCCCGAGGCGATGGGGCCGGAGTCAAGCACCCCAGCCCTCCGTACACCAGAGAGCGGTAAGCGAACGACTCCGAGCAAACCTCCGTACATTTACATCTTCCCTTATTACTTTATTACTTTTACCTTATTACTTTATTACTTTTAATTATTACTTTTACCTATTTACTTTTACTTTTACTTATTACTCTTACTTATTACTCTTACTTATTACTCTTACTTATTACTCTTACTTATTACTTTTACTTATTACTCTTACTTATTACTTTTACTTATTACTCTTACTTATACTTTATTACTTTTTCTTATTATTTACTATTGTTTACTACTTTATTTCCAGAACTTCTGTTCGGACAAACTCTTACTTGACTTGACTACCTGACCTCTTACTTACGCTAACACAACTAGCGAGCGCATTCGTGAGGTCATCTTGTCACTTTGCATTACTCTGTATCTTATACTCATCGCATGTACTCGTTCTCCGGCGGTCCTGTAACTCAAGATTCGATCGGTGCAAACAATCGTCGTTTGACCGTTTTGCAGTAATTCGGCACATTGTCTTCGCTTACCTTCTTTTTCTCCTAATTCACTCTGCAATTGCCATGTTATAATACTACTCTGTACTACTGCTCTGTACTACTGCTCTGTACTACTGCTCTGTACTACTGCTCTGATACCTCTAATTACTGTGTACTACTAATCCTGAAAGAGTCACTGTACGGGTGTTTCATTTGGCGGAGACCATTTTTCCGGCTCCGACAGCCACAGCATGACAATACCAATGGCACCAGACTAAAGTGGCAGTAGTAGCTATAGAGTGTAGAAAAGCAGATTAAAAGATACCGGGAAGTGCACCCACGCATGAAAATATTGTAATTTTCAATCATGTCCGTTGGTTTCGCATACCGTGTCAACAAAAAACAGTATATAACCGTTTTGTTTTTTTCATGTTGAGATTTCTGCCCTTCTTAGTTCTTCTTTGACTTTTTCTCTTTGACCTCTTTGACTTTCTTCTTTGAATTATTAATAAACCATGTCATTCTCTCATAAAGAACAACCAGATGTTTTAGTACTTTTCGATGTTGATGGTACTTTGACCCCAGCTAGATTAACCATTTCTGATGAAATGAGAACTACTTTAGAAAAATTAAGAAAAAAAGTTGTTATTGGTTTTGTTGGTGGTTCTGATTTATCTAAACAAGTTGAACAATTAGGTGATTCAGTTTTACAAGATTTTGATTACTGCTTCTCTGAAAATGGTTTAACTGCTTATAAATTAGGTAAAGAATTAGCTTCTCAATCTTTCATTAACTGGATTGGTAATGAAAAATATAATAAATTAGTTAAATTTATCTTAAAACATTTAGCTGAAATTGATATTCCAATTAGAAGAGGTACTTTCATTGAATTTAGAAATGGTATGATTAACGTTTCTCCAGTTGGTAGAAATGCTTCTACTGAAGAAAGAAATGAATTCGAAAAATTCGATAAAGAACATCACGTTAGAGAAACTTTAGTTAACGCCTTGAAAGAAAACTTTGCTGATTACGGTTTAACTTACTCTATCGGTGGTCAAATCTCTTTTGACGTCTTCCCAACCGGTTGGGATAAAACTTACGCTTTACAACACGTTGAAAGTGAAGGTTTTAAAGAAATTCACTTCTTTGGTGATAAATCTTATAAAGGTGGTAACGATTACGAAATCTATACCGATGATAGAACTATTGGTCATGCTGTCAACAACCCAAATGACACCATTAAGATCTTAAATGAAGTCTTTAAATTATAAGTATATAATATTAAGTAGAATATCTCCTATATACGGCTGAACAGAAATATGAAATAGCGTGTAGACCCGTACAGCACACACACCCCATTACACTATATACAATTACTTTCTTTTATAATAAATAGCAGAACTGTCTTCCCCTGCTACAATGATTTGTTCGACCAAATCACCATTGGCTAAAGTAATACCGTCAGACAATTGTAGTCTTCTGGTGATAATGTCATTCATCTTACGAACCAATTTCTTCCTCTGCTTTTTATCGTTAAAATTATCACCAATATCATTTGGCTCTAATAGTTTTGGTATTTGAATCGGTTTACAATTCTTAACTTTTTTACCATTACCAAATTGACCAAATTCGTTATCACCGAAAGTTAAAACATCTTTATAATCTCCATAATTATCCAATGTTATAAATGAATGATTACTTCCACTAGAAATATCTTTAATACCAATATTAGTAGTGATATTTAATTTTTCGTTATATTCATTCATATTCATCAATGATTTAATAATCTGTGGTTGAGGACAAACATGCAAGTATCTTGAATTACCTAATTGCCCTTTAATTCCATTACCAAAACTCATTAAAATATCTTGAGTATTAGATTCGTTTTCATGATCGATATACCTTAATTGAATAAAACTAGTTTCATCATTAGTCGATAATTTTTTTATACCCCAACTAAACTCATTTTTATCATTTTTAAGCAAATGTTTAGTTAAATTACTAAAATCATCAATAGTTAATATCTTTTTAGGTATTGGTTGAATATCAGTATTATAACTAATGTCTCCAGCACATTCTCCAAAAATATTAGAACCCCATGTCCAAATATTTCCTTGTAAATCACTTACTATATTATGATACTTCCCACTTGAAATTTGATTAAATCTTCGGTCTTTCAATGATTTGGTTCCATCTTTTGATAATACTATTTCATTATTCAAATTATTCAATTCAATTGGTTGATTCACAGGAATCTTTAAATCCTCAGTCAACGGTGAAAGCTTGGGTAACCCATATTGTCCTTTATTAATTGGGTCTCCACTAGTATTATTAATAAATAATTTACCTTTATTAGTTAATAATAATAAATGATAAGACCCACCACTGAAATCATTAATTTTTTCTCCGTTTTCTAATCCTTCAAAAATTAACTTATTATATTCTTGCTCTTTATTTATTCCTAACCAATTTCTTTTATTAATACCTTTAAAATCATTTTGCTTATCTAATCTTGGCCCATATAGAATTTCTCCTTTATTATTCAAATAATAAATCAATTCATTAGCTATATGGGCTTTTTCAATTGGAGGTAATTTCATTAACTTAGATTCAGAATCACTAGTTAAATGGTAAACTTTCCCTGATTCATCAATAACAACAATGTAATTTTTAGAAATAACAACTTGTTTTATTAAAATATCATTGAAAAATGGAATTCTAATTGGTAATTTCAGTTTATTATAGTCACCAAATATATATAATCCACTTTGTTTATTAGAATCAGCTAAATTATTAATAATATCAGGATTTTTCTCAAATTCTTCTAATAATTTGGTGATCATATAATCAATGTTTTTTCTATTCTTGGAAGGATCGGTTAAGTCCTTAACTTTTGATTCATTAACATCTCTATAACTGAATTTATTTTTTATCCATTTTGATAAAAACTCGTAATTCATAATTAACTGATGTGTGGTTATAATCCCTACCAATAAGGCAATCCCGGTTGCTAGAGCCTTAATACGTTCTCTACGCTCTTGTTGTTTTTCATATTTGGCCAGTTCAACTTGAAATTCATCATGAAGTTTACTTAATTCATATTTATAATCTGGACTTCCTGGTTTAAATTTCAATAATCTTGGATCTTTTTCAATAATTGACTTAATATTGTCCTCATCTTCTTCAATTTCTGGTTCTTTCTTCTCCTTTATCTTATCGTGGATATCTCGAGATGTCTGATTTGCTACGTCTTCATCAATGTCTCCAAACAGATATTCCTTTTTCATCTTGTTGAAATCTTCGATTGATCTATACTTGATATCATTGCTATCCTTTTTATCGCTGTAAAAACGACCTCCAATATAATTCACCGGCACAGGTCGAGCCAACCTGGCCGTCAACCTTCTGGCAATGCATTGTCTTATCATTATCGGTGTGATGAGCTAGCTTTACAGAAGAGCTAAACCGGCAATTTTTTTTTTTTCTCTGTTGCTCCAGCAAATGAGAAGTAAAATTGATAATCAACAGAAAAGATAACAGAAGTTACTTCAGTATTCAGGAGATCAACATGTTCAGACCAATAATCCAACGTCCCCTTCTCGTGCAGCCGGCTAGACAGCTTACGTATATAACCAAGTTCGATACCAAGAAGTTTGTTCAAAGTCTTCAGACCAAAGGTAATTTTAGTAAAGAACAGGCTGAGAGTGCAGTTAATATAGTGAATAAAGCAATAAACGATGGGATCTATTCCATAACCAAGAACTTGGTCACCAAGGAAAAGTTGAGTTCAACAGCTTATCAGCAGAAAGTTGATTTTGCCAAATTGAAAGGTGAATTACAGACCATGGATAGATCAGAGTTCAACAATTTAAAGAAGGAGTTGGAACAATTAAGAACTGATTTAACTAATTTGAAAAATAGAATAAGAGAAGAAGTTACTAAGAATCTGGCCGGGGTTAAATTAGATTTGAATTTAGAAAAAGGTAGAATTAGAGAAGAAAGTTCAATTCATGAACTGAAAATTGAAGATACTTATACAAGAATTGATGAAGAGATATCCAACATTCATATGCAAATCAAGTCGGTCAAGACCCAGGTCATGCAATGGTTAATTGGGGTATCTACCGGTTTATGTGCTGTTAGTTTAGCTTTTGCAAGATTCTTTGGTTAACCCTAAATCTAATATTACGAGTGAATGTTGAAAGCGTTTTGTAGTGTTTTGTAGTGTATAAATATTACCTGGTGTACGGGTCGAAATCATTGAAACGTACAGAAAAACAATCTTTTGATGAAAAAAGCAGCGATTTGACAACTCCACCATCCTTTGACAAACAAGATGAATTCATTATATAACCATGGTATAAAGCAGACCCAGCTACTTACCAAGGATTTGGCTACGTTTGAGAAAAACTTATCCACTTCACCATTATCTTTACAAGGATCCATAACCACCACCTTAAACGCATTCAATAAAACGATACGAGACTATGAAGATTTGGTGAATCAAAATAAACATGACGAATCCAATTCTAAACATGAAACCCGGTTGAACAAGTTTCAGGAAGACTTGGGCAATTTTAATAAAAAGTTTAACGATTTAAAATTACAAAGAGAGAATATAATTCAAGAAAGTAATAAGCAAGAATTAATGGGACGTAGAAACGTTCATCATTCAACATCGGGTAATCCCTATAATGAAGAACAACAATATGAACAACAACAACAACAACAACAACTATCGGCACAAGAAAGCTTGTATAATGAAAGACAATCTTTATCTAGAGGTACTCAACAACTAGATCATATATTAGAAATGGGACAACAAACTTTCGAAGATATAGTTGAACAAAATGAAACATTACGTAAATTAGCAACCAAATTTGAAGAAGGTTTGGTTACTTTAGGGGTAAGTCAAGGTACTATTAGAACCATTGAAAGAAGAGCCAAACAGGATAAATGGTTATTTTGGGGAGGTGTCATTGGTATGTGTTTGATCTTCTGGTTAATTTTAAAATGGTTTCGTTAATCCCTTTGTATAATATTGTACTATTAATGAATATTATCTGCATTAATTCTAGACTGAATGTATAAGTTTTTTGACAAAAATCTCTTTATGGATGATCATTACCTACATATCCGAATCATTTCAACGGTTTTTCATGTAGAATTAGTCTAGAATATTAAGAAGGAGGTTTAACTACGTCACTATAACTAACCTCGTTAAGCTACTTATATGCACCTTGTACCTGAAGGTCTCTTCTACAGGCCCAGACATATCTGTAAGTAATTTATCTAGTTGTGGAGGATATTCTCGAATCATTCGCGTCTCGACACAAATTTCACAATTCAATTACTTCAAAAGCCATGTTCATGGGCTCAAAAATTGAATACTGAGTGATTTATCATATTTGGTAAACACCTTTTTCGTTTAGTACCTTATACCACTCTACAACCACTTTAACCATCCATATCGCTCCTACGGAGTCCTCTACTACCAATTAGATACCAGAATGTCAACGTCTGTCAAGATGTCGAGATCAAAAAAAAAATGTCAAAGGTCGAAGGTGTTATGAACAATCTCGGAGCGAGGCTCTTATCATGAACCTTTGTGCCTATACACTACGTAGCTAGAACCAATAGCTCGAGTATCCTCGAGCCTAGAAACCTGGTGGAGCACCAGTAGAGGGCCAGCAGAGGGCCAGTAGAGCACCAATAGAGCACCAGTAAAGCACCAGTGAAGCACCAGTAGACCAGTCGAGGGCCAGTCGAGTAGAGTAGAATTGACAGAACAGCTACCGACGGCCGTCAACCGGTGATGAGCTCTTTCATTTCGAAAAGAGTAATTTCTCAATTCGATTCGATCACTTTTCTTTTGCCTGTTTTTTGCACCTTCAGCTGAGCTTCTCACTCCTAATAATTTTGGCAATAGTGGCTCAAGATCTTTTGCTAGCAGCCTTGTTCACTTCATACAGACATGAAGTAAAGTAAACAACATATCTTCTTGAATGGGTAAAGATTTTCTGTTTTCTTTTTGTTTTATTGCTAAGGTCTAGTATTAACCGATTCCCTAATTGATTAAATTAACATTTTTTGCAATAGTGTTAATATATAAGTTTACGTTTCCTTCTTTATTTTAAAAATATTTCCTTTTTGCTTTTCTTTTCTTTAGTTCATTAGTCACTCTTTAAGATTTCGTTAGATTTCATTTTATTCACTCCTTTAACATCAAAATGAAATTATCACAATTATTTTCTTTATCTGTATTGATGTCTTTGGCTTTATCAACTCCGGTTGCTGAAGTTGAACATCATGCCCATCAACATAAAAGAGCCGTCAAATATGTTACTCAAGTTTCTACTGTCGTTGTTGGGGATGGCCAAACCCAAACCCAAGCCCAAGCTAACCAAGGCTCTAATCCAACTACTCTCGTTACTTCTTCTCAACAAGGTAAAGCTGCTGCTGCTTCTTCCACCGGAGAAGATGAAGCTCCTTCCTCAACTGAAGCTTCTTCTAGTGAATCTTCTGGTAGTCAAGGTCAAGGTAAACTTGGTATCAACGTTGGTGCCTCTGCTTCTCTTTCAATAGGTTTAGGTTCATCCTCATCTTCTTCATCCTCTGATTCTTCCTCGAGTGCTTCTACTCCTTCTGATTACAGTGATGTCGAAAAATACGCTGCTGAAGCTAAAGGTATCACTTACTCACCTTATACCAAGAGTGGTTCTTGTAAATCTTCTGATGAAGTTTCTTCTGACTTGAAAAAATTATCAGGTTTTGGTCTTATTAGAATTTATGGTACCGATTGTTCTGGTCCTCAAAATGTTTTATCAGCTCTTAATTCAAACCAAAAATTATTTGTTGGTATTCAATCAATTTCTGATTTAGAAAGTGATTTAAGCTCTTTGGACTCTGCCATTAAAGGTTCTGAAAGAGGTTGGGATGCTATTGATACCGTTTCCATTGGTAATGAATTAGTTAATGGTGGTTCTAATAGTGCTAGTGATGTTGCTCAAGCAGTTAAAAAGGCTAAATCTTGGTTAAAATCTAACGCTTCTTCATTCTCTGGTTCTGTTGTCACCGTTGATACCTTGGTTGCCGTTGAAAACAACAGTGGTGACTTATGTGACGCTTCCGATTATCTTGCAGTCAACTCTCATCCTTTCTGGGATGGTAACGTTGATCCTTCTGATGCTGGTCCTTGGTTAAAACAACAAATTTCTGATTTACAAGAAAAATGTGGTAATAACGGTAAAAAAGTTGTCATCACTGAAACCGGTTGGCCAACTAAAGGTGACTCTTTCCAAAAATGTCAACCTTCTACCAAAAATCAATTAGCTGCCATTAAATCTATCTCTGAAACTATCGGTGACCAAGTTATCTTCTTCACCACTTACAATGACTACTGGAAAGACGCCGGTAACTACGACGTCGAACAATACTGGGGTATCTTCGGTGATCCTTCCAATTAAGCCATACCTCCTCTTATACCCTTACACTTTTGTTAAACTAACCTTTTCTATGTCTTTGTATTATAAAATGATTTCTTCAACGTATTTTACAGTGTAGACACCCGTACACACGCCAAAACGCGATTTTTTGGCGAATTTTAAGTACTAAAAGCCTTGTGATGAATCAACGCTTCAATGCTCAAAGTTTATTTGACTTTCGTCGTTTATGGTAATATTTATAATTCTGCTCTGAGGTATTTCTGTATCGTGACTTGTCAACTTTAGGGGTTTGCCTGAAATTGTGCCGGTCTGAAGATAAGACAAGCCTGTCAAGTCGCCATACTGTTTTTTTGCAACTGTAGATGTTGGGGCCTCTGGGGGAAAACACCCAATGCCACAACGCACGTGACCTTTTTCATTCAATTCTTTTTTTTTTTTCTCCTTCTCTCAATTCTTTGGTAAAATAAACAACTACTTCAGAGAATCAATCTTTCAATCAATCACGATTCTGCACAGAGAAGAGCATCGTATATCAGTCATCATGTCGGATAAACTCAGAAAGAAGATATCCCACCGTGTGAATTCTTACATGGAGGGGATGGCGACATTGAAGAACAGAAATAGACAAGTGATTGAAGATTTTAAGAAATTACCGCTGAGAACTGGAACCGATTATTATAAGTATATTAGTAAACCACTTTCATTATTCACGGTTAATAAAATGGTGAAGAAGTATGAATACGATAATTTGCAGAAATTTGTTAATGATATAGCCCAAATTACTTGGAATGCAAGACATTATAATGAACCTAAATCTTTTATATATGAAAATGCAGTTATATTGGATGATTACCTTCAAAATACTATTATTCCAAAAATTAAGGCAGATAAGACCATTCCAAATAGTAACCTAGTTTATTATCCTGACTTGGGACCTTTAGATCCTTATCAAGGTCATGATGAATTAATTAATAATAATCATTTAAATAATAATCTTGGAACTCCTCAACAAATCCATGATATTCCTCAGGTTGATATACCTCAATTTAATAGTCCTATTCCTGACGAGTTACAATTACATTCCCATGGATTTAATAGTCCCATGCCTCCTTCAATACCTTCCATGCCTCCTTCTTTACCAAGCAAAAGAGATAGTCATTCAGCAAAACACGCTGAATCCGGGGTTAAAAGAGGTCGTCCTCCAATCATTGATAAACCTTATGAATCACGTATCAAAAGTATCATTAAACAATTCAAAAAAATTCGTCATCCTCAAAACATTAATATTCCTTTAACTACACCTTTTGAAAAATTACCCGATAAAAGTAATGGTCAATATTATGAATTAATTAGAAAACCAATATCTTTTGCTGAAATTAAAATTAAAATTAGATCCAGAAAATATGGTTCAGTTGATGAATTTATTAATGATTTAACCTTATTAGTAAATAATGCTAAAGATTATTATACTTACATTCAAGATTCTGAAGCTTTCCAAAATACTATTACTTTTGAAAATGATGCTCATATAATAATTCAAACTGAAATTAGCAGACCTGATATAGAATTTATTGAAATGGGCTCTGATGGTAAAGTTCCTTTGGATCATATCGAAGTTGATAATTATTCTTATAGAATTGGTGATTGGGTTCTACTCAAAAATCCAAATGATCCAAATAAACCAACAGTTGGTCAAATTTTTAGATTATGGTCTATTGATGATGGTTCTCAATATGCTAATGTTTGTTGGTATATTCGTCCTGAACAAACCGTCCATAGAGCTGATCGTATTTTTTTCAATAATGAGGTTTGTAAAACTGGTGAATATCGTGATCATATATCAAGTGATATCTTGGGTCCTTGTTATGTCATTTTCTTAACCCATTATCAAAAAGGTGATATCCCTGAAGGTTTGGTTCCTCCTGGTTCTCCTTGGTTTATCTGTGAATACAGATATAATAGTAATTCCCATAATTTTAATCGTATTAGAACTTGGAAAGGTTGTTTACCAGATGAAATTAGACAACGGGAACAACCGGTTGTTCCAATTAATCAACCCCGTAAATTAATCAAATTTGAAAGTCCAATTAAAAATTTATTACCTCCAAATCCTCATCTTGGTATGGCAATCCCAGATCCTGCTGATATGGGTGGGGAACATGGCCCTCCTGTTGTTGGTGCAGTTTATTTAGAAGGTCCTTATACCAATGATGAATTGGGCCAAACAACTACCAGTCCTAACGTTGCTCGTAGTCCAGAATATGATGATACTAAACATGGTAGACAAGCATACGTTTTCACCCCAATCTCTCAATTAAAAGGTGGTGGTGGTGGTGCAACTACGACTACTGCTGTTTATCCAAATGCTTCATCTCCTACTGGTGGTATCCATACTTACGATGATTCTCAAAATAACACCAATTTTGACACCCCATCTTATAATCTCCAATCAACTTTCCAACAACCTACAAGTTATTCACCTCCAATTAGCCAACCTTTCCAATATAATAAACCATCCTATTCTTCAGAAATGACTGCCCCTATTGGCAATAGCTTGGCCAACAAATTTGTCAGTCCACAAGCTGAACGCATATCATCCAGTATGAATTTACCTTATACAAATGGATTATCGAACTTCAGTGGATTAAGTTCAAGTCCTTACCATGCTTCGAAATCTACTTATTCAAATCTGTTTAACAATGGTGTGTTAGCATACACTTTATTGGATGAAAGTGGGAAACTTAAAGAACTCAGCGATGGAATAAGGGTTACCGAAAATAATGAGAAAGATGAAGTCCTATGGTTCAGATCTCCTCCAATTTCAATTTCTAGCCGGATATCTATTAATAATAAAAATGGTGTTCCTTTGGGCCATTCAGCTGCTTATTTGGCTTGGAAAAACTCGAAATAGGACACTTATCAAAGTCAGAACCTCATGTATACTTCTTCATCCACTTATATTTGTATTATATATATATATTTCCGTTTACCTTCGTAGTTTGTAAAGCTTAATAGTAAGATTTGTTTAATCATTTTTTTTTTTTTTTTTGTTTCGGCGAGGGCCTTCAAAACACGAATAAATGTATCTATAACAAGGCTAATTCGATTTAAGATATCAAATATGACAAAACAGATGAAAGAATTTCAAGATCATTTACTAAAATCGAAAAGAATAGTTGCATTGGTAGGCGCTGGGCTATCCGTTTCATCTGGTCTCCCCACATTCAGGGGATCCCAAGGTCTATGGAAGAATTTTAATATGATTGATTTAGCAACTCCAGATGCTTTTTACATAGATCCTGGATTGGTATGGCAATTTTATTCATGGAGGAGATTCAACGCTTTGAAAGCTAAACCAAACAGGGGCCATAAGACATTAGCAAAACTTTCCATGGAAGCAGCATCAAAAAATATCGAATTCATTACTATAACTCAAAATGTAGATGGGTTATCAATTAGAGCAAACCATTCAAAGGAAAAATTATATGAAATACATGGATCATTGTTTGATTTGAAATGCACCAGCTTCATGTGTAACTATGTTGATCATGATAACTTTAAAAATCCGTTAACAAAAGCTCTAGCTGACACTGAATATGAGTACGATAATACTAAAAGAAAAAGAAAACTTCTAGATGATGATCTTGATAAGGAGCCATCCCTTTCTCCACAATTCAAGCCAGTAAAAGAAATATCAGAATCCGAATTACCTCAATGCCCTGTTTGTAAAGACGGTTCATTATTGAGGCCTGGTGTTGTATGGTTTGGAGAATCCTTACCATTACGAACCATAAATGCTATTGATAATTTTATCGAATATGATAAGGTTGACCTTATTTTAGTCATTGGAACAAGTGGTACTGTTTACCCAGCTAACAGTTATGTGGATAGAGTTAAAGTGAAAGGAGGCAAAGTTGCAATATTCAATACTGATATTGAAGATCATATCTTAAATGGCGAAGAAAAAGATACATGGGGGTTTAAAGGGGATGCAGCCGAGCTATTACCTAAGGCTCTTGAACCATTGATTGGGGATATATACTAATTTGCATATACTAAAGTAGTTTAACGATTGATACGAATTATACCATTTTATTTATATTTTATAGATAATGAAACCATATAAATTTTACGAGATTATACATTAAGTAAGTACATATTTTCATAGATTGCCATTAGCTATGAAATAAAGACTAAAATAGAGATAGTAGAAATATAACGAAGAAATAAATTGAAGTAAGAGTCAGGTAACAAAGAACAAACAGACACTTGGAGAAGATAATATACAGAACAGAGAAGTAAAAAGGAATGAAATGTATGTATAAGTATTTGATAACAACCTAATCGAAAATATTATTTGTGAGTTCATTAAAGTCAGCATTTTGATGATTGTAAAAAGCTGGATCATTATCAAGAATAGCGGCATCAATGAAGTTACTTGGTTCATCGCAACCTAATGATAGCAATGAATCAAATGAAGATAAGGAAGTTTCCGAGGCAAATTTCGATTTTGGATCAAAATCATTTGAAGTTGCAATGTAATTCAATTGGGGAGATCCAAAGTCAAAATCATCAGAGAAATTTGATAACTTTCTCTTCTTCATGGAAGAAGTTTCATCTTCGATGAAATCGGTTGAAAGAGTGTCTTCCAATGTCATGGAGAACATATTATTTAATGGATTCTCTGATGAGAGTTCGTTTAGAGGGTTTTCCAAATTGAAGCTAGATAGGGTTGGAATCGAAGGAGCCGATTTTATCATAGCTGTTGGCCTAGTGAAGGATTTATTTTTCGGATCTTCAATTTCAATACTAACTTTCTTATCATGACTATCATTGCCAATAGGGGGAGAAACAGACTTGGAAGTACTATACTTTGACTTTGAGTTCTTAGTAATGGCTTTAGGTGATGATGGAGCAGCAGCAGAAGATGAATTTTTTTTAAAAGTGCTAACACTAGCCACTGAGGCACTTCTTCTTTTACCAGGATTAGCTTTAGGATTATTATTATCCATTGTTTTCTTTTTAGATTTGGAAGCGCTCATTCTATTCAGAGGTAATGAAAGGGTTCTTTGAAACCGCGAGTAGTTGTCAACTGATGCGATTGTAACTGAGGGTTTCATTGGTTGTCTTGATGATTTGCTGAAGGAGGTTTTAGTTTTAGGTGAAATTTGATGATTATAGATATCAATTGCCGTACTATTATTTCGAGGTTTGATTGCAGGTATAGGCTGAGGAGAAGGAGATCTTTTTGGATGTTGATATTGGGGTGGCGTAAGTATTTGATTCAAATTTTTATTTGCGGAGGTTGCAAAATCTTGATTTTCTTGAAATGGTGATGACAATGATAACTGTTGAAAGGAAATGGAATCTTCAACACAACCGGGATTCAAGTTATTATCATTACTTTGGAAAAACAGGGGAGAAGGCATAGTATCTAAGACCTGATTGTACTTATCAAAAAATTGAAAGTTGAAATCGTCGAGAGAACCCTCAACATTTATAGTATTCATTATGTAGGATTGAGAAGGAGTTAAAAAGGTGTGACTAAGGATGAAGATAAGAAGTTTAAAAAAGGAAAATTAATTGAGAAAAGTCAGAAAATTCAGATAAATAATGGTTGGGAAGGGTACTTGAAGTATTTTGGTAGTAAGGATAAATCTAATAATAAAAGGGCAGAGAAGAAGATGAATGGAAAAAAAAAAAATAAAATAGAAGGTTCAAAACAGGAAGAGAATTGTGTCTTTTTATCTTGTTAGAAAGACTTGATTCACGATTGGATAATAGCAAGCTTAACGACTTTGATACAAGCTTCAATGCCTTAAAGAAGTCAGAAATACCAGTTGGGTAATTGCCACTTAAACAACATACAATAATGTGCATAACAAAGAAATGTCTCAGAAACTACATTTAAATGATCAGAAAGGAGGCCCAGTTATCATAAAGTTGTGAAATGAAGTCCGGAGAAACTGACTTGTAGTTGGTTGGAAATCAGATCATGTTTCTAGAAAAAAAGGAACTTTGAAAGATTAGGAAACCAGCAAGGGAACTAGCCAGTTACTATTCAAAGTTTTCAAAAAAAGTCAAAAAGAAGAGAGATATCAAGACTTACAGCTGAAGAAATTGATTGAAAGATACTGGGGGACCAACACTAAGATGCTAAGAAGAATGGTGGTGAATTGTAAACAACGGAAAAGGAACCATAACCCAAATATAGAAAGGAATTAAAGAACATAATCACGTAAAAACAAGGTAGTAAATTCGAATTATACCAAATAATACATGAAGAATTTACAACCGAACAAAGTCAAATTAAAAGTATGATTTCTTTTCCCTTTTTTTTTGTCTTTTTTTTTTTTTTTTTAGCTAACAATAACCTTTTAACAAACTACAAGCCTGCTGGTTTTAAGGTACTTCAAAGAACAAACCGACTGCCCCAGATGACCTAATTAATGAAGAATTGAAACCAGGGTTTTCTATTCGAGGATTTCCGATAAAAAGATAATTTACGCAGCATTTTTAGAATGCAAAAAAACAACAAAATAAGGAACGGAAAAAGAAAAGAATTTTGATTACTGATTGGCAACCCTTTTTTGTAAGGGTGTAAGTAAAAGCGATGCAACCTTGATCCCCGAGTGACTTAGTACGAGTTACTTTTGAAACTCGAGGAGGGGACGGCATGCCATCACCAATGCTGGTACCAGCCTTACAAATGAGAAAAATGACCCAGGGAAGAGGAGCTAAGAATAAAAGCAAAAGAACAATCAAAGGATGGACCATTTATTTGATCCAATGAGAACGAAGATGCAACGTCAACACGGTCAATTGAAATACAAGTAAGGGAAGAAAATAATACAAACAAAAAGTAAATCTTCTCGAGGGTTATTTCCGATATGCATCCACCTGTTGGGTGACTAATGAACCTTACATTATCAACATAATGAAAAGCACTCATATATTTCCGATCATCAAAGAAGTAATGGTACAAGATGAATTGGTAACTGAAGGAATTTTCCTCGAATTGCAGCAAAAAGGACAAAAGGAAAACACCATTAACCAGCCCATAGAACCCTTGTTGCTTTAAGGAGAAGCCATGATATCTACGTATGTACAAGCTGCATAACCTATTGTAGGAAGTAAAGACGACTCAAATGTAAGACTAACTCCTGAAAATACCCTGGAATTAACTTTATAGAGCCATCACTGGATCCAAATCCCCTCACCCAACTTAGCCAGTATCAAATAATCACTACAAAATATCAAGTATTTTTTTGTTTCCAACCTATTCATGAGGAAGATCAGCTATCGAAAAGTGAAACGGGCAATCAATATGTCATAGGATTGACATGATTTCGTCATTGCATTATGATCCTTCTCTATGAGGCCGATCTTAACGAGACTGGATCATACGCAAAATGTTGTACTATCGACATTTATTCCTAATTGAGTACTCTTTTCTCGATCAATTATTAGAGGCTGGCTGCACTATTTGTTTCCCTGGAAGTGATATCAACACTCTTGAGTAATTGTAAAAAGGTTTAGGCTTATCTACCACAAGGGCTCCTACGTAGGCAGCGTCTCGTATAATGACTCGGAGGTGAAAGATACTCATCTTTGTCATAGAAAAAGGAAAAAGTCCGAGTGAAACGTACAAGATACTATGAGCCAAAGAAAGGAGGGTTTCTAATTGGACTTCCTTTCTTTTGGGGTTATTCAAAATCTAGCAATGTCAGATTAATCATACGGATCAAACAATAATTTTATTCTACAGACAATGGCACCCAAGAATGTCAATACACAAAAAAAAAAAAATAGAGATAAAATGAATGAGGACGATCAACTCCACAGTATACTATTATTGTCTCTATATTGGTTTATTCGACCCAGTATTACCTACTTTGCATTTAAAGATTCATATCATATACAGTCATCTCTGTTGGGTGTACCCAATTCTTTCTTCGATTGCTTTCTTATCTAGCCTTAATCACTAGCTATTGGAATCTGTAGTGATTTGATGACCCCTCCAAAATAGGAAAGACCTATGAGTTATCATACCCTCACCAAACCGATCAAGTCTTTTGCATGGTTCTCGGGTAATCTTTACCTGGCTCAAACGGTTTGCATGTATATATATGGATCATCATCAATGAAGAAAGCATGGCCTTGCCATCAACGCCAGTAAAAAAACTTGAAGTACCCTGCAATTCCATTCAATTTAGCAAGACCCTGTAACAAACCAAGCAGAATGGCTGCCATACCATTATAGTGAAGTAGTTGAATGGCTCCTACTAACTCCCGTAAGTTTACTAACTTAGAACTCCGACAATACGCCCAATAATCTCATAAGCTTTTCCAACGTACCAACTACGAGGAAATCCAGCTTTTAGGCTTTTTACAAGACAACGTACGAGGAGATGGTCTGAACGTGGAAATCGGATTTGTTTATAATTTTTTGTATTTAGAATTGAATGCAAAAATTGTCCTTGCAACCATTTCTTTGAGATGCGCAACTATTTTTGGAGCCAAAATTTCTATCACACCTTGCCATGTAAAAGGCTCAACTTTAGTCCAGCTCTGCCAACAGTTGCATAAGCTCCGACAAGGTTTTACTAGTCTATTCTTAATTCGAGTTACTACATGGAGAAAGCGTTTTTTTTTATTGATTTTCCTCTTTTTCTTTTTTTCTTTTAGTTTCCATTCATAAACTTTAATCATATGTCGGCAAGTCAATACAACCCTGGTAGCGTTGCTGTATCACATATCAATGGAGTTTCCCAAATGCTTTATGGGACCAAATTTCATATGCTTTAGCTTATCGAATATGCGTGCTCGAGGAAGATATAACAGTCATGCAAGCTTATCAACTCGAAAACTAAATCGAAAATTATTTTTACTAAAACCAAGCCAATTTCCTTGTTTTTCTAAATAAATAATATTAATTTGGATCTTGCATTGATTTACTTTAGAAGTGGGAGCCTGGAAAAACCCTCGTAGCGAACCGATGAACCGAATACAACCAATTCCGCCCAAACGTTCGGAATTTCAAGAATCAATCCGTAACGGTATATTTTTAAGTCAAGATACTTTAATCTCCTTACATTAAGCCGATAAAAACTCAGCTGACAATTACGAAACAACCTTCTATGTTGTTTGAATAACTGCAACTAGGTTCAAATAGAACCGATCCCTTGTTCCCCAAAGCATAATAACGTATAGATCGGATGATTAGGGGAGATGCATTGATTCGTAACGATTCAAATTCAATTGGAGTGATAATCAGGCGGTTTTGCAACCAGAGGGAAACCGGTTGTCATTTCGAATATCCTTTTTGGTTAAATCTAGAATGCTCAGAGAGAGAGAGAGAGATCTAGACCGGTAGCAGTTCTACAACGAGTGAATACGAATAAATTTAGTATCTTATGAGGACCTAGTATATATAAATTAAGAAGACAAAATGTATGTCGAAAATTTTATTTATGAGATTTTTTTTTCTTTTTGTATCTTTCAAGTGCCTTTACTGAGATATTTCAAATGAGTAATTCTAATAAATCGTTTCAATCTATAAAACTATTATTAAAAATTGATTGGTTTATCGAAAGTAGCTAAAGCAGCTTCTTTGAAAGCTTCAGATAAGGTTGGGTGGGCATGACAAGTTCTGGCAATATCTTCGGTAGAAGCACCGTATTCTAAAGCCAAACCACCTTCAGCAATCATTTCACCAGCGTTTGGACCAATGATATGAACACCCAAGACACGTTGAGTTTCAGCATCAGCTAAGAATTTAACAAAACCATCAGTATCTAAATTAGTTTTAGCTCTTGAGTTGGCAATGAATGGGAATTTACCAACTTTATATTTAATACCTTGTTCTTTCAATTGTTCTTCATTAGCACCAACCCAAGCAACTTCCGGATGAGTGTACATGACAGATGGAATGACGTTATAATTGACATGACCATGACCGTGTTTGATATATTCAGCAGCAGCAATACCTTCTTCTTCAGCTTTATGAGCCAACATAGCACCAAAAGTAACATCACCAATGACTCTAATATGAGGATGCTTAGTTCTAAATTGAGAATCAATAACTAATCTACCTTTATTATCTTGTTCTAAACCAATTGCTTCAGCATTTAAACCTTTAGTATAAGGTCTTCTACCAATGGCAACTAATAAAATATCAGCATCTAAGTTTTCAACTTCACCAGATTTAACATTTTCAACTTCAATTTTAACTGATTCACCTTCTCTAACCCCTTTAGTAACTTTAGTACCTAATTTGAATTTCAAACCTTGTTTAGCTAATAATTTTTGAGTAGTTTTAGCAACTTCAGAATCCATACCAGCACCAATAGCGTTTTGGAATTCGATAACGGTAACTTCACTACCTAATCTAGACCAGACAGAAGCCATTTCTAAACCAATGATACCACCACCGATAATGGCCAATTTTTTAGGAACTTCTTTTAATTCTAAAGCACCAGTACTTGAAACAATACGTTCTTCATCAATTTCAATACCAGGGAAAGGAGTTGGTTCAGAACCAGTGGCAATGGTGATGTTATCGGCAGTCAATTTCACATCATCTTTACCTTCGATTGATTTAACATTAACGGTATTTTCATCAACAAAAGAACCATGACCTTTATAATAATCAACACCATTTTTCTTCAATAACATTTCAACCCCACCAGTTAAACCTTTAACGGCTTTTAGTTTGGCAGCTTGTAAGTTGGCAATGTTAACATTAATATCACCATTGATATCAATACCTCTTGATTTAGCTTCATGAGTAATTTGATGATATAAATGAGAATTATTTAATAAGGATTTTGAAGGAATACAACCAACGTTTAAACAAGTACCACCTAAAGCACCTCTGCTTTCAATACAAGCAGTTTTCAAGTTTAATTGAGCCAATTTAATGGCATGAACGTAACCACCTGGTCCACCACCAATAACGACGGCATCATATTTACCAGTGGTACTATTATATCTCAAGAATTGGGTATATTTAAGAGGTCTTGAAGCAACACCTCTGAATTGAGTGGCAGTTCTTAACATTTTGATTGATTAATGGAAAGAAAATGATTAGTTTACAAGGAAACTCCCAAGAAGAAAAAATTGAATGAGCTCTTCTTCCGAAGGTTAAGGGAGTAGTGCTACCCGAGAGAGGACGAATTATGTCACCGAAAAATTTGGTGAAAATGTCGCATCTCCCGGAAGAGTACCCCCGGGAACGGATGAAAAAAAAAAAAAAAAAGCACATCACACGTGACACAGCACGTGACGTCGCTTCCGATTTCCTCGGAAAATTATTCACTTCTACGCCAACTACAAGTTATAGTTTTAAAATCATAACATTTCATTAGATATTATAGAAATCATAATGCAACTAGTACTTCACAATCACATACAATGCGTGAAGTATACCTGGAATATAACCCAAGATGGTTAAAATAATATTAATGAAGAAGGAAGAAGTACAACCTCTTTCTAAAAAGACCCCTAATGGAGGAAGAATGATAGCAGCAATGAGTTTAAAGATATCAGAACAAGTAACAGCCATTTTTGTATAATAAATCTAAATCAATTGAGTAAATGTGAAAGAATGATTTGGTGAAAAGACAAAAAAAAAAGCATAAGGGGAAATCAATGGTTATTTATACATATAGCCACTCGAGGCAACCATTCGTTTAAAATACTGTTTTGTTACTATAAACTATTGATCATTGATTTTTTTGTTTGTTAAAATGAAATTAGTAGTTATTTTTTGTTTGTTTTTTCGTTTGTATTTGACTTGCTACTACAATCAGCCGTGCCATGATACACTTTTTTTTTGTGGGCTTGTAAATTAGCTTTTCCTTGGGAATTGTTAGTTCAATTGACGATGGAGTGTTTGATCATTTGGTTGTTTGTATGTTGTATACTCTTATCATACAATGATCCCCTTATTGCTTTTGCTAGGGGCGAAAAGTCAAAAAATTGTCAAGCTAACTTTAGAATTTGGCGCAGTTTGTCATACATTTCCCATCACTGGTTTGGAATGGTGTTCATTTTTAGCAAAGGTATGGCAGGACGTAGTCTATAAATGGCTGTAAATTATCATGTATGAGCAAAGTAATGTGATCAAACGGGTATAGATTTGTATTGCTTATTTTGATCTTCGACTGTTATGTCAGGGGCGCTCAATTGCTATTGCTGAACGGCTTGACCCCAACCCAAAATATTTTGCAGTTGCATCCATTCCTTACTTATTTGTTGATACCACAGTAGGACCTTCCCAACTAGACCAGCTAACTGGTTGCCTGCCTGGCTATGGGTATCCCGTGTTATCTGGTGCTGGGGAAGGTTATTCGAGTCTATTGTTGGCAAGTTTGTGCTCTGTTGATTACATCATCAAAAGAAAACACACCCGTACATACACAAAACACACCCGTGCACACAAAACACCCACACACCAGGTTTTTTCTTTCTTTCCAGGTGGGACGTGCACTTGGCCAAAATCAAAACTTTTCAATTTTTTTTTTTTTTTCTTTCTTGATGAATTATCAGTCATAGTTAAGACCCCATTCAAAGGCAGCAGTATGTCCGACTTACAACACCAGATATTACGTCTTGTTGACAAGCATGACGGGATCTCCAATACCTTGGATGTTCCCGAATTGAAAGCAATCGACACCAATACTTTACACTCTCAATTAACCTCGTTATGGGCCAAACAAATGATTAATTTTTCGAAGATTGAAACTGATTCTTATGCTTTGACTAAAGAAGCAGAAGACATCTTGGCTAACGGATCACACGAAATCAGATTATTGAACGAAGTTTTGAAGTCTTTGGAAGGTTTAAAGATTTCTGATGTTAATTCCAAATTTGGACAAGTTGGGAAATTAGGTCAAGGTAAAGCTTTCAAAAATGGATGGATTGCTAAAAATGATGATAGATTAGTAGCTAAGGTTGATTCGTTACCTGAAGATATCACTGTGACTCAATTATCAACCATTAAAGAAACTGGTTCCTTATCAAATAAAAAAGATTTAACTGAATTGAAAAAAAGAAAATTAATTAATTTAGTTAAAATTGTTGGTTATAAAGTTGAAAAAGCTTCTGAATTTGCTTTAGAAATTGTTAATTTGGAAACTGATATAACTTCTGATATGATTATTAACGGTTCTTGGTCAAATTTAAAATTCAAACCTTATAATTTCCAATCTGAAGGGGTTTATCCTCAAAGTGGTTCTTTACATCCTTTAATGAAAGTTAGAGAAGAATTTAGACAAATTTTTTTCGCAATGGGTTTTACTGAAATGCCTTCAAATCAATACGTTGAAACTGGTTTCTGGAATTTTGATACTTTATTCGTTCCCCAACAACATCCTGCTAGAGATTTACAAGATACCTTTTACTTAAAAGATCCTGCTGTTGCTGGTAAACCTGATGATAAAGAGTTTTGGGAAAATACTCGTCAAGTTCATGAAAATGGTAAATACGGTTCTATTGGTTATAGATATCCTTGGAAAGAAGATGAAAGTTTAAGAATGGTTTTAAGAACTCATACTACTGCTATTTCTTCTGCCATGTTACATAAATTAGCTAAAGATCCTAAACCAACCCGTCTTTTCTCGATTGATCGTGTTTTCCGTAATGAAGCCGTTGATGCTACTCATTTAGCAGAATTTCATCAAGTTGAAGGGGTCATGGCTGGTTATGATATTACTTTAGGTGATTTAATTGGTTTCATGGAAGATTTCTTCAATAAAATGGGTGTTACTAATTTAAGATTTAAAGCTGCATATAATCCTTATACTGAACCTTCAATGGAAATCTTTGCTTACCATAAAGGTTTAGGTAAATGGGTTGAAATCGGTAATTCCGGTATGTTCAGACCTGAAATGTTGGAACCAATGGGATTACCTAAAAACTTACGTGTCTTGGGTTGGGGTTTGTCTTTAGAAAGACCAACCATGATTAAATATGGGGTTTCTAATATTAGAGAATTATTGGGTCATAAAGTTTCTTTGGACTTTATTGAAACTAACCCTGCCGCTAGATTAGATGAGGACTTAATCGGTTAACCTTCTTATACATACACTTATATAATCTTAATCATACGTAATAGAATTGTACCATAGATTTATCAAATTGTAAAGTTTTGTATATATAAATTTTGAAAATTTCGACGCGCACCATCTTTTTCTTAAAACTCAACCTGAATTCAACTTCAACTCAACGTTTGACCAACTTTTTCATCAACTTCCAGTATTTTACTCCCATATAATATGTCCCAACAATCAGACTTCTCATGTCATTGGCTGGAATGTACATCCGATACCGCCAGCTTCAAATCATTGGCCCAACTAGTTACTCATCTAAGTCAACAACATCTCTCGCATATTGCCCATATCGCTCCAATGACTCCGGTTCGTTATACTTGTCAGTGGGAAGGATGTCCAAGATACGGAGTTGAACAACCTTCGAGGTTTGCACTCATTTCTCATTGTCGTACTCACACGGGTGAAAAGCCTTATTTTTGTCCAATACCTGAATGTGAAAAGCATTTCACTCGTTCAGACGCTTTGGCAAAGCATGTAAAAGGAGTACATGATTTACATTCACTTCGTGATGGTCTTATGATTGTTAATGATCGTATAAAAAAGGGTAAACTAGTTATTGAAGATAAATACGATCCGGATAATTTTGGTATCAAAGATGGTAAATCTAAAATTTTAAGTGAAGAGCAATATTTAAAATTATTATCTGAACAAATGGAACTTAAAAATCCTTGGTGGTATACCTCAAGGTTTTTAGATATATTGAGAGATCACGATGATCCAACAAATGCCGATATTGTTGATGATTATGAAAAATTGCTTTCTCAGCCTTTCGATACTAAACAATTTAAAGTCGCCCATGACAGATACAAAGTTTTCTTAAAAGAAGATGAAGAAGATAGGTTGATATACACTAGCAAGTTTACTCCACCAGAATCATCTGAAGATACTGATACTGTTGAACAAGAAAGACTAATAAACTATGAATCCAAAGTGAATAAGAAATCCCAAATGCTTAAAAGTCAGCACGAACTAAGATCAGATAGAAATATAGACGAACTTTCACTTGATGAATTAAAGGCAGAGTATTCCAATTTGAAATCAAGATATAATACTGCTTCCAAAATCAATAAGATTGTTTCGAATAATTTAATGACTTCAGTTAAACAAAAACGTAAGAATTGGCTCATCAATCAAATTTTGCTCGATGCCAACATCAAAGTCGGATTACCAAGAGGAGCCGGAGATGCACAAGAAGGTGAAACCGTCTTAGATGGGTTAGATGTTAATATTTTGAATGAAGGTATTACCAGGGCCAAATAATCGACCCGTACATTTTTCAATTTTTTTTTTTTGTATAATTTTTTTTTCATGGCTCATCTCAAAAGACTATACCTCCACCTTTTCCTTATAATACATTACCATGACTCCACATAAAAAAAACATAATGGAACCAGCCATAACAGAAGTTTCAGAGACCGAAGCGGTCTCGGGGACCGAATCGTTTTCGTCTGATCACAGCCATAATTTGAAACAAGGAGTTGATACCTCATTATCATTAGATAGTTTATTTAGTGAGTTATCAAAAGAGACCAAAAATAAGAATAAGAAAGATGACAAAGAGGAGGGTGATGAATTCAGCAAGATCAAAGCACAGCTCTCCAAGCTACCACAGATAAGCTCGAGACTAGAAGAAAGTTTAAAAGAAGAACAAGATAAAATCAATAAAAAAACTGATATTTTAAGAATCAATGATCCCATAACTCATGCATTGAACCGCGAAAAACAGATCAAGAGCAAGGACAGTACCTCTGGGGATAAATGGTTTAATATGAAGGCGCCTGAACTTACCCCTGAAATCAAACGAGATTTATTGGTTATTAAACATAGAAGTGCATTAGATCCCAAGAGACATTATAAGAAGGAGAAATGGGAGACCCCCAAGCATTTTCAAATGGGTACTATAATCGAGGGTAACACCGAGGGAAGCAGTGCTCGTTTGAACCGTAAAGCAAGAGGAACCACCTTGGTTGATGAGATCTTGAAAGATGAAGATAGTCTGAAATATTTCAAGAGAAAATTCAGTGAAATAAGAGAGCAAAGAAGTAGCGGGGGTCAAAAACATTATAAGAAGATGAAAGATATGAGAAAAAGATATTAGATGCATTAGTTTACGAATACACAAACATTTATTAGATAGAATGTAGAAAGTCATAAGGATAGCCAGTATCAACAAAAAAAAAAAAAAGAAAAAAAGGTAAAATAAAATAAAAATCTAGATAATCATAATTCGTTAAGTTTATTCAAGTCCAGCTCTTCTGAAAACATCCAGTCTTACTTGTTCCCATAGTTTTTTCTTTTCATCTTTTGATATTTTCTTTTTATCGCCCGATAATCGAATTGTTTTTTTGAGAGCGTCAGTTTTCAATTTATATTCATAAGCAGTGGTAGCCGCCGCGGCCAAATTGATCAAATAGTTTCGTATGGCGATTTCTTTATACTTGAATCCTAAATGCAGTTGATTATCAGCAGAGATGATTGGCGGAGACAGTATTGAATTTTTCCTTTTACGAGGAGAGTTTATTTGGAGAAGTCTTGATTGTTTAACGCTAATTTCCGCCACTGATTTTTTAAAGTTGACATCCAAGTGGTGTTCGTGGTAGAGATTGGACGAGAATAGAGTGTAAATCAACTCTTTATCCGTGATATGTGGTTGTATTAAAACAAGTTGACATAACTGGGCCAAGTCTCCAACTAATTGAGGTAAGGATTGTTGACTATACTGGAAATCGGGGGTTTTGGATATTTCTGGTAACTGTATTAACATTAATTTACATCTAGTTACGTTTAAGTTCCAATCAATTAAAGATTCTGGAATATTTTGATATTGTAAATCGGATCCAAGACATATCTTGTACATCTCTTCATCGTCATCGTCCCCTTCCTCTTGTACTTGCTTATAATATGTCTCGTGGTAGTCAATATCATTAACCAACTGTTCAACCGTTATACTTAATGGTTCTGAATCCTCTGGTATGGTGGCCGTTGAACTCGAGTAAATCGATGGGGCACTACGTACTGAACGACGTCCGGAAAAAACACTAGATGCTTTGGACCGATGCAGCGATGAATGTGATCGTGAATGTTGATGCTGCTGGTTATTATACTGTGATGGTGCTGATCTTATCGAAGATGCACTCGAAGAGGTCACCACCAGTGGAGGAAGTTGTTGATAAATTGCATTTCTGGCCGAGTCTCTAAATTGACTGGGTGGTGACGATATTGAATTGTTTCGAGTAAATGGTGATCCAAACATGCTCCATTAACTTAACACTCAACTTGTTAACTGGTTAACCAATAAACTTATAAATGAATAAAAAAGTTCCTAAAGAACTGAAGAAAAAGTCAGAAGATATGCTTTCTCCGTGCCCTGTTTAGTGTGACCCGCCTAAAAATGAAAAAAAAAAAAGAAAAAATGCACCTAAACAAACCTAATAATTTTTCCTGTTAATTAAAACTAGCTTTTTCGTGGGGGAACTCGGTTCACAATACTGAAGCGGCCAAGGGTGTGGACTAGTGCCTTCAAGAAGTACAAATAAGGTGGCACCACGCTTGAAAGGAAGAGTAGGAAGAACCTCCAACAATCGCCCCGACATCAGGCAGTTGTTCCGGGATCGAGATTAAGCTTTTCCATTTTTCCTCCCGTGGAATCGGGTGTTTTTTTTTGATTTTTCATTGTTCTGACTCTTTTGTTTATTCTGTTTCACCTTTAACCAGGGTACATGGGCCACCTCCAAGGAGCCATGGTCATCGTAGCAGGGTTGCATTCGGAAAAAGTAGTTGTTCCAGTTTCATTTATACCTTGCTCCCCCACATATCACGGTATTGGGTGTCTTGCAGTCGGACTAGTTGACAAGAGGTACTTGCAAATGAACGAATATATAAGGACTAGGGAGTTCGATTTGGCGTCTTGAGTTGTCATCTCGCGATTCCGATAGGCTGCAACACCTACAGTTTGTTCAAAAGCTACAGTTTGTTCAAAGTAGCAGGATTTCATCCCAGCTTAGAATAATAATCAGGTAGTTTTATTTGAAGTAGTAGTAAGTCTATACAAAGAATAAGCTAACGGCCATTGGCGTGCACCAACCATTGCAATCACGTGACGAATCACGCGATAGGCCCATACACCAGTTTCGTAAAAAAAGACATGAAAAGGTTTTCTTTTAATGATATGGCGGTAAACAATTGAACATTACCAGCTATCAGCAGCAATGAGTGAACTTGAAGAAGTCTTCACTGAAGAGTTGGGGTTCAAACTCGCTACTCCCAAGGATGGGATTTCGCTTTTCGAAAATCCCATTGATTTGAATGGCATTTCGAATCAAAAGTTATCGTTACTTTCGTTTTCGAACCTTCGAGGTGTATTTGCTGCTTCTGACTCTAAATCTTTGATCATTGATCGGATTGATAAACTCAACGAGGAAGAGCCAGCGCTGTTCAATACCTTACTGGACTTATCCCAGGTTTCACAACTTCAATTTGACCTGACTGGTGAGTACCTTTATATTTTAATGAATGATAAATTGCATCAGGTCAAAGTTGACGATTTCTTCTCAGAAGCTAAAATTTCATTATTTGATGATATTACATCGAACGTATCCCACTTCCAATGTTCATTGAACAAACCCTTGATTTATTATTTGGATAATGAAAGTAATCTTATCTCACTTAATCAAAATGATAACTCATCTAATAAGATCGCTTCAAACGTTTCTACATTTTCCTTTTCATTAGATGGATCTTCGGTGCTTTATTCTCAAGGCAATTCAGTTCACTTATCGTCAGATGACTCTTTCAAAATCTCTCCTGATGATTTGGTTGATGATGATTCAATTATTTCTTCCATTCAACAAATTGACAATCGCAATTGGTTAGTGGTGTATGATATTAGTGAAGATAAAAATGATTTAGAAAATCATTCGGTTGACAGTTTTGTTTTTGAAAAGCAAAATGGCGATTTTATTCCTCATCAGACTTTTATTGCTGATCCAATGGGTATAGTTCCTCGTAAATTATCCTATTATAATCAACCTTTGATTAATTGGATTCCTCAAAATAATTTATTCTTTGTAACCTCTTCCATGGCCACGGAATTAAGTTGTTTATCTTCTTCTGATAATTCAATCACTTCAATTGTTCAAGAAGTTGACTCCGCAAAATCAACCTTCCCAATCAATGATGATGGTGATGATGCCTCTGTCGTTGGTTTCGCAATTGACTACATATCTAATAAAAAAAATATCGTGAAAAACCCTTGCTTGGGAGTGGACGAGTGCCAAAATAGTCTCCCAAAAGCTATGGTGTTAACTAATGAGGGTAATTTAGTCGGTTGGTGGATATTTGATTCTAAATCAATTAAAGAGAAATCCCTTGATTTGAATAAGGTCTCTCAATCTTTGCCAGCTTCCAATAATGATAATGAATCTTCGTCAGCTTCCAATAATGATAATGAATCTTCGCCAGCTTCCAAGAATAATGATACAGAATCTGATGACAAAAAAAATCCCTTCAGTTTAAATGATAATCCTTTCATCTCTAGTAAACCTAGCCCATTTGCATCTTTCGGAAAGCAGCCCGATATATTTGGTCAGTCGTCAACTACGTCGGCCGATCATGGTTCTAATTTGTTTGGCTCAAAATCTCTGCTGTCAGACTCAACCACCTCGGGACCTACTAATTTTTCATCAAAACCTAATCAACTGTCTTCAAGCGGATTTGGAACTTCGGGTTTTGGTTTGGGTAAAACTGCAGGTGGCCATTTTGGTTCTTCTTTGAATAATTCAAAAAATAGCTTACCTGGGGGATCTAGCTCATCGTTTGCGAAATTCGCCAACAGTTCTCCTCTCAGTAACTTACCTAAGAAAGAATCTCCTTTCGATAAGCCCGGTACTGATTCACCATTTGCTAAGCTCAGTGCTAATAAGGAATCTCCCTTCGGTCAACCCAGTACTGATTCACCATTTTCTAAGCTAAACGATAAAAAGGAAGCTGTCTTCGATCAACCTAGTACAGACTCCCCATTTGCCAAGTTTAACGAAAAGAAAGAAAATTCATTTGGACAACCCAGTACAGACTCCCCATTTTCCAAGTTTAACGAAAACAAGGAAAATCCATTTGGAAAACCTAGCACTGACTCCTCATTTGCCAAGTTTAAAGAAAAGAAGGAAGATCCATTTGGGAGACCCAGTACTGACTCCCCATTTGCTAAGTTTAACGATAAGAATGTTGGAGCTAATGCTCAGAGTTCCATTTTTGATCAACCAAAAACTAACAAAGGTAATTCGATTTTCCCAGATCTTGAAGATGACTTGAATGAACCCAGTACTCAACTGGGGTTCATGGGTGATTTCGTTAAGTCATTTAATGACTCATTGAATAAATCTACGGAAGAAACCAAATATACAGTTGAAGAACCTGACTCTGAAGAAGCATACGATGAATCAACCAGTGAATATTCTGATTCGGAATTAGATACAAAACTAATCGAATTAAAACAAAATACATCGAATCTGGCGTCACCATCGGCGACATCTGAGCCTCGTGAAGCATCTGCAACTTCCAACTTGAAAAATGATCTGGTAAATCAAAAACCTAGTTCAACTGTCCCTATAGAGTCTTCTGCTTCATGGCTTGAATCCCGTAGTGTTCTTGGAGATTCAGTTTCAGAGGATTTCAATGAATACGATAGTAAAGCTTTACAAAATAAAGAGCCTCGCTTTGAGCCAACAGATGATTTAAATGACTATGAAAGTAAAGATGTATTCAATAGCGGGTCTCCCTTCGAGTCTACTAAGGATTCTACTCCAAGTGAGAAGGAAGCTGATTTGTACGACGAATTTGATGATTATCGCTATGTTATGCAAGATGAAATTGATGAAGAGAATAACTACTTGGAAAGACTATCCAAAGATTCCATACCCGAATTGCCATATCTCTACTACTTCGATGGTTACACTGTTCCTGATGCCAACCGCCCGACGACAGCTCCAGAAATAATGTCAAGGTTAGTTCGTGATACCGATGCTTACATTGAAGTACTCGATATGAATTTAGAGGCCGTAATTAGCTTTATTGATTTTCATCTCGATCCAGCCTCAGATTACTCCAAAGAACTTCTTGGATTCCCAAGGCTCTGGAGGTTACAAGCAGCACAGTTCCTCGCGGACGCCGTGGATGAATCCAAGAGTAAGCTTGATCACATTAAGCCTTTAATTACTACTCAGCTCAATGATCTTGTCAAAATACGTAATGATATTGAAGTAAGTCTTGAATATAAGTCAATTATTGACAAGCTTTTTACCCAATTGAAACTATACAAGACCAAATCGTCGACGGTAAATCAAAAGCTTCTGATAAGCCAGGAGATATTACAAAATAAATTACGTACTAAGTATCAGAATGTTGAAGATCAAATCAAAGTGGCTACTACTAAGTTATTTCCAATGAAAGCCAAGTCCTCGATAGATATATATCCGGAGGAGTCTTTTAAAAACTTGGAGAGGGTAATCTATGAATTGAACGAGAAAATTTTAGGAACATTACAAAACATTAATCATTTAGAACTGCAAATAGCGGATTTAGACTTAGCAGCCTCTTCTGATCTCAAAGATAATGCATTACCGAAAGTCGCTGATATTCCTGGTCCTTCTAAGATTTCAAAAGACATTATGACGAATAAAGTTTGTTCAAGAAAGTTGAATTTTAGCTAATGAACTTGATAAACAAGCCTGGAAATAAGTTACAAGTCTTTATAATATTTGTATTTGTATTTCAATGAAGAATGAAAAAAAAAAAGAATTTATAAACAAAACTTTGTTGTAGAATGATTAAGTATACAAAGAGACGTACAAATGAGAAAAAGAAAATTAAGATATGAGAAGAAGCGTTCATAGCGTTAAGAAAGGAGGTGTCTGACAGAATTTTAATGGTCACTGACCACTTCCCCTTTCATTGGACTAATAACATTAGCATACTTGTGCTAAACAGATAAATCAGTCTTAACTATATAAATCATCCTCTTCGTCATTACCAAAAGCTGCACCATTACCACCAGCATTTTCAGCTGAAGGAGCAGAAGAGGCAGCAGCACCTTCGTTTTCAGAGAATCTAAAGTTAGTGAATTGACCTCTAGAAGCTTGTAATTGTTGAGCATAAGCTTCATAACGACGTAATTCGGCATCAGAAACAGAACGTTTAGCGGTCTTCATAGCTTCTTCGAAATGAGCTCTAGTGATGAAAGGAACGGGATCTTCAATTTCTTCATCATCTTCTTGTTTAACCATATCAACGTCGCCACCTTCTTCAGTCTTAGGTTTGGATGCTTCTTTAGCTTTAACTAATTTAATATGAGCTTCAATAGAATCTTTAATGGCAAATTTAGCTGATCTTTGAACAATGTAAGACAAATCGGCACCAGAGAAACCATGGGTAATTCTTGCGATTTCTTTCAAATCTAAACCTGGTTCCAAAGGAGTATTTCTTAATTGAGCTTCCATGATTGATAATCTTGCAACTTCGTCAGGTAATGGAACATAAATCAATTGATCTAATCTACCAGGTCTTAATAAAGCTGGATCGATTTGATCAGGTCTATTGGTAGCACCAATAACAAAGACATTCTTTTTAGCATTCATACCATCCATTTCAGTCAACAATTGATTAACAACACGGTCAGAAGCACCACCAGCGTCACCTTGAGAACCACCTCTAGCTTTAGCGATAGAATCCAATTCATCTAAAAAGACAACAGTTGGAGCTGCAGCTCTAGCTTTATCAAAGATATCACGGATGTTAGATTCAGATTCACCATACCACATACTTAATAATTCAGGACCTTTAACAGAAATGAAATTGGCGGAAACTTCGGTGGCAACAGCTTTAGCCAATAAAGTTTTACCAGTACCTGGAGGACCAAAAAATAAAACACCTTTTGAAGGAGCCAAACCGAATTTTTGATATTGATCTGGATGTAAAACTGGGTATTCGACAGTTTCTTTTAATTCATTCTTAATGGTATCTAAACCACCAATATCATCCCAAGTAATATTAACATTTTCAACAACGGTTTCACGTAATGCAGAAGGATTTGAATTACCTAATGCGAATCTGAAGTTTTCCATGGTAACACCTAAGGAATCTAAGACTTCAGCATCAATAGTTTCTTCTTCTAAATCAATAAGATCCATTTTTTCACGAATTTGTTGCATAGCAGCTTCAGAACATAAGGAAGCGATATCAGCACCCACGAAACCATGGGTTTCAGAAGCAATAGCTTCTAAATCGACATCATCAGCTAATTTCATATTTTTACTATGAATTCTTAAAATTTCCAAACGACCAGCAGCATCAGGAACACCGATATCAACTTCTCTATCAAATCTACCAAATCTTCTTAAAGCAGGATCAATAGAATTTGGTCTATTAGTAGCAGCAATAACCACGATATTTGATCTTGCCTTCATACCATCCATCAAGGTTAATAATTGAGAAACAACTCTTCTTTCAACTTCACCATTAGTTTTATCTCTTTTTGGAGCTATTGAATCAATTTCATCAATGAAAATAATGGAAGGAGAATTTTTTTCAGCTTCTTCAAAAGCTTTTCTTAAATTAGATTCAGATTCACCAGCCATTTTGGACATAATTTCGGGACCATTAATTAAAAAGAAAAAGGCACCAGTTTCATTAGCAACAGCTCTTGCCATAACAGTTTTACCAGTACCAGGAGGACCGTACATTAAAATACCTTTTGGAGGTTTTATACCAATAGCTTTAAATAATTGAGGATGTCTTAAAGGTAATTCAACCAATTCTCTAATTTGAGCCATTTGTTTTTTACAACCACCAATATCATCATAACCAACTTCATTTAAGTTATTTTCTTCATCTTCACGATTTATTGGTTCACCTTCACAATGAATAATGGTATCTTGAGCCACAATTGCAATTTCTTCTGGGTCAACTTCAACAACTTTGAATTCAACTTGTCTCATACCACCACGAACAGTGAAAAGATCACCTTTTCTAACTGGTCTATAGGCTTCAACAAAATAAGGTTTTAAATAAACGTCAAAAAGAGAACCAGTAATACCTTCAACGGTATCAGCAATTGGTAAAACACTGATTCTATTAGCATATTTGATGTCAGGACAAGGATGAATAGAGATAATATCACCTAATCTAACCCTTAAGTTATTACGAACACATCTATTAATTCTTGCAACACCATCTTCTAAATCATCGTCAGCAAGAACAATTAAAACTGTATCCTTTCTTTTTTTACCCTTGACTAAAACCGTATCACCACGGAATAATTGTAATAATTCCATGGTATTAGTAGACATAGTGACAACAGAATTATCATCGTTAGTGGCATCATCAACAATTAAAGCATTATCCTTCTTCTTTCTTCTCAAGATAGCAGTGGCAGTTTTATCTTCATTAGTTTCAGCACCGCTGGCATCCAAAAGGGATTTTTTATGATCTTGATCACCGGACATACTTATATATTTCCAATTGATAGAATCTAATATATAAAAAATTAATTAAAAAATGCTTCTTTCGAGTTTCTGATAACAATCTCTCTAATATATATCTTTGAAACAAGCAGATTTATAATACTTCAAGCTAACTTTCAAGATCAATTGGAGGTATTTTGGACCGATTATATACTTATCAAAGCTATTAAACTCGAATTGATTAACCTTTTGTAGAAAAAGACTTGTTGGCGGTTAATTTATCAACACCGCAAATGATTTCAATGGCAAAAAATCAATTTTCACCCTTTAAATCCACACCCGTACAGTTTTTCTGTTCTTGCCACCCTAAAACTTTTCCAAATGCTTCGATAGAGTTCCGAGGGCTCACGTGATATAAATCACGTGCCATTTTCTATTTTCGAGGAGGGGAGAGGAGATGGACGGGGACGAATGCTAATTTGTATATAAAAGAACTAAGGGATAGAAGCTTGTACTTTAACTACTAAAGTTATTAACTACTAAGGTAATCCAATTGACAATGTCTGCTTCATCAGCCTCTTGTATTTTCTGTAAAATCATCAAGGGAGAAATTCCATCGTTGAAATTGATTGAGACTAAACTCAGCTATTCATTTCTTGATATCCAACCAACAGCTGAAGCCCATTGTCTTGTTATTCCAAAATATCATGGAGCCAAATTACATAACGTTCCTGACGAATATTTAGCTGATATCTTACCAGTGGTGAAGAAATTGACTAAAGTGTTGAACTTGGATACTAATAATACTCCCGAAGGTGAAGGATATAATATTTTGCAAAATAATGGTAGAATTGCTCACCAAGTAGTTGACCATGTTCATTTCCATTTGATTCCTAAAAAGGATACGGAAACGGGGTTGGTTGTTGGCTGGCCAGCACAAGAAACTGATTTTGATAAGTTGAATGCTCTTCATAAATCTTTACAATCAGCATTAGCTGAAGCCAATGATGAAAAATTATAATGTATATATTAAATTATATATGGAATTAAAGAATACCTCCAATGAAACCTCCTATATAACCCATTAAATAACTTGTAAACCACGTCAAGGCGCCTGCACCAAACGGGAAATAACTAATTGTATAATACAAGACTGCAAATATTTCAATTATACTTGAAAAAATTGTTAAAATAGTACTCTTTAATATCACCAGAGTATACATGGTTAATAATACACTACCGAAAAATACAATGGTGAAAACAAATCTTTCTCGACTGAGTAAATGACGAGTGTAGCTAGCAGGCCCTTGTAGTATTCCAAATGACAAAACAAAAAGTAATGATCCCATTGACCATAACATTCCAAACTTTCGTGGTTTTAATGCCAACACTGGGAAAAGGAAAAAACTCAATACAAAACAAAGTATTGATGCTGCTAAGCAGCATCCAAACCCAATGATTCGTTCTAATCGACTCAATCTAAACCACAGAGGCTCTTCGCTACTTGTTGGATTCCCCGGTGTGCCTGCAGTGTTATAAGTTGGTAAACTTGAATACAAGTCGTTGGCACTGGTCTTGATATAATCGGTCCATTCCGAGTAGACAGGACGCGTGGTGGCATTGGTGCTGCTTCTGTTGGTCCAGCTACTGAACTGTTGTCGAAATGCGTTTTCTGCTGATGACATCCTCTAGTGGTATTGGTGCTGCTTTGAATCAGAGGTGGCGTCTGCTGCTCTTTTGTAGTAAATCAAAGAACAAAAAAAAAAAAAATGAAATCAATGAACAAACCTCCGTACATTCAGTGTTTTGTCAAAAAAAGCCTTTTCCAAACCGACACGGTCAAATCCCAAATCTCCTAGACGGTTAATGCAGAGAGCTGCCTGCTCTGATTCAAATTCAGAAAAGCCTAAACCCTTTCCTGAACAGTAGCTAATGGCTGCAACACCTTCAAGGAACGAAGGCCAGGCGAGAAAAAGAAAAGATGGTTATGTATGGAGGTCACGTGCAATTAGCTCATAAGAAGCAGCTGGAAAAACCCCGATGATTATTGCAAAATTTGTAATAATAGTGAAGATCACCTTCATACCAAAAGAAAGAAAAGGCTGAACTCATCGTATTACGTATTAGAGCCGGTTTACGATCTGGTTAAAGAAGTTGAGTTTTTAGTATTTGAAAAAGACTCTCTATTGATATCAGGAATACTTCAAATTATAATTGCAAAAATAACTGCAAGTTAAAGAACAGTGAATTGTGGATACAAGTTGTACGGCGCAGACGTTACTACAAATCACCTAACGCAATACTTAATAATCATATATAAGTGAAGGAAAAGCGCCTGTTTTTAGTAAGTAGTTAAATTGTTGGAGTACCAAGATGAGTTTTTCACATTCCAAAGATGATAAAGCATATCCAGACTTGGAGAATGCTTATTCATCCAGTGCTGAATCTTTGCAGCAAGGTCAAGTTGTAACTGAAGATTTGGATAGAAAGTTATCGGTTAGAATAGTTAATTTAATCACTATAGGAGGGGTTATTGGTAGTGGTCTTTTATTGGGGACATCGCAAGCGTTAGCTAATTCGGGTCCAGTATCATTAGTGTTGAACTTTATTATTATGGGTATATCGGTTTATGTAACCATGATTTCATTAGGTGAAATGGCAAGTTTTATACCGGTTGCCGGGCTGTTTACTTCATATGCTCGTCGTTTTGGTAGTGAGAGTCTTGGTTTTGCAATCTTGAGTAATTATTGGTTTAATGATGCTTTATCAGTTGCTTCAGATTTAACTGCAATGTCTTTGGTTTTAGAATATTGGAATTCAAATTTCCATTATTATATCGTTTCCATAATTGTTTGGGTTGCATTATTAATTTTTAATCTTTTACCAGTTCGTCTTTATGGGGAAATTGAATATTGGTTAGCTATATTAAAAGTTGTTACTATTTTCATCTTTTTCATCATTAGTATCGTGGTTAATGCTGGGGTCAATCCAGACCATGTTTATATTGGTTTCAGTAATTATCATGATACTCCATTTGTTGACGGGTTCAAAGGTTTTGCTAAAGTTTTTGTCACTTCTGCGTTCACTTATGGTGGGTTGGAATCAATCACCTTAACCGCTGGTGAAACCAAAAACCCAACCAGAAATATCCCTAAAACGATTAAACTTGTCTTTATTAGAATTTTGATTTTTTACGTCTTGACTACTTTTTTCATTGGTCTTAATATCCCAGTTAATTATCCTGGTCTTCTGACTAAATCGGTCCAAACCTCTCCTTTTACAATTTCGTTCCATATGGTTGGTGCTAAAGCCGCTGGTTCTTTTATGAATGCAGTTGTTCTCACCTCGTTAATATCCGCAGGTAATCATGCATTATATGCTGGTTCGAGATTGGGTTATACTTTAGGAACTGAGCGTTATCTCCCAAAATTTTTAACTAAAACCAATCGTTGGAAAGTTCCTTATATTTCAACAATAATAACTTGGTTTATTGGTGGGTTATGTTTTGGTGCCTCCTTTGTTGGCGCTGGTACTTTATGGACTTGGCTTCAATGTATTGTTGGTGTTTCTAATCAATTCAGTTGGTGGACAATTGCCATTATTAGTATTAGATTCCGTCGTGGGTTAGCTAAACAAGGTAAAACTCATCTATTAAACTATGTTAATTGGACTTATCCTTATGGTCCTTGGTTGAACTTGATCTTTATTTCTTTCATCATTTTAGTCCAAGGTTGGTCCGCTTTTGCTCCTTGGGATGTTACTTCATTTTTCCAAAGTTATCTTGAAGTTGGGGTATTTCCTTTATCTTTTATCATTTGGTACATTGTTTATTATTTCAAAAATGGGAAATTTGACAAATTTATGAAATACGAAGAAATGGACTTTGAGACTGATAGATATATCCAAACTCAAGAAGAAATTGATCAAGACGTTTATGAACAATCATTATCCGGATGGAAAAAATTCAGATATAATTTCGTCGACAATTTCTTATAATTTTGCATCAACTAAAAAAAAATAACTATTTGTACATTTATATATCTTTTACATAGTCATTAATATCTAATGGGTTACGATTTTCTTTCAAGCATATATGTAAAATAAATTTTATGATTAGGATTAGTTGCAAAAAAATTTAAGTGAGGTTGGTAAAAAAGAAATGCGCAAACCCGGAATCGAACCGGGGGCCCAACGATGGCAACGTTGGATTTTACCACTAAACCATTTGCGCTTTTTATAAAAGTTTGAAGATACTAGAGTTTAAGCCAACACTAGAACCACCCTAGTTTTTTGAAGATCTTAAAATTCTGTGCTTTAATTTACCTAATTTTAACAAAATAAGGTTTTTGAAGTATAAATTATACATCGTTTTATTGTGGGGTAGATTTTCAGCTAATATTCTGATTTTTCTGTGCTCAAAAATGTACTCATAAAACCAGTTTATCGAACTCAAGCATATGCTTCGGCAAAAAAATGTATGCTTCGGTAAAACGTATATACTGAAGGTATCGGGTTATGCTGTTATATCAGACCTTCGTGGTCCACATATGTCCAACATAGTTTCCAAGACGGACGAGAACATAAATTATATACTAGTCAGATACGGACTAATATCAAATGGTTGTGAATCAATTTACCATTCGGATTGATCATCGCATCGTTATTAAAGGTAGGAGTAACTTATTACAATTAATAGTAAATAGTGAAAACCGAAATAATAATCTCTCGTCGGTCTAAGGACCTATACTTTAATCAATGAGCAGTAAGGTCGAAAACGAATATTCCCACGTCAGTGGGGACGTCTACTTATTCACATAGTGAAAGAAATATAGAATGGCTTTGCGAAGAGGTATCACCAAGAATATTTTGTCACAAACATGAGTATATTGATGTTCTTCTTGGTGGTCTGACATTGGAAAATCCTAATGGCTTGATATTGACGGATCCCGATTGTCTGACAGGTGATGCCTGAAAGTATCAAACCTACAAAGTTAAAGACTATAATTCGAATTCAAGCTTAAGGCCACCAACAAAACATATGACTACACATACTGTTTAAACTGAAATAGATAGATTATTTTATTAAAGACAGTTCTGACGGTCAGCCTGGAACTTACAAGATCAACTTAATCAGCAATAACCCAAACCTAAAAGAAAAAAAAAAAAAAAAAAAAAAAAAGGATATACAATATCATCCCTTACGATTTATTCCCTGATGCCTGACTCAGTAGAATGAAAAATTTGTCCTTTTAAAGCTCTTTAATACGCTTATCTGGCCAATGAATACTCGTTAATGGAATTCCTTCAAATCCCAATACAAATGATCACTTGATTAGGTGCAAAAATATATTTTCCCCCACAGAAAACTGCAAAAAAAGAACTGGTTGCGACAAAAAGGGCCTAACCATGAACAATAGTTTTACCCCAAAAAAGACCCAGGTTTGGTTAGCTTGACAGCCGTGCTGGGTAAACCATTCAGTGAGTTTGGCGTAGCAGTAGCGATAATTGTTTGGTGGGGATGGACAACTCGTCATCTCCATTGTTTCTCTGGCTGTTCCTTGTTTTTATGGTTTGGAATGATTTTCAGAAAACAAGATTCCCCCACAATCCCCTGGCTATCTAACTGAAACTTTATTCCTGAATAGTTAATAGTTTGCCTTATGTATGGTCCAGGAGTGCAGGAATATGAGATACGTGAAGCTGGAGAAACGATGACAAGCCAAGCCCGTATATCTCTCGTTCCCCAAAAAGATCAAAGCAAAGCCAAAAGAATATTTCTAGCGGAGATCTTTAATGTCCCCGACTCGTGTTTCTAAGAAGAAAACACGAGATGCATTGATTTCTTAGGGGAACCCCAGTGATTGTTCAGAGGTTCCATTGATGTCGTATGGCTTTTGTTTCAAAGACACGGCTCTTGTTTTGAAATATGGGGTATTACCATATGCTAAAGGCGTTATCTATTTTTTTTTTTTTTAACTGCAAAAACTCAATCTCTTCTGGTTGCCAAAACAATGTTCTTCCATGGTTACTGGGACGTATATTCCTGAAGTATATTTCTGATCACAAGTATATAACCCGGATGAAATTCGCTTGCTTCCATTTCTTTCTACTTTCTTTCGTTTACGTTTCTCATTCGTATTATAAGTCAGGATGGGTTTGAAAGACAACTCCTTCATCCGAAGATTCGTTGATGCTAAGTCAAAAAAATCTGGCTCTTCAGCCCCTGGTATTATCATCGCAGGCTTTGCTGCTTGTGGTGGGGTTCTTTTTGGTTTTGATACGGGTACTATCCTGGGTATCATGGCAATGGATTATGTTTTGGAAAGATTTCCTTCTAATAAAGAGTCGTTTACTTCTTCTGAACTGTCACTCATTGTTTCTATTCTTTCAGTTGGTACTTTCTTTGGTGCCTTGAGTGCTCCTTTGTTTGCTGACTCTATTGGTCGTCGTTGGACGGTTTTAATTAGTACTTTTTTCGTTTTCAACCTTGGGATCATTCTTCAAACAGCTGCAACAAGTATCCCGCTACTTTGTGTTGGGCGATTAATTGGTGGTTTGGGTGTTGGGATGATATCTAGTGTAGTACCTTTGTACCAAGCAGAAACCCTGCCGGAATGGATTCGTGGTGCGGTCGTTTCTGCTTATCAATTGGCTATTACTATTGGTTTACTTTTAGCTGCCTGTGTTAACCAAGGAACTCACCAAAGAAATGACTCGGGCTCTTACAGAATCCCAATAGCAATTCAATTTTTATGGGGGTTAATTTTAGGAATTGGGTTCATACTTTTACCAGAAACTCCAAGATTTTGGATTTGCAAAGGTAAAGATGATAAAGCAAAAGCTTCTTTATCAAGATTGAGAAAGTTACCTCCAGATCACCCTGAAATTATTGAAGAATATGAGGATATAAAAGCAGCTTACGTATTTGAAGCTCAATTCGGTAAAAACCTGTTTGCTCAAGTCTTTTCAAGAAAAGGTAAACAATTAAAGAGATTATTCACTGCAGTTACTTTGCAGGCATTTCAACAGCTAAGTGGTATAAATTTCATCTTCTACTTTGGTACTCAATTCTTCAAAGATTCGGGTATTGAAAACCCTTTCACTGTTCAGTTGGCTACTAATATAGTCAATGTGGGTTCTACCGTTCCTGGATTATTTTTCATGGAAATCATCGGCCGTCGTAAATTATTAATCACTGGGGCCGCATTTATGTCTGTTTTCCAATTAATCATTGCTTCCGTTGGTGTTGCAAGTGATACTGATGCTTCGAAGAAAATTCTTGTTGCGTTTACTTGTCTTTCTATTGCATCTTTTGCGATGTCTTGGGGTGAAGCCTGGGTAGTTTCGAGTGAAATTTTTACAACAAGGACAAGAGCTAAATCTGTTTCTCTCGCAACCGCTAGTAACTGGTTATGGAATTGGGCAATAGCTTATGCAACTCCCTATCTTGTCGATAAAGAGCACGCAAACCTAGGCTCCAAAATTTTCTTTGTATGGGGTGGGTTCAATTTAGTCAACGTTTTGTTTTCCTTCTTATTCATATACGAAACCAAGGGCCTCACTTTGGAACAGGTAGACGAATTGTATGAGAATGTTTCTCATGCTTGGTTATCATCGAAATTTGTTCCCTCCCAACATGCCTTCAGACCTTCTTCTCCCTCTGCTTCAATCCATTCGGACTCAAAAGCAGATGCTATCTCCGTCGAAGAACGTTCTGTTTGATAGTCCTTCCTTCTTCAATTTCCTAGCTTACGTTGTTATGTATTCAATAAAATTCTTTACTTCACTAAAATCTTTCTCAATAGCTTCTTCCTTTCCTTGAAATTCTTGCCTAAAACCAGGCTTTATGCGATTTGAAATTTGCACCCAGTTGCAAAAAGAAATTAGTGCGTATGAGCAAATATTGACTACACAATGCTTCCCATTTGGACTTCAGAGCTAACTTTAATATTACAAATTTAATGTCTATTATTACTATTATAAATTAGTGTTCGATTTGTTTTGTTTATAAAACAATTTGGACTTCAAAATCTTCCTCTAATTCGGTATCTCCAACAAGACCATTCAAGTCTAAGGGCTCGTCATCAAATATAAGCCTTACTTTATTCAAATCGATATTTTCGAGTTTCTTGACTTTTATGTAATATTCAAGCAACTTTTCGATTTTTGTATCTGGTGAAACTTGAACTTCAACTCTCTTATTGTCTGAGCCTTTTAGTCCAATAACAAAATAATTATCCGCGGATTGCACTTCAGCAGATACAACTTCAGGATTATTATTCTCTATGACCTCATCTTCATCAAATAATGAATCACTATCGTCTTCTATGCTATGCTTTTCGCGTTGTTCGAGTTTATCAATTTCCTTCGAAAGCTCGGAATCATCTAGGCTCAAACTTGATTTGCTAAACTCGGGATAGATCTTCATATAGTCCTTGGTATGCATCTTAGGAATCAACAAAATTGTAACTAAGGTCGGAGGAATTGAATCTTCGTAGTCAACTGTGTTGGGAGGAGATATTCTTAGTGTGCTTGGCTTATAGAACGGACGTATCTCCATTCTCCCTTCAATCCAGATAAATGCAGTTTGTTCTGCGGTATAGTACTCCGGCTGAAATGTTGGTTCTGAAAGAAACTTCGTTTTGAAATGCAGTAATGATGATTCAAAAATTCTGCTAAAGTTTTTGCTACCCTTAGTTGCAAAGTCTAAACTAAGATCGAGGGGCATTCCACTCATTCCAGGTATTTTGCTTATAATTCTTAAAATATATTGTCTCTTTTTCTCGTGTTCGTCATCAAAAGAATATCCGTTGGAATCAACCAAATTGCTGGGTCTGAATTCTTCAATTTCATCATTAAAGAAGTCGTCATCCAGATCGATATTGTTCAGTAAACTTTGAAGTTTTAAATTCAAATCATCATTCGCCGAGGTTGTGAACGCTGATTTATCAATAACTGGTGGTGGAGTAATGGAGCCATGTCGCCTTATAGGTGATTTCGATTCCGAGAGCATTGGGGATTGTTTGGGTGATTCTGTTTCGAGCTTTTCGGGTGATTTGGGTTCTTTAGGAGTCTCAGTTTCTGTAGTCTCACTAGCATCTTTCTTTACACTAATTTGTGGAAACAACGTTTCAATATCCAGAGCTTTAGTCTTTTTATGTTTCTTGGATTTTTTTTTCTTCTTTGAAGGTGCTGCTAAAACAAAGAAATCATCATTGAAAAACTCTTCCTTCCTTTTCTGTGAAGGACTGATGGTCGATGCCTTCTCCCTGCTCTTTTCTGGAGATGGAGTTGTCTCTTTACTATTTGTCTGAGGTATTGATACTTGTATTTCTTTTTCCTTCGGTTCTACCAACAGAGGTTTTTCGCTCTCTGTCATTTCCTGGTTCTTATGCTCTTCTGGTTGTTCGGCCTCTTTCAAATAGGGGCTTGAATTGGCCTTCAGGGTATCAGTGGAGGGTTCTTCTTTCAACTCTTTAGGTTCCAGCACTCTGGAAGTTTCCGGGTGGACATCTCCACTTGGAAATTCTTCCACTTCAATGATCTCGATCTCATCCGAAAGATCAGCATTTGCAATCTCACTTGAAGAACCTTTTCGTTGTGATTCTTCTTCAGCAGCTGTTGTATAAACGTCCTTGTTTGATCTTTGTGGAGAGGAAGACGGCAAAAAAGACTCGTTGACACTATGGTAATCTGTTATATCTGTAGACTCCGACATATTCAACAGTCAATGCTGACTCAAACCAATTATGCTTCTTGGAGAAAAGAGAAACAAAGAGGATTAGTTGGATTGGGTTTATGTTATTTGGTTATTACTTCTGTATGTTTTTTCCGCACATTTGAATGCAGCAGAAGAAGAAATATAAACATCAAAATCTAAATCATTTATTCTTTCAAGCATTCCTTCAATTAAGTAACAATGCTGAAAAATAATGATGATGACGACTTTGATATGCTTCAATTGGATCTAGATAATGATGGTGATACTTTCTTGAATACAAATGGTGCACCAGGAGGTGGAAACAATGAGCATAGCGTGAATGATGATATACCCAAAGAGACAACCAAAACTAAACGTAATGCTAGAGCCCCGGAAACTAAAGTAAACCTGCCTATTGATGCTTCTACTTCCCAGATGAAAGCTGGCTCGATGAATACCACAACAACCACTGCACCTAGAACAATTAGAGATTTAGCTTTTAAACCAAGATTCATAAACGTGAATGGGTATGATGAAGAACTTTATGAGGAAGCAAAGAATTATATAAATAACTGGAGTACATCTTTATTCTACGTTGACGAAAAAAGGTTTAAAGATATCGTGGGAAACGGCAGTCATAAAAGCGAAGTATTTCAACTGGTAGATGAAAGTCTTTATCCAAAGGGAAAAACCAAAGAAATACAGCAGCTGGAATTTGACAGCGAATTCGGTAACTTAAATGAAATAACAGTAACATTGAAAAAGGAAGGTTCCTCGAAATCTGAAAAACTCTTACCGGGACAAATAGTGTCCTTACGTGACTCTTTTACAAGAAATGCTTTTATTTTGAATGTTGGAGGTTATGTGACTTCTTCATCCTGGCTTCCTTGTGATGGATTAAATAATGAGTTTACTTATTTAGCGGTTTCAGTTATTAATATTGCTTCCCAGAAGATTCAAGATCTCATAATACACCCAGAATTGAGTATTCTTGGCTTCAATGGAGATACCAAAGAAGTGAATTCGTCGATACAAATTTGGAGGTACGAATTCAATACTCAACAATTTCAGTTATCTACTAAGATTTTGACAAATAAGTTTGGTGTCACATCTAATTTATCGTGGGCTAAGAAAAACTTCAAAACCACGAATGTCCTAGGATTTTTGTTAGGTTCTTTCAGTGATGGAAAACTTCATGTGTTTGAAATCCCAAGAAATGAAGGTGATTGTAATTACTTGGTAAGTGAATCACCTTCAATTACGTATGAAGTCAAGGATGATTTATCTTCGAAAAAACATTCTACAATTACTTGTTATTCACTCTTAGAAAATGATAGTATAGTCGTGGGTACCGCCGATGGATATCTTGCAGAATTTATCTTACCACAGGTAGAATCACCTACTTCAAATTCTGCTGTTGAGGAAGATATAACTATCCCATCGTTCATTGAACTTATTGCTGATAGTGCTATCTGCTCTATAGCAACAACCAACCCAAAGCCTTATGTTCATATGATTTATTTAAATACCTTAGGAACACAAGCTTATACCTTTATATATGAGAATAGAAGATTTCATTCCGAGAGGATGGCCTCAGTATCATTGGCTCCACTCAAATCTCATCATCATTTAAGATTGTTCTTCGGTGTTGATGGACATGATACTTTAGCTTATTCTCAAGTAAAAAGTCCTCAAGAAAGACCAATTTTGGCTTTTAAAACTGAAAACATCACTTCTTACGGAATAAGCGAGCATTTAGGTCATCCATTAGCTCTCATTGGTAATTCCTTTGGTGAAGCTTATATTGTGAACTTTGCAAGAAAGCTATTGAATAATACAAAAACATCAAATAAAGTTTTGATTCCATTAAGACTATGGAAGTTTGAGAAAAATAGTAATAACGGAATTGACTTAATAGGTGATTATGTTAGTACAGTTGCAGAAAAGCCCATAGTCAAGGTATCAACTGCTGATCCCGAATTAAACATATCTTCGATTTCGTGGTGTGAAGATCTAGAAGGTAGTTCTATGTATGCTATGTCAACCATAAGTGGGTTGTTATTAGTTGAGAGATTAGATCCTTCTACTTAAACTATATAGTCTTTTCTCGTGTCTCATTAGTGTAAATTAGTTTGTATATCTATATGTAACGTAAATTAGTATTTGGGTATTTTAGAATCAATTTCTTCACTCCACTTGTTGATACCACCTTTGATATCTTTAACATTTCTTATTCCAAGCTCTTCTATAAGCTTTTTAGCGGCTAATTGGGAATCATTTCCGTACCGACAAAGTACATAAACTTCATCCTTTGATTTGTCAAAATCAGCTGGGAAATATTCATCGATATTATCTGCTTTCGTCAAGATTGGATCCCAAGAGATATTGATCGAATTTGGCAATTTGGTTATTTGAAATTGTTCTGGTGGTCTGACGTCGAGTAAAACACTCTTAGGATTATTATTTTCGTGGAAATCTCTCACTGAAACTCTGTACTTTGAATCTAAGATATTAGTGTTCACTTTTCCACAGAAAGATGCATAATCAATCTCATTATTGGTTATAATTTCCTTTGTAATAGTAGCCGATGGACTACAAATGGCGCAATCATGCTGTTTATTTCTCATTTTGAACACTCTTAAGGTTTGTTGTGGATAGCCTGAATACTGAGCTAAGAATGGCTTGAAGTTTTCTTTTGTATAGTAACCGGTAATCAACTTTATGGCTTCCAATGCCATGGTAATACCCATAAGCCCAATTGCGGGACCGATAACACCCCCGTCTGTACATGTTGTGACCGTTTCTGGTTTAGGAGGTTTAGGATAAAAGCATCTATAACATGGTCCCATATTTTTGAAATTCAATATGGTGAGTTGACCTTCGGTTTTTAAGCCTGATGCACTGACTATCGGCTTGGAACAAAGCACAGAGACATCGTTTATCAAATAACGAGTCGCAGGGGTGTCTGTACAATCCATGATAACATCGTACTTATTGATTATGTCAAAAGCGTTAGAGTTTGTTAAACGGTATGGATAGGTTTCTACTTGAACATGTGGGTTTAAACGAGATATGTATCTTTTAGCAGATTCACATTTGTGGATCCCCACCGAGTCAGTAGTATGTAGAACCTGTCTATGCAAATTACTAGTATCAACAACGTCATCATCTATGATACCAATCTTACCAACCCCAGCTGCTGAAAGGTAGAGTAAGGCGGGACATCCCAAACCACCAGCTCCAATAACTAGCACCTTAGAGTGCTTCAAGCGCACTTGACCATCGCGAGATCCGAAGGAAGGAACAATCATTTGTCTCCCGTATCGTTTATATTCATCAAGGGTGAAATCTTCATCAATTTTAGTGTGCTGCAACTTCGATGAGTCTGCTGACAAGGGACTTTCAAATGCTTCGAGTCTTTTCCTTAAGCCAGAGTTTTCGAGCTCGAGTTTCGAGATCTTCTCGAGTAATTCTTTCTTTTCAAGATCCATAACTTGGTACTGTGAAAAGCTCCTCAAATAATGAAAATTGACATGAATATTTGATTTGCATCAGATGCCGTTTTTTTTTTTTTTTTCAACCGAATATTAGCGGTGTATGGGTTTTATTTAATTGAATACAGAAATGCTACTATGAATACAAGGGTACAAATAAACTTCAAAGTTAATTTATTATTTTGATTGGAGTAGGTTTATAAACTTGTAGAGACCAAGTCATAGTACATACAAAAGTAATTTTACATAGAGGACATCACTAGGATTAAACAATTTTTTGTTTAACAAAGAAACTCTTTAAATGACGCAATTGATAGGCACAAGTACCAATAAGCACGATTAATTGAACGATGGTCCACTTAACGACACGAGAGTTGGTAGATTCGGATTGATCTCTGAAGATAGCTTCACGTTCTCTCATTTGTTCTTGTTCTCTGTGAATTTCTTGTAATTTCTTGTTCAAAGATTGGACGTGTTGAGTTAAGGCATCAACTTGTCTAGTACTTTTAGAGTCAACATAGTCATGGGCTGAACCAATGGCAATATCAAAGAAGATACGGTGAGCCTTGTTACTAGTACCATCAGTATAAATTGGGGTTAAGCAAAACTTGTGTTCACCGGATTCAAATGAGGTAAAAGTGAATTCACCAGTTGGAGATGATTTTTGGTTAGCAACCATTTCATCGTTATCAAAGGTTTCCTAATTGAATTGTTAGTATATTTGGAACAAAAATCATTTTTCACCAATCTTCCAAGAAGAAACATCATATTTATACATACAACAACCGTGATTCCAACTTTCAAGTTGTTATTCTTATAGTAGTCACCAGTTTGTTCATTATATTCATAAGCATCGATCTTACCAACAACAAGGGATTCCTTTGGTAATTCTTCAAAAAAACATTTGGTATCACCGGTTTTGGCATAGAAATGTAAGGCTTGAGCTACTTGCGCCAACACAAATATGCACGAAAGAACACTTAAAGCAAGAGATGACTTCATTTTATTCCAAAATCTTCTTCTAAAGATCCGTTTTCCTTAAACTAGCTCTAGTGGTAGTGTTGATCTTGCTGCCATAAAGTATTTTCCATTCAAATTTTCAACGCGTGTTCTTTTTCCCACTGTGAAAAAAAAAACACTGGCAAAGGGAAGGGGAAAATTGCGTGTGGGCACGACCCCGATCCAAAGGTCTTTTGCAGTCGAATCAGCTTGTGAGTTGCAACTAATGAATACTGAAAATATATATTATTATACAAAGATGCCACTATTTGAGTCTATTTGTTGTTTTTACGTTTCAATTTACTGACCAAGGTTTGAAGGTCAACGGAGTCACCGGGAGTATCTTCTTTAGTTTTCTTGTGTTTTTTATTGGCCTTAGAGTCGACTCCATCATAACGGTGTCTTTTAGAACGCTCTTTCATGATCTTATCCATAGTTTGAGTTTTCTTGAATTCACTACTTGTTTTGTCAATGGCGAAGTCATGGTTTTCGAATATTTCGTTGAAACGTGGATCGTTTAAATCAGCTTCAAATTTATCTTGAGTCAAAGATTCATCCATATTCTTCTTGTTCTTTCTATTCTTCTTTCCCTTTGCCTTTTCTGCTTTGATGATATCTCTCATGTTAAAATGATCTCCTTTACTATCATCTTTTTCCTCATTTTCGTCCATCATCACTAACTCAAGTTCTGCTTTGCGTCTTGCATCAAGTTCTGTATCCTTATTTTTCTTGTTTTTATTATTTTTATTCTTCTTCTTATCTTCAACTTGAGGAGTGTCTTCGGGTTCCTGTGATTCTTTGTATTTATCAAGTCTACGTTGACGACGTTCCTTTTCTTTACGTCTGTATGCATCAATCGTCGATTCTTCCTTGGATGCTTCTTCATCTTCCTTAGGTTCTGCCTTGGAATCATCCAAACCTGGATTAAAGGTAATTTCCATATCCACATCTCCTTCATCGTCATTATCTTTCTTACCGTCAAAGCTGAATCCACCGGTTAAAAGATTTTTATATTTGTCTTTCAAGCTTTCATTGTCTTTTTTGGACTCATCGTCACTTCCATCACTATCGGATGCTAAATAAGCTTTGAAATCCATTTCATCAATTTCCTTTTGTGAAAATTGTCTTGATGATAAGGTCAATCTTTCCTTTGGAGTTTCATCCCAGGTTAATTTAACTTTTGAGTGTTGTAATGCATCGGTAACAAAGGTGGAATTTGGTCTATAACTTGATGGAATCTTAGTACAAACGTCTTTGGCTTCACTATCATCGAATTCCATTCCGTCTGGAATATATCTTAAATCAAAAATGTTTGCTGTAGATTCATACTCAGTACCATCACAATTGTCATAAATATTTTTGGCGGTTTTCACAGAATCACATCTTATCACAGCATAAAAGTATCTTAATCTCTGTAATTGATAACGACGTAACGCTTTGGAGTCATAATCTTCTTCTCCGTCATCTTCTTCATACAATTTACGAGCAGCTTTTTCTAAATCATCTGCATTTCTTAAATCTATTTCATCATCATCGTCATCAGAACTTTCATCTTCCTTCTTTTTCTTGCTCTTGAATAATTCCTTTGGGGGTCCCTCTATTTCTTCTCTCTGCATTTGTTCCTTCCCATATTCTGAAGGGAAAATGGTAACACTTTTGATAGATCCACCGGTAGGAATGAATGAAGAGAAAGTTGCCATTAAGTCAACCGCTCTCAAGTTATCCCAGTCCATATTAACAACAGCAAACGAGTGAGACGGGTCCCCTTCTTCTGGTTTGGATTCTTCAAGTTCGATTTCACTGTCTTCTTCGAATTCATCCTCAGATGAGTCTGAATCGCTAGATGAGCTGTCATCAGAATCTTCGTCAGAAGATGACCCAAGACCTTCCCCTCTAGCACGATCCAAAGATTGAGTCTCTTCAATTATACCTTCTTGTTTTTTGTCTTTTAGCTTTTTAGGAGCTGCTTTGGTGGCCTGTTCATTTTCATCGCTTGATTCTTCTTCGGATTCTTCAGCATCTTCCGACTTTTCGGATTCGTCAGACTCTTCGGATTCGTCTTCAGACTCTTCAGATTTTTCTTCTTCGAAATATTTATCAAAATCTTTAGTATTGTCGGTATCTTTCAATGCTCGGCCGTATCTGTCAACTTTTACTTTTCTTCCAGTTGCGGTTGAGTTAAGTTTATCAAGTTCCTTCTTGCTGAAACGATCATCGATCTTGACTTTGACATTCTTTAAATTTGGAAGTCTAAATCTAGGATCATTATGGACGGATGCAAATCTTGAGTCCTTGGTGATAGCTTCTCTAGGCCCTTGATTCTTTTCCTTTTTTTGACTCTTACTTCTATCTTTGGCCATGGTTACCCTAATGAATGAAATATATCTTAAGTATATAAGGATGCTTTTTGCATTATATGAAAAATCAAAAAAAAAAAAAAAAAAAAAAAAAAAGAAGAGAGAGATGAGGGTAAAAGCCCAAACACCTTATGAACCTTGTAGTTGCAAATTAAATGCTGCTAAACAGAAACATATACTCACAAGTATTTACAAAGCATGGTCTTATGCACTTTGGCCAATGTTGAGCAGCTATATAAAATGCATACGAAGCTACATTTTTAGTTTTAAATATGAGAAATAAATTAAGTTATATGAAGAATTCATAAAAGCATTCATAGAATAGCAATTACACAAGATAAGACGACTTCATTAGACTGATCCCCCACTAGCGTTGTTATTACCTACCAAACCTACCATCTCCAAGAATGCACGATCTTCGTTCATAGTTTTTAGATTAACGCTTTGTCTTGCTTCCGCCTGTTTTTCTTCCCATTCCCATTGTTTCCGTTGTTCTTCAAGTTCTTGTGTTGATCCAACACCCCAAACTTCAAGATCCGTTATCATGAATCTGTCTTCAAAGTCCTCCTTAGAAACTTGTTTTTGCTGTGATTTTTGAAAATACGACGAAGCATTGGATGAAATATTTGCAATATGTCTGAAAACCGCAAACTCTAAATTGGCTTCAACTGTGAGTGAAACATCACCCGGTAAATATTTTTTGATATTGTTTTTATTTATAGGTTGATCGTTACCAAACCCCAATCCAAGACCTAAGTTATTGAAGTATATCAGTTCACCCTTCAGACTGTTGGTGATACTCTTATAGTAGTCAAGACGAGGAGATAATGAAATTATAACGGTGTTTTCATCACCAAAGTTACGCTTGTTGGATGCACGCCATGGTTGTTTAACAAGAACTGCATAAGTGATATAATCATTATCATTCTGCCAATTTCTTTTAGATTCCTCGGATGTTCTGAAATATCGGGGATATTCTTGAATAAATTGCTGATACCTTTTGTTGTTCTGAATCGTTTTCGGTTTGAGCCTTTTCCCGCCGACCAAGAAAAGAGTTGGTGCTTGCCATTTAAAAATTTTCAGCTCAAGAGATCTTATCGAGAATCCACTCTCCGATCCTCTATAAAGTTTAACCAAATTATTAGTTGAGATGTTAACGTCAGAGCCAATATTTTCAAGACAGTTAGAAATAAGAGAAAGAGAAGCCTGATTGACAAGTTTTGATTCTTCAAATTTGGGAAATTGCTTACCCTTTTTTTGTGGATAGGTATTATTATTATTAAATGGCTTAACAGGATCAGAAGGCCCAGGATCGGGTTCATTTTCAGCTTGTACTGAGGAAAACAAGCCATTTTTAAACATTGAATTAAAACCATTCTGAAACAACTTGTCAAAACTATTATCGATGCCTTTCTTAAAATCCTGGTAAGCAACGGAACTCGATTTCAAATTACCAATATTCAAATCCACATCTATATAACGAACCAAAGATATTGCACTTTCTTCAAAAGAGTCCCATTGTTTTGTAATGCTATTTATAACTTGTTGTTGCATCAAGCTATGCTTTTTCTTAGGAACAGATATAATAATCAAGAAAAAGGTGAATAGCTGCACCAAATCGTGTGAGTTTATGACTAATTCCTCAACATCAATCTCATCAAAGGATTGGATTTGGTTCATGGTTGACCACTTGATCCGATGAGCGGTGTTATATTCTTCGTCCTTCGCTCCTTGAACGACTTCAATCACATAGTTCTCTAGATCTCCAGGTACGTATTCCTCCGCTACCATTGGCTTTTCAATTGCAGATTTGGTTTCTGGCGTCAGCTTTTCCTTAATAGGAGCTTCCTCATCATCCGAAGAACTTGCGTAACTGAATGATATAAAGACTAACTTCAAATAGTCATATTCAGAACCTAGGGTTTTTTTATAACGACCGGAGTGAAAGAATGAAGCTAGTATCAAATCCTTCAACGTAAGTCCACTATTTTCAGAATGATAATCTTGTAAAAACGGAAATTTTGAAAGCACTTTAAAAGACTTATACAATATTTTTACTACGTAGCCGAACTTGGGATTTAACAGATCATTATCTTTCAGTTTATCATGCAGAATCCCCAACAAAAACGCTAGGTCACTATGGCTTATCACACTAGCATCGTTTAAGTTGGTTATATTCAATTTGGTTGTTAGCGCTTTAATTTCCAAGGCAGTAAGTTTAGCCATGCATTTTTGCAAGAAGTAGTCAATTACTTGTTTTCTCGTAAACAGCACAAGTGTAGTGTTTTGGTTCAATGTTCCCGAATTGATATCCAGGGAGCTTGCAGATTGACCCATATCAATTGAAGTGTTTCCTATGGTTTGAAGAACAGTTTTCAATTTAAGAACAAAAACTTATAAAGGGTTTCTGGTTTATCTTACCATAATCGTTTTCTTTTTTTTTTTTTTTGTTTTTGGTGTGGGTCACGTGAATATCATGAAATATCGAATTGAAAGAAAGTATATTAAGTATTAAATGCATGTTATAGACAAAATAAGAAATAAAAAGAGTGTAGCCTGGTCTAGTCTAGTGTGACTTCAAAGAAAGTAATCACGTAAGATTTCTTTTGATTTAATTTCTAAATCATATATGTATAACTTAATTTTTGTTTTCAAGGTCTTATTGGATTTTAAAAGCTCTTCGACTTCGGTATCGGTGGTACTATCGTACCTTTGAGCATTTGCGTCTTGTTTGAGTAGAGCTTTGGTGAAGGCCAAGACAACCAAAGTTGAGTAAAATCTAATGGTGGTGACAACTAATATGGTACTTACGGTAAGGAATAATTCTCTTCCAGGCGAAGCAGATTGGGACGATAATGCGCTGGCCGCTTTATCTCTCTTTTCAACTGCTGCCCCTTTGATGGCGGTATCGATTGCAGATTCAACTTTGGTACCACTAGAGTATCCTGGTACAGCGGTAGGATTGTTGTCTTCACGGCTAAACCAAAAATAAATGAAATAGATAGTATATAAGACTCCAACAACTGTATCTATAATATAAACCAAACATGTTAAGGAGAGTTTTCTAGCATTATTTGCTCTGTTTTTCAAGTTAAGCATCCCTGAGATATAAAATGGTAATACTAAAATATTTAAAAAATTATAAAGCCATTGCCAAAAGTTGATTGGATGACCAGTGAATAAAGATAAAACACCATAAATACCACCGGCCTTATTAAGAATGGCTACCCCCAAAATCAATTCAACCCCAATATAAAGAGGTATGAGACCAATAAATTTCTAGTTTTCAAATGTTAGTTTTCAAATTGATGTAAACGTAATGGTCACAGAATATACATACTTGTGGTAAGATTTTCACCAAGCTAGAAGCAAGAGTCATTATGAAGAGGTGATTGAACTAATTTTATTCTCAACACCTTTGTAGTAGTGAAATAAAGAAGATCTTAGTATTTTGATTTGACTTTTTTTTTTTTTTTCATTCTTTTTTAAACCTCTTCTTCTTCTTTTACTGAGAAAAAAATTTTTAGACCTTAAAAGGAAGACATAGTTCTGTTGCATAAATTAATGCTAATAATCGATGTCTAAGCCTGAAATTATAGAAGAAGAGCTTTCCCAAAAAGTCCAAGACGTGGATCTTGAAAGTTCGGATAGTGACAGCGACAGTGACTTTGAGGCTGACCCACAATCAATAGATGCAAAAGATAATACTGCAAAAGCTTTACCGAAAACTCTTACTGATAGGGGGGATATAATAGCGAAGTATGCCGATAAAATCAAAACTGATGATATAAAAAAGGGACCGAAGACAACTAAAGATAGAGCCAATAGAGCAACTGTGGAACAAGTTTTAGATCCTCGTACCATGGCATTTCTTGCTAAAATCATTAATAAAGGTATAATATCAAGAATAAACGGTTGTATAAGTACTGGGAAAGAAGCAAATGTTTACCATGGAGACCACGAAGATGAAACGGTTACAACCAGAGAATATGCAGTGAAAATTTACAAGACTTCTATTTTGGTTTTCAAAGATCGTGAAAGATACGTTGATGGAGAATTTAGATTCAGAAATACAAAGAATCAAAGTAATCCTAGAAAAATGGTTAAAGTTTGGGCTGAAAAAGAATTCCGTAATTTGAAAAGATTGTATCTCAACGGTATACCATGTCCTGAACCAGTTGAACTTAGATCACATGTTTTGGTGATGGAATATTTAACCAGGGGAAAAGGTCAACCATCACCCAAATTAAGAGATCATCCTTTCAAGGACATTGATGAAATAGTGCATTATTATCATCAAATGTTATTTTACATGAGAAGAATGTACCAAGAGTGTCGATTAGTTCATGCTGATTTGAGTGAGTATAATTCAATTGTCCATAAGGATAAGTTATATATATTTGATGTTTCTCAGTCAGTTGAACCAGAGCATCCAATGGCACTTGATTTTTTAAGAATGGATATTAAAAATGTCAATGATTTCTTTTCTAGGAAGAAAATCAATGTATACCCTGAGAGGTTGATTTTCAAGTATATCACCGATGAGTTAAAAGAGGTAAAGGATAATAGTGATGAAGAATTGGGTCGGTATTTAGAAACAATCCCATTGAAAAGTGAAACCAACCAAGATGATGAATTAGAAGACGAAGTCTTCAGAAGCCTTCATTTAGTTCGTTCTTTGAATAATCTTGACGAAAGAGATTTCGATAAATTTCAAGAAGGTAAAGTCGACACATTAAAAGATCTTGTTGATAAAGAAGAATCCAAGAGTGACGAGTCAGATTCTTCTCTGGATGAAGATAGCGATTACGAGTCTGAATCTGACAGTGATGATGAGTCTCCCAAAAAGGAGTGGAAGGATAAAGAGACAGTGTTAAAGGGTAAAAAACACGAAGATAAAGATGAAAAGAAGGCCCGTAAGAAGGCTGCTCAATCTGCTAAACAGGAGAAGAGAAAAACAAAGATGAAGAAACATGTTAAGAAGAAGATTATTAATAAAAGAAAAAACTGATAGTAGTCTAGTGAAGTTACCTTAAATTATATAGTAATAGAAATGGTTAAGTTAAATGTATTTCTTGTAGTGGTTTGAATTAGATTGTTTGCAGAAACAAAAATTTCAGGTTTGCTGCAAACTTTCGCAGGAAGACAAAGTCAACGTATGTCGACGTTGGTAGACGCAACCTCTTTTCAATATTTAATTTACCAGATCATCAATTTAAAATCATGATGTAACATGTGTATATTGGGGATGAGCTTCGGGATAAAGGGGCCCTATTAATGAGTTTTATGAAAATTTCAACGGATCTTTTTCATTTGTCTTTCACTTGGAGTTAGTTTAAGTAATATAATAATCTACGATGAGTGGTAAATCAAATATCCATTCGCTTATTTCACAGTTTGAAGGGACAAATGATACTAAGGTATCACCAATGGCTCGGCCAATTAAAAGCAATAAGGGTTTAGTATTCAATCCAGCCCCTCGAGTTTCAAAATATATTGAAAATACTGTGGATAATGACAGAATGATGTTTACTGAGAGATGTAACCCATCTGAATTTCTCCGTAAAACCAAAGATGAAAATAAGTGGGTGGGATCTTTACCACAACAGTTGAAGGATAAAAGGAAAGGGTTGAAGAAGGAAACAAAGCCAGCTAAAACCAAGAAGGATCAAGGTGGAGTTGCTTCATTGAAGGACTTGTTTGAATCAAACTCTATTTCCAAAGGTGAGGACTACAATGGAAGTATACTTAATACAGAAGCAAAGGATTTTGGGGTTAACAAGACCGATGGCAATAAGTTTAGGTTTAAACAAACCGGTAAATCCCTTAATGAAGTTGGAAGAACGACCGAAAATGAGTCAACTCACGAATCGGACGAAGCAGTCAGACCACCTAATATGAATGCAGCTGAAGAAGATAAGCAGCTGTACCAAGTTGCAGAAACAAACAATCTGCCAGTCAATGAGCTTTCAGAAGACGAAAAGCTGAGACAATTAAATGGGTCTGACAATCTAGGCAATAAAGAGCCTCGAATTAGCAAGGATACAAAAGAACAAGTAGAATCATCTGCAAAAACTAATGGTATTGTTGAAGACAATCAGTTTGAGCACTTGAACTTGATCAAGGAAGATGATGTTGGTTTTGCAACCGACAAAGCTAATAAAGAAGCGCTACCAAAAAAGGATAAAATCCCTTCCTCTGACATACAAGCTAAGTCGACTGATTCTTTCTTGGTTCTTAATGGTGCTAGACCAAAAGACGACGACGGTGCTGGAAAAGAAGAACCTAGTTTGGACAATAACCATCCGACTCCTTTTGAGGAGATCGGAAATCTCTATACATTTATGATTAAAAAAACCGATGCTACGAAGAGGATAAAAGAAGAGGAAGACGCGTCACAAGAAGATTTAAAACAGATCGACGCTGGCCAAATTGATGAAGAAGATGACGAGGATGATGAAGACGGGAAATTTCATTTGGCAGACGAGTTGAGTGGATTTGAAATTGTTTTTCCATTGAAAAATCATGACAGTATTACTGAAAAGGCACTCGATATGACTCCTTCGGGATTGACGTATATCGAATCACCAAGTCAACGTTTAACCAGAGGGCTGGGTATTGTTGAAACGGCCTTGCCCAAACAGGGTCTAGTCCAAACATTGAGTAACAGGCAGTCAATGGTTGAGAAGCCGACCGGAAAAATTGTTTCGCATAATGGACCCAGTGGTGAGCAATATACTGAGGATAATACCAGGTTGGCAGGTGAACAGGGCCTACGTCCCAAAAGAGCTAAAATTGGTAGTGAAGAAGATTTGACTCTCGAACTAAATGAATGGCTTATTTTTAGTGGATTTGGAGGTGGTTTGGGGTTAAGTTTGGGAATTGACAAAGGTGAAAAGTTTGATGCAAAATCTGGTGAGAGTACAAATAAGAGCAGGAGTCCCCTTCAAGGCTCTAAAATTGGTGATGGTACCTTTAATATTATTGAAGAAGAAGAAATTAATTTGGAAGATATTAGCACTCCATTAACGAATAAGTTTGAAAATATGACATTGCACCCCCGTTATTCAATGAATAATACCCCTGCCGATAATAGTAGTGAAGATAACATTTTTGATGGTGTACATACTGATGATTTTACCCCAAATACTTTTATGAGTGATGATTGTAAGTTTTCCGGGATACTGCCGGTCCAATTACGGTATAGTACTACACCTAGTTTGATTCAGGATGGGGTACTTGAAGATGATGCTGAAAAAAAGAGAAACAATCGAAGGGCCGTAACCTTGGGATCCCCGGTGAGACTTGAACGCACAAGTACCATTGATGATGTGTTTAAACGAGAAGATGAGGACAAGCATAGAAGGATGTTTTTACTTGAAACTACAAAAGGTAAGTTGGTTAAGGCTCAGAAGTCACCCACCAAAAAAGTATTGACTCGACTTGAAGATACCATTGGAGAAGCAGAGGAAGGCTCAGCACGTCAAATCGATGGTGGGAAAAGAAGAAACTGGCTTTCGTTGAACTTGGTTTCTAAAATTGGTCGAGGACATAAAGAAACGCATGAACTGCATTCCAATACCTCTTGTGATTCTTCCATCACATCAGAATACGGGCAGAATCGGGGATATTCACTCCGCAAAAGGTTATCGAGTGAAATCCGCCGTCATTCGTCGCTCAACTTTGATGAAAAGTTTCGAAGGAAAAAGTCCCAACGAAGATACACTCCAGATATGGTGGGCTTACCCAGAGTTACGTCAATGACCCTGTTTGGACATGCATACATCCCCAACCGTCCAGCACCTCCCCCTTCTCCAAGTGCCGCCAGTCTTTCAAGCCAACGCAGTTCGCTCTGCGATACCCGCTCGATCAAGGGTCTATCGTCCCCGGCATCGATTGAAACCAAAACAAACTTTAGTCCCATAGCATTATCAACCCCCATACGCGAGTCGATTGCAGAGATTGATGAGCAAAAGGAACTTGATGCCGACCTGGACTTGGACCTGCACCTCATTGACCAGTACCAGAACATGCCCCAGTTCCTGCCCAACACCCTCGACTCCAACTTCTCGGTCCACTCCAACTCCTCCCACACCATTCCCTCTTCTCCCCAGCAGGAGTCCCTACATTCCTTCACCAAAAACCCGCAACTCTTGGACGTGGACATCAGCAAGATGAGCGAGCAAGACCCTTCCTTCATTCTGATGTTCGAAGACTACCTCTCCAAGAATTTCAAGGAGATATGACTGCAAGACATAACGTATAGATGATGTAAATGATAACGGTGTAAATGATAACGGTGTTAACTGTATAAAATAACTGTATAAATTAACTGTATAAATTAACTGTATAAAATAACTGCAAATAACTGTATGGTAAAATAACTGCAAATAACTGTATGAATAACTGCAAATAACTGTATGAATAACTGCAAATAACTGCAAAATGTATCATCCACCCGTACACCGGTAGCAGCCAGGTGCGGCTCGTTCCAAAAAAAAAAAATTTCCCCTTTTGAGAATTGAAACCAGCTTCAGTGGTTTATGTGCGGGTAACCGGTGTTTTTTTTGGGTCTTTTTATGGTGCGAACGAAACAAGTCTAACAAACTTAACAAAATGTAGATTTAGCCTAACAAAACAAAAAAAAAAATTAAAAAAAAAAAAAATTTGTATAATAAACAGGGCAGAAAGTAGACTTGGAGTATTTCGAAAGGAACTCAACTACTTCTTTTACGAAGCTTTTTAATACAAAGAATAAGATTGTATCCAGGATATTCCAGTGAGTGTTGGTATAGTTGAATCACTGCTAAGGAAAGTATCAATACTACTCAATTGGGCTGAATTCAAAAGGTTTTTTACTTTTTTTGTTACTAATAATAATTTTGAAGGTTTGATCAAGTTTTGGTTATTATGGAGGAGTTCTTAAAGGATAGTCCTTCGGACATGAATCCTAATAATAACAGTAATGGCACTTTCAACCAGGACGAGAATAATAATAACTTTCTGCTAAATTTGGATAATTTTAATAATTATAGTAATAATAATCTTCAACTTGGTGAGGATAATTTTTTGGGAGGTAATGAATTCAATTCATCCCAACAAGAGAATCTTGGGTCTTCAGTAAAATCCGATCCTTTCTTGGAAGATTTGGATTCGTTAAGTTATAATCAACATTTACAAAGTCCGCCTCAAAATCAACCACCATTTGGTCGTCAACAATACACTCAACAACAACAACAAGCACCTCAATTCAATCAATTTTTAGATCCAAGCCAGCAGACCACCAATTTGGATGAACTTATTTCTCCAGAAAATGACGCATCGCTTGGATTCACAAGTAATCAAGAATCTACTAGTTTTTTGAATCCGCAATATTTTTCACCTCCTAATAGTAGGTCCAATTTCAATCCGTTGAATTCAATTGCTGAAGATAGTCTATCGAGTTCTTTCAATAATAGTAGTTACCATTCAAGACATGGTAGTATAAGTGTTGCACCCCCTACTAACATGTATAAGGAAACAAATAATACTTTTGATATGAATGCCGGTTCTTATTTATCGCCACCAGCAAATTCCCAATTTATGTCACCCCCAACAAATTCAAATTATGATAATTCTTTTGATACTTTGGTTTCCCCAAATTACAATGCATCTGGTTCTTATTTAAATTCTCCTCCTTCAAACTATCAAAGTATGAGAGTTCCAAATAATAATAATTTAAGTACTAGTATCCCTAATAATGGATTGAAAACAAATATGCTTTCTCCTCCAAATACAAGTGGTCATTTTGGTACTTCTGCGCCAAGTACTACTTCAATTGATCAGTATAATAATCTGCATTCTCATCTTACTAATCCAGGGGTGTCTACTAAACAATTAACTAAAGAAGAAAAATTAAAACGTCGTAGAGAATTTCATAATGCCGTTGAAAGAAGAAGACGTGATCTTATCAAAGAACGTATAAAAGAATTAGGTTTATTAGTACCTCCTTCTCTATTGAATCCTCAATTAAGTGCAGTTCAAACTTTACAAAAATCTTCTGAATTTAACTCGAAAGAAATTAATGAATTATTATCTTCAATTAAAGTTAAAGAAACAAAACCAAATAAATCAACTATTTTAAATAAATCAGTTGACTATATAAATCATTTAAAATATGTTTTAGAAGAACAAGATAAAGCAAAATCAAACTTAGAAATTCAAATTAAATCAATTGAAGAAAGATTAGGTACTACCACAATTTCAAATGATCAAAAAAATTTCCAATCGAATCATCAACCACAACAACAAAATTTTAACCAGGGCTCCCTGGGTGGTGATTTCTTTAATCCAGACGAATTCTTCTCTGACTTGGTTGCTACCGAGTCAAACCAAGGATTGAACACTGGGCTCAACTCTAATAACTTCTAATGGTCTCTCTAATTCCTAATAGTCTCCTCTAAGTTCTCTTTCTCTTCCAACTCACCTTATTTTTTTTTTTTTTTTTTTTGAATTTTTTTTTTCACCTTTTTTGGCTTTTTTTCACTTTTCTTCTCTCGTATACTTAACTCATAGACTTATTTTTAATTCTAACTACAGTTATGTGCAATTGCTAATATGGCTGGACCTGGAATTGTTACTTATATAACGAATATATGACAGTTGATACTTGAAATTTGCCTTTGTACATACTCGACCCGCAAATTTAAAATGCGAGCCGAACAATTGATGGCTTATCGAACGAAGCTGATGAAAAATTGAAAGTACTTTATTCTAACTTCATTACTACTGATCTTTACATTAGACTGTAAAAGATGTTGACTAAAGAAGAAAAGGCAAATGCTCTTGAATATGCCAATGGTCTTGTTGACTATGTTAACAAATCTCCAACTCCATACCATGCAATTAAAACTACTAGCTCTAAATTAGTTGAAGCAGGATTTGTTCAATTATCAGAAAGAGAAAATTGGAATAAACAAGAAAAAGTTAGAAAGGGTGGTAAATACTTTGTTACTAGAAACGACTCTTCAATCGTGGCGTTTACTGTTGGTGGTGAGTATAAAGAAGGTAATGGTTTGGCAATTGTAGGGGGACATACCGATTCTCCATGTTTAAGATTAAAACCAAAATCATTAATTAAAAAACATGGCTTTATACAAATTGGAGTTGAGCAATATGGAGGAATGATTGCTCATACTTGGTTCGATAGAGATTTATCAGTTGCTGGTAAAGTTTACATTCTGGATTCAACTAATGGTCAATTAATACCAAAATTAGTTAAAATTGATAAACCATTATTGAGAATTCCAACTTTGGCTATTCATCTTAATCGTGAAGCTAATCAGAAATTTGAATTTGATAAAGAAACTAAATTATTACCAATTGCTGGTCAAGTTTCGTTAGATAAAAATGCTTCCACAAAACACGATGAACGTAAATCATGTGCTGATGATCCAGATTTAAAGTTAACTTCTGAGCAATTCGAATCAGTTCAGAGTGTAATTACTCGTCATAGTCAATCATTAGTTGAGCTAATTGCAGATGAGTTGTCTGTTTCCATTTCTCAAATTGAAGATTTTGAATTGGTTTTATTCGATCATCAAAAATCAGTTATTGGTGGGTTAAATGATGAATTTGTTTTCTCTCCAAGATTAGATAATCTAACCACTTGTTTCACTGCTACTAATGCTTTAATTGAAGCTTCCAAAGAAGCGAATGAAAATCAAGATATCATTAGAATTATGGCATTATTTGATCATGAAGAAATTGGATCGGTTAGTTTCACGGGTGCTGACTCAAGTTTCTTACTCGATATTATTCAGCGTTTAGGCAAAATCAGTTTTGATTCTTCTTCAAACATGGTTGATAATTTCCATCAAGTTGTTAGTAATTCATTTTTGTTATCCTCAGATCAAGCCCACGGTGTTCATCCAAATTATAGCGAATTTTATGAAACAAATCATAGTCCTCATGTGAATCTGGGGCCAGTGATTAAGATAAATGCAAATCAAAGATACGCAACTAACTCTTCAGGTATAGTATTGATAAAGAGAATTGCTGAAAAGGTTAAAGTTCCGCTTCAATTGTTTGTTGTTAAAAACGGTTCTCCATGTGGATCTACCATTGGCCCAATGTTATCTGCTAAATTAGGTATGAGAACTTTGGACTTGGGTAATCCACAATTATCCATGCATTCAATTAGAGAAACTGGTGGTTCTTACGATGTAATCCAATTAAACAATCTTTTCAAAGGTTTTTACTTGCATTACAATGAAGTCGATCAATGCTTACAAAGATTGTAAATAATTTAGATATATTTAGTTAACTAGCGGTAATACATTCTTACTTGACTGTCCTATAATATTTCCAGGAGGATAATAAGAACATACTATGTAAGTCCCCCAAACATTGTTACAAAACTTATAAGCACAGCCAATCGATGAGGTACTATTCCAGATAAGTGCAGTGAAATGATTGTATGTTTTTTCATCCCTGCCATACTGATAATCTTCCCCTTCGTTGTACCAGGCGTCTACGGCACTGGTGGGAGTATATCCAATTGCTAAATTTTCTCCAAATGTAATACCTCCAGAATGTGTCAAAATACCAGAACAGTCATAAGCTTGTGCATACTCGTAGGCGAATTCATAAGCACCTGAACTCCAAACTAGTGATTCAGACCCATGAAGAGCTCTTTTCTCATTATGCCAGTCAAGAATAAGCTGCGCAAAACTAACATTAAGGTGGTATTTCCCATGATAATCGTTTATCCGATTAGAGAATTTGGCAGTTTCCAAAGATTCCGCTTTAGTGGTGGTCACCACCTTAGTACGGGTAAGAGTGGGAATCGGTACCGGTTTGACGTACTCCAAGACTTGCACAGTTTGAGTTACGGCAGCAGAGACGGTGGTCAATAACAATGCCAGAATAAAGACTTTTGAAATCATTTACCTTGGTTTGTTTGACTGAAGTCCCAGTAATTGCAATTTATATATGTGATTACTGCGAAATTAACTGCACCAAGATGAAACCGTATCGAGACACATTTGAAAAGTCATTGATACTACTATGATATACTACTAACACTAATATTGATCATGCAGCCGAAGCGCCTTTTCTAAACTTAGGAAGAGATCCGGTACGTTGCCTAGCACTTCAAACTTTTAATATTGTTGTCTACTCGCAAGCATATAGAAACAAACTAATTTTGCATTCATTTCTGTGCTTCGGCAATCTCAGCTGGAACTCAAACTCTCTAATTCATTAACTAACTGTACCAGTATCGGTAACTCCAGTTGCAGTCTGTAAACCACTACCTACACTGAAACCACGGAAATTTGCATTCCAACTGAGGAGTACTTAACACTCTATGGTGGTGACAAAAGCAGTTGATTAAAGTTGGCACCCTTCGTTCCCCGTTTTAGTTCTGGGATAACATCTTCAGCATAAACCACAACTGATAGTACTGGGCTTCGCTAACGGTGCAACGGCATAATGATAACAAAGAAGGGCCGTTAGCTTGAGCTAAATTGCCTGATAGTTTGATAAATCACAATCTGATTGAGTTACACAATCTAATACAATGTCAGTCACATGGAATGATGGGAGATAATCAACGGTTTGAGGTTATCGCTTAATAAATCTTGCCCATTGATAATACTCCATGTGTATCAACCACTAACAAAAGTTATTGATAAAAGCGAAAGCGGGCCTATAACGAAGAGTTTCGGCGCATCGTTTTTTTTTTTTTCTCTTGTTAAGGTTTTTTTACGGGTTTTTGAGTTCTTCTTATCTCTCGGTGCGCGCACGCATCCTATATGAGTTTTTGAGTTATAACCAGAGTATATATACCCCAGGTAATTCCAGATGAGTAAGATTTGGAATGTTTGAGATAGTCAATAACCTGAATTGTTAAGAATGCCCACTGCTACGTACGTTCCGTTACCTCAGGGAGCTGGTTATGCTGTTGTTGTTGGATTAGGTGCTGTTTTTGCAGCTATCATGGTAGCTACAACTTTTTGCTTGAAACGTTATAATAAGGAAATCATGACTTCGGAAAATTTCTCGACTGCTGGTAGATCGGTGAATACTTTTTTGATGTCTGCTGCCGTGGTGAGTTCTTGGACTTGGGCTGCCACTTTGTTGACCTCGACCGTTCAAACTTATAATAATGGTGTTTGTGGGGCATATTACTATGCTGCTGGGGCTACTGTTCAAATTATTCTTTTCTCGTGTTTGGCAATCAAGGGTAAAGAAAGAGCCCCTGCTGCTCATACTTATTTAGAAATAGTTAAATCTCGTTATGGCAAAGTTACTCATTGTGTCTTCATTTTTTGGGGGTTGGCATGTAATATCTTGGTTACTGCCATGTTATTGAGTGGTGGTTCTGCAGTTGTTAATGATTTAACTGGTATGAATATCGTAGCTGCTTGTCTTTTATTACCTTTGGGTGTTGTTGTTTATACTTTATTCGGTGGTATTAAAGCTACTTTTCTTACTGATTATGCTCATACCGTGGTAATCATTGTTATTTTGATGGTTTTTGGTTTCACCGCTTTTGCTACCTCTTCTTCTTTGGGTTCTCCAGGAGCTGTTTGGGATGCTGTTTCTGAGTTGGCTAAAACTAACCCAAGAGATGGTAACGCCGATGGTTCTTATTTAACGATGCATTCAAGGTCGGGTGGGATTTTCTTTGTCATTAATATCGTTGGTAATTTCGGTACTGTCTTTTTAGATAATGGTTATTTCAATAAAGCTTTTGCTGCTAACCCGGCCTCAACCATGCCTGGTTATGTCTTGGGGGGTCTTGCCTGGTTTGCCATTCCAATGTTTTGTGCTACCACTTTGGGTCTTTCTGCTTTAGCTTTAGAATCTACTCCTTCCTGGCCTACTTATCCAAATAAAATGACTTCTGCTGAAGTTAGTGCTGGTCTTGTTTTACCAAATGCTGCCACTGCATTATTAGGTACTGGTGGTGCTGTTTGTTCTTTACTATTGATTTTCATGGCAGTCACTTCTGCTATGTCTGCAGAATTAATTGCAGTTTCCACCATTTCTTCTTATGATATTTACAGAACCTATATCAATCCAAAAGCTAATGGTAAACAAGTTATCTTTGTTTCCCATGTTTCTGTTATCATTTTTGCATATGTAATGGCTGGTTTTGCCATTGGTTTATATTATGCTGGTATCTCAATGGGTTATTTATACGAATTAATGGGTATCATTATTGGTGGTGCAGTCTTACCTGCTGCTTTAACCCTTTTATCTCGTAAACAAAATTTCTGGGCTGCTACTTTAACTCCTCCTATTTCAACTGCTTTGGCTATCATGTCTTGGTTGGTTTGTACTAAAAAGAAATTTGGTGAAATCACTATTGAAACTACTTTTGAAGATGATGCTATGTTAACTGGTAATATAGTGGCTCTTTTATCTCCTTTAGTTCTTATTCCTTTGTTGACTTTGATTTTTAAACCTCAAAACTTTGATTGGGAAGTCATGAAAGATATTGAACGTGTGGATGAAGAAGACGAATTAAAAGAAGCTGAACATCTTAAAGATACTGAAAAAGATCATGTTCATCCAGTCAAATCTCAAGTTTCAGTGGCTGCTACTGAAATTGCGGTAACTCAAAAAGGTCAATTTGAAAAAGATCAGAAAAACTTACATCAATCTTTCAAAATTGCTGCTACAATTTGTATTGTCTTAGCTTTATGTTTTATTATTTTATGGCCAATGCCAATGTATGGGTCCAGTTATGTTTTCTCAAAAAGATTTTTCACCGGTTGGATTGTTGTTTTATTCATCTGGATCTTTTTTTCATCTTTCGTGGTTGTGATTGGTCCTTTAGTCCAAGGTAGAGATGCTATGTTCTATACCTTTAGAGGTATTTACTGGGATATGACTGGCCAATCTTGGAAATTAAGAGAATGGCAAAATGCCAACCCTGAAAAGTTACATGCTGTTCAATCTCAAGTAAGTGCTCAATTATCTAAATCTTTCAATGGACATGTGGTTGACGGTAAAATACCCGGTAATGATGGGTATATAACTCCAGCAAGACATATAGATGAAGAACTAGAAGACATCAAGAAAGATGAGCAGTAACCCGTCTTCTTCTCCCCGCGTATTTATTTCTTTTACTTATTTATATTAATTATTAGTTTTATGTTTTTGACATCACCAATTGTAGAGACTAACATGTCTATCTGAATCTTTTAGTTGCAAAAATTGCAATTTATTGGAGTCGTGTGCCTTTTTTCAGTCCCAGATCCTTTTTCCTGTTTTAGAGAGGGGTGTCAATTCCGCACCTGTGCGATAAGGAATTGTATCTTTGACCAATTAAATTCCTACTAGTAACCTCATCAGTATGGAAAGAGGCCATTGCTGCTCTAAACAGGCATTCTGGTTTTTTGGGGCAATTGAGTCAATAAAGCTTGCTAATTAGGCAATTTTACGACTAGACTGGTTCAAACTTGCGCTTTGTTTTTGATCTCTTTGAAGTACAGTGATGCCTTATTGGCTCATTACGAGAGAACTATCCATTCAATGTTGTCGCAATGAGTCAGTCTTCATCGGAATCTTCTCAAGTAATCTTAAGCATCGATTGAATTCTACCTCGCGATACTCGAATAACTATGCTCTTTAGGTGTGGTAACGGGATACTGCTCTTTCTGGTGTAGTCTTGTCTCTACCTCCGGTTCCATCTTTCATCCATGCCCATTCCCATCTATCTCTTTACGTACTCTTTTGATTTACAATTACAAATTGTGTCAAATAAAAAAAAATGTATAGGTGAAAAATTCAAAAAATAATGACTCCCGCGCGATTCGAACGCGCGCATCTTACGATAACAGAACTTGAGTCTGCCGCCTTAGACCACTCGGCCAGAGAGCCCTTTT